TATATATATATATATATATATATATATATATATATATATATATATATATATATATATATATAAAGCATCGAGCCTCAAAAACGGGCCAACATTTTGTCAGCTGTCAAATTAGCTGACTCGTTTTTTTGTCACTGTTCTATACATACAGTATATCGTATATTTAATTATTTAATAAGTAAAATGAGTTTTTGTGCATTAATAATGTACAGAATTTATAAGACAAAATAAATATAGAAGTTATAAAGGTATATCATATATTATATATATTACTCACAAATATTTATCACGCAAAATTGTATGAAAAAGTTGACCCGTTTTTCTCGAAGCATTTGTATGAAGACACTCTATCTATATTATCTAAGGTGATAATATGATCTAGGATCTAGCGCGCTTACCCAGAAAATTCGGGGGGAAAAGGATTGTTAGTAATAGAGACTAAGAATCCTATTGCTAGCAATATACCCAACCAGGTCGCCCTCCTCGCGGTTCCCTGCAAAATATCATGGTTAATTCCTGATGAATGCATCATGATGGGCTAACTGGCCTGTTTTCATTCTCATCTATTACCCTTCACTGGTGCTCCGCCAGCGTATCCCGTTAGCGCAGGCGGGGTTACCATACCATTGACACCTAGAAAATTCTCATTTACCATCGACTTGTAGAATCCCAGGTTGTATTACTCCGAAACACAAAAGCGTAAGTACATTATACAAAATTTATCAGACATCATTACCATAAACACACGTTGATCTAACTGTTCTAATAATTACGATTGAAACAATGTCAGTAACCCCAGTGACAGTCAATATTGAGGGTAGTATAAAACAAGCCCGTATAGTGTGAGTATCATTATGCACAACTTGTAAATTCATTTGGCATAGTGCGGCCCATTTTACTCGCAGTATGTTACTTTCTCGTGTTTTTTTTGTTACATGATTTATTCATCAGTGACGCTCGCGATTTCATTCGGCCGACATTCAGGCGATTTTTGAATTCCGTACCATGGGATCACGGAATTTGTAAAACGATCATTGATGCTATATTTCATGAGCATAATTCTTGCTAATATTGTAAATTGCCGTGTGGTCCCTGCATAGAATGGGCTACCCATTTCTTTCCCCGTGGATGTCGTAAGAGGCGTTTATGGAAATTTAGTTTGTTACTTTTTACCGTCTTAATTAATCTCTATGAAGTTGATATACTAGTATTGTATAGGATGGAGAAGCACATAGGCTACTTTTTACCCTAGTCAGCGAACATATACCGGTCACACAGACAAAGTCGCAGATAAAAGCAAAAATCGAAAAAGGAATGTTGCGTTGGTTTGGTCATTTGGAGAGGATGGATGAAAGAAGAATTACGAAAGAGATTTATCGAGCAAGAATGAATGGAGATGTTGAATGAACGAACGTATGTCGACCAAATAGGCGACGTGCTGAAGAAGGGCCAAATTAAAAGTACCCGTAACCGGCGAGCGTGTATGAAAAGATTGATGAATGTGGAAGAAGCGAAAGAGATTTGTTTGAATCGAAGCATTTGGCGTTCCATTGTTTCTGCTTACCCTAATGGGAGACAGGCGTGACAGATATGTATATATGTATGTAAAAGCCAATATTTTATAAAACTGATTCTAAAAAAACGGTTTTCAAATCGTTGTTATTGTGGGTCATCATGTCATTATATCAACCAATAACTGTCCACTGCTGAACATAGGTCTTCCTCATAAAGGGTTTTGCTAGTAGTTGCCACGTTTGTCAGGCGGATTGGCAACCGCATTTATTTCAAGAGGGACGTTGCTGCTCATTCCTTGACCATTAAACTATTGATAACCAAAACTGGCTAAGGGAGCCACCTCTTACGCACCCACGGGATAGGAAGGCGTATTCTAAGCCAGGACTACATGACAAGTTAATATACGTATATATAAGATTACCTCTCCATTTTCATATTGGCCCAACCGAGAATCGAAACCGGAACTGCACGAGCCTTACAAACAATTAGATACATTATTCTATTCATTCCATATAAATGTTTTTATTGATAAATTATTAATATGCAATGCGTGGCAGCCCTACTTTGGTACGTCATAAAAAAATAATCAGGTCTCTTTCTGTGCCGTCTACAGGAACTGCGAGTCAGTTACTGGATTACTAACGTGATACGAGTTACTGATGAGGCGTACTGACACGGTCACTATGTACTATCTGTTCCAATCAAGTTCTTCTATAAGTAACAAGGTCTGTCACTCAGGGAGTGTCTCATTTGGTGAAGTGTATCTGGGCGTTCATATATTTTATTCCGTATTCAATTCTCGGTTGTAATATTTTTTTCAAATGACTTCAAACGGGCCTCATTTCGTTTACATATTTATGTACCAACTTTTACCCGCGACTTCGTCTGCGTGGTCTGGATTTGTTAATTGTTTAGGATAAAACCCAGTTTACATGAATTATAATAGGATTTGTTTTTCGTAACTCGCTAAGTTTAATAGGTTTATTAGGCTGAGACCACGATATGCATACATTTCTGCTGGTTTTACAAATGAGTGAAGGACTAGGGTGGTTTAACCCCCTGGAGAGATGGGCTAGTATTTTGTTTAATTTTTCAATATATACGTCTAGAATGCTAAACAAATAAATAGTTCACTTGATTTTCTACATTTTATACATACATTTTTGTAAAGAACGTTTTTATGTTTTTCTTTCAATTTTACTTTTTGATTCTTTAAGTATTATTTATTATTTTAATATAAAAAAAAATTATAAATTTTAGTAAGTTTTTCTGTTCGTAAAATTATGAAACAATTAAGTTCTTGGAGAAATGTTTGCAGAAAATTTAAATAAACATAAAGAAGTTTCAGTTACTTATTGGGCACAAAATTGCCCAATAAGTAACAAATATAACAAAATGCATCAAGTAAGGTAACAGAAAAAAGGATTGCGATAAGAGAAGAAGAGGTGAAAAAGAAGTTAAAAAGTAATACGTACAGATAATGTGTAGTTTTTATATTACTTTATGGTTTTTGCTTTGTGGTACATGATTAAATGCACTAAAAATCGATACAAATTTATAAATAAGTAAAAGTGAAGAAAATGGTATCGATTTAAAGAAATAAATAAACATTTAGGTAAAAATCAATAATAACATCTGGCAACCCTGTACGTGTCTTATATTATTGATCACTGCGATTATGTTATCCAACTTGTTTGCACAAGACATTTCACTTACGAAAGTGGCGCTGTGAGGTAAGGGACCGATCCCTCTGGGAAAAAAAAAATACTTGCGTAAAACCTCAGAACAATACTAACCACAGTCTGAAAATGTTGGCGTTATTTTTTCTCACAATTATGCTGCTCGCTGTAAGGTTTCCTGTTTCGGATATATTCTAGCTATTTTATGAGCTTGTTCTCTTATCTTAAGCTAATTCTTACAAACTGCAATTTAGATTTCTCGGCGTAAGCTTTAGTTGCATAAATCTGATGGCGTCTGATTTTAGGAAAATGAACTATATAGTACAGTACTCTAGGTTTAAACTGAAATCACCTTGTAAGAATATGACATAATGTAATAGTTAATATCTGAATTATTTTCTTTATAATCCAGCGATTCTTAGATTTTCCGTGGAAAAAGTATTCTTATACGAGAAATATGTAAAAATATTTTTTCAATACTTTTACCCGCGGTTTTGACCGGTAATAGGAATATGTTTACTGACCGGAATTAAAACTAGCTTACGACCTTCTCCACCTAATTTAGTACGTTTATATCAAATTTCATAGTGATTGGTTAAGCCGTTAAGGCGCTATGAGGTAACAAACGAACTCATTTTGAAATTTTGTATATTAGTACCTAAAATAAAGAAAATAAACTTACGATTGTAATCTCCAACGAGGTTGTTAGAGGTTGGTGTTATAATTAATGAAAGTAATATACAATTTGCCCATATTTCGTTTTAATATTGTAAAAGGCGAACCTACAGCTGCCTCTCGAACTAATTTCTTTACTAATATAATTAGTATTGTAAGATAACGATTGAATCAAATCAAGTTACATGTACTGATTATATTGTAAGTAGCGAACGGACTAGAACCTGTGACCTCGCTCACGACTTTCTATGAGACATCTAGGCTAACCTTACGAGTGGAGTTGCGAAATTGATACAATTAATTGCAGAACTTCTTTTAATATAACTATAGTTATATATTATTGTGAGCCTATCTAGATATTAATAGGTCAATATCACTGTTTATGGTAGTATCACAAAATAAAATGCACATACATAAAAAGTGTATAAGATTTTATAATTATTTTGTGACGCCCCGAAACAGCATGGCAATATAGATAGAGAGCCTTATCCCTTTATTCATAAACTCTAGTTTTCTACAAATCTACTTTTACTATTACACTCTTTTGTTATTTTCTTTTAAATTGAAATTTAGTGTAAAAGGGACAAAACAGTTCAATAATTAAAACAGGTTTTTGAGAGGTTTGACATTTTTATGAATAAGGAAATTAGAATTTGTATTTAATTAATATTATATACATATTATGCAGTGGAGGCATTACATCTTAAAAATCATTTACTAAAGGAAAATGAATTGTCAGTAACCGTGTAACGGCTATATGTACATATATACTTTGTCCCAAATATATTACGTTCTATCCCAAGTTGCAATCATTGTTTCATTACTGAATAAGTCTAACGAATGATTTAATCGCAATGGGGTAAATGATCAACTTTTTCCTTACCAATCACCTTATACCTACCTCTTTAGCGAAAAACAATGCGGCGCAAACGCAGGCGGAACTGCTATTTCATTTTTATCTATCACAGCTTTTTTTTTTAATTATTCCTTATCTGTTGTTGGAGATGTTTCTTTATCATTTTTAAAAGGCTGATCGTAAGCGTTAGTCTTTCATACAGTATCGTGAATATATAGATATCTATTTTTAGAGTACACTGGTAATAGTAAACTATATTTTTTTTACTTTTGTTCCAGACTTATCAAATGAGGAGACAGTTGAAGCATCCAGAATAAAAAGAGAAGGTGTCCCAGAAAACAGGGGTATGTTTCAAATTGATTCCCTTAACATTCTTCTGTATAAATTTTCTGCCTTTGCTTGAATGACTACATATGTCTCTAATCTATTAGCTATTACTCTGTCTGTTTCAAAAGATATTTCTTTCTATTTTCTTTTAATCTTTGATATATTTAACTCTTAAACAGATTGTATTATTGCATTTACATAGGTGCCTTTTATTTTAATAGTTGATGATATTTTGAATTCCATATTTGCAAAATGTACCAAGTTTTCTAATTTTATATTAATATGTTTATAATTATTACACATTTTTTATATTCACAAATTTTTCTTCAGTGCAAGTTACTTTAATACACTATTTTCTTTCTTTAATTCCTTAAAAAAATTATTATTGTGGAAAAAAATATTTTATAATTTTACGTAGATACAGCTAACTAGTTTAATTATCCGTGTATTGCGCGACATCTTTCTGAACCGATTTTGATAACTATTTGTCCATTAATGTTATATTCAATTTAAAAGGTTTCAATCAAACTCCTATATAAATTTGCGTAGGTTCTTTATTGAATAAGTACATACTTATAGTATATGATAATAATTTTTTTTATATAAATATTATATTAAATATTCTTTATTGCACTTGAAAAAATAAGATATAGCGAATAGTTTAACAACCTGTTAGCGAGGGCAGAATTATCTCTAAAATCAAAATCTTATCTCTAAATATTATTATCAATGATGTCGCCATCTTTTTGTAAAACAAAATCTTAATTTTTAAATTACCTGATACGGTAAATTTAGTCCTCGTTAACTTGCATAACTATTTTTTATTTTAGATAATTGCATATTATTTCATAATGTTATAATGTAAATGGCAAAATTACATCTAACGGACCTTGAATTCTATCTTTTCAATATATCATCAACATTAAAACAAAGAATGAATTGTTGTACAAAATTAGTGCTAACACAATCGAATCGTTGATCTTATATCTATTAGTGTCTTATTTATTCTATTCTATTTATATTTGCATTATTAATTGTATGTTTTTTCTTTCTCTTTCAAATCTAATCCCCGGTCGTGGTCAACAAATCAACTGAACTGGACTATTGTATTATAACGCACCTTCAACGTTCACAATCCTATCCGTGACTTGACACGATGACGGAACGCCGACACAGACTTGACAGTTCTTCTTGTTAATGACCAGAAGAAAAACGACTATCATACGAAGATTGGGAGGTACCACAGCGTGAAACCTCTCATTGGTTTACTCACATCGACAGCACGAACGTTCATCCAAGATGGCGTAACGACGGAATTTGCCACGCAAATCCTCGGAACAACATTAGATAACGGTCGAATCTACGCGCAGCTCCTAACGAAATCGTCACTCGTACTTTATAATAAGCCCACAAATGTAGACGACCCTGTTATTGTAAAACCAACCCGTGTGCACTCCAATTTCGATGGCCAATGGAACGTTAAGCAAGATTTAGGCTTCATTGATCCTGAACAATATGTTCTTAAAAACACTGACTATTTAGCTCCAAGTAGCAAAATGGATATAGTTTATGCTAGTAAACCAACACAAGATAATCTTAAATATTGGAATTCCCCTACGTCACCTGAAAACCAACTTGAAAATCAAATTTTTGATGAACCAGTTGGTCGAAGGATACAACCATTTAAAGAAGTTCCGCGATATGTTCACAATGAAGCCTTTAATTTCCTTGACGGTCCTACCCATGATGGAGAAAAGAAATTAAACTTTATTGTTAATCCGTCTATTTTACAAAATGTTAACACTTTACATCGTCAGAGTAAAGCTTATGAAGCCGTAACAGAACCCACTAAAAACGAACCTCGTACTAAAGAGGATAAGCTAGATGAATCGAACATTGTTAAAGTCAAACCTGATTATGATCTACCAACTTTTACTGTCAAAAATGAATTTTCTCCAATATTTTATTATATTGATAATGTTGAGTCACGACACGTAGCACAATCTGTTCAGCAAACAAAACTCCCAAAGAAACTATTTGGGCAAAAAAGTGAACCAAGACCGAAGAAAACGTTCACCTATGAAGGTTTTGCTGATTTTACAACAGTAGTCGGTGATACAGTAATTATATTTACACCTAATACAGAGATTAATCATCCCCAAAATCCAGATGAAGTAAATGTTTTTCCATCAGCAAAGCCTATAGATAAATTATCCACTAAAATAACTTTTCTTGCTGCTGATATTCCTGTAGCTACTTCCACTTATAAAGCACACGAAATTAATACTGCAACGAAAGTTTTTGTGCCTGATATTGAAGAACCAACATTGGAAACACCAATGTATAATGATGAAGAATTGAAAAAAGTATATTATGATGTTGATAATAAAACACCTGATACTGTTAAAGTACAATATAACAATGGATTTGATTTAAATTTAGATGTAATTCAACCATCAGAGACAGCAATTACAACAACGGAAAGTACTCAAGTAACTAATGATTTGGAAGTTATTCCAATCAAAGAATTTAGTTCGGTTGCTACTGAGCCTCTATTTCCAATTCTACCATCAGCTACGGTAGCAGAGGACTCTAATGAATCAGTTGTTACTGAGAAAGATAACAGTGAAACATTTATGGATTCTGAGGAAGAATCAGAAAATACCGCTGCGGAGGTTACTGAAAAAATGGAAGAAGATGAAGAAGAGGATGATAACCAAAATAAAGATGTTACCACTGAAACGGAAGATATTATAACTACAACAGAGAGTGGTCATAGTGAAGAATCATTCGAGGATATAGAAACTACAACAGAAACAAAGCATGATACTCACGAAGAAGTTTTTTGTACTGACGGTCTTGAAACGCAATCTACAATGACCACTGCGTATAAAACTTTGACTTATTTAACAACTTATTTTATACCTCTAGAAAGTACTGAAACTACCACATCAATTAAATCTGATGTTGTCGTTGAAAGTGATGTTGGTTATCTAACAAATATTGTATGTAAAAGTAATGTAAATATACAACCAACAGCTGTCATATCAATAAAAGTAGAATCTTCAGTTGCTACTAACATAGAAGTCCCAGAGGTTGTTTCAAAGGAAACTGATATACATCTTTCTTCTCAGCCTGAAACAGTTACAGAATCATTACAAAACATATCAACTTTAGATGAAGTATCTTCAACAGTACAAGAAAGTGACGTAACGGTAGGAATAAATACCAATGAGGAACATAATCTTGAAACTGTTACTGAAGCAAAACCTGTAACTACTATAGACACAACAACGGAACAAGTTTCAACAAGTCATAGTCACGTTGAAGTGTCTGTTAGCACTGAACAGTCCACAATACCTACAGAGAAACCCACATCTGAAGAAGACAAAGATGCCGAGAATGAAATAGATCTAATTTATAAAACCCTTTATACAACATACACATATTTCACTACATTTTTCGGAGACCAAACTTCAAGTATTGCCAGTCATAAAGCAGTTGTAACAAACATTATTACATCTACCGTGGATTTATCTAAATTAGATCCAACTTTACTCGGAGCTTTTAATGAAGATGAAATTGCACCAACCAGCGTTGGTATTGGGCGTCCAACAGAATCGTTCCATATAAATAGTATTATTGATTTAGTTAAAAATAAGGATGTACTTGAATCAGTTGAAATAGATGATGTTTATACTTCTCAAACCCCTACTCCGTCATTAGATGATGATATTGTGGCTAGTATTAAACCAGATGCTGTCAAAACTTATTATACCACATACACTTTCTTTACAACAATTTATGTAGGTACGGATGCTAATGTATGTAGTAGAAGTGAGATATATACAAATTATGTTGGACCTGAAGAATTGATACCTACAAAAAGCAATCCATTGGCGACTGATAGTACTCGTGCTCCTTTTAACTTTAGAAATTGTAAACAAATAAAAGGAGAACAGCAAAAGAATTCAGAAGATAACTCTTCTGTGGAATCTAGTATTAGTATGGAGGAAAACAAAGACGAACCGACGAGAAATGCCACACAAGAAACCACTCCTCAACCAAGTCCGATTGAAGTTGATATGTTATTTAGTGTGGAATCAAACCCATTGGAAACTGAAAATTCATACGTTACTGATGTTAAATCATCTTCATCAAGAGGGGAATCCAAATTTTTAGATAATAACAATATTTTAGAAGATCAGATAAGTTCAGAAAGCAATATAGATGAAATTATGCCATCACCAACTCTTTTATTGCAGACAAGTTATACCACATTTACTTACTTTACTACAATGTATATCGGCAAAGATTCTAGCAATGTAAAAAGTCGCTTAGAAACTATTACAAATGTTGTTACGGAAACAATAATGCCAAAGAAAGAACAGCAGCAAGAAGAGGAAAATAACTTACCAATCACTTATTATACTACTTTTACTTATTGGACTACATTATATAAGGACAAATCTACGACAATAACTAGCCGCGAAGAAATTGTTTCAAATGTAGTCACACCACCTGTACAGACTTTACAGACTGTCAGTCCAATTGATACAACACCGATTGATGTAGAAAGTGTATTACCGCCTAAAGATTTAGAGGTTGAATTAAAACCCTCCCTGATAGATGACGGATTAGAACAAAGTGATGGTAAAGTAACTATGTTTACGACTTATACATACTATACAACTTTTTATTCGGGTAATACATCTCATATTTTGAGTAGCCTCGAAACTGTCACAAATATTGTAGATAATACTAAACTTATTGAAGATAATCAGTTAGGTCGTAAAGTTCCATCTGGTTCTGTAGATAAAAATTTAATACAAGATAATGGCGAGAAACACCAAATAACGCCAACTGTTGTAAAGCAAGAAATTACTCCTACTAAATTACCAGATATTGCATCTGCTTCCCCAACTGTACTTTTAGGTACATACATAGATAATTTATTTGCAGAAATTAAACCTCTAGAAGAAGAGACATCTACTCCAAGTTCTGAAAAGAAAATTTTATTTTCACAAGTTGCTGTAATTTCTGGTGATTCTACGGTAGTAACCAGTGATAACAAAACATTAAATAAGGAAAATGCATCTAATTCTACAACAACTTCAACTTCCTCCGCGAATTCTGAAGCATCAATTATTACTGCTGCACCAGAAGTGATTCAAAGTTCAGTAGCAGAACCAGAAACGACGACTGAATACAAACAAGAATCAGAAGAGGATGAAGAAGAAGAGACAGATAATAGGAAAAAGAGTCGACTTACATTTACACCTAAGAAACCTACATTTACTCCTGTAATTATACCTTTTTCATCAAGGAACAGGCCAACATTTAGTCCTAAACGAGTACCATTATTAAGTAGTGCCACTACTATAACTCGTCAAGATTTTACACCCACTATAACAGCTACACCTACGTTAAAGTCAGTAAGACCATCAGGATTTGGATCAAATAGAAAACAATCTGCTTTCCCTGGATCTTCAAGTCAAGGAAGAAGATTCTCAGGGCGAAATAGTGCATCTGCTTTATCTTCTAATATTCCTTCAGCATCAAGAGCGGGTGGTTTCTCACGTGGAAGCATCCAACCTACCTCGAGGAGAACAGGATTTAGGTCAAGTTCTTTGAGAGTCAATAGTTTAGATTATGCGAGTAGATCTGCTGTGCCAAAAATTCGTCCAACTGCTGCATCCAGATTAAGAAATGGTAGACAATCAGCTACTGTATCATTTCCTCCACCTGAGCAAAATGAAGCTGATACTTTTGCAACTCAACAAGAAGAAAGTGCAACGGAACCCTTGGAAGAAGTTACAGAAGCTCCAGTGAGAACTACTAATAATCCTTTGTTAAGATTTAGAAGGCCACCAATTGCCAGACAACCGGGCACTGCCATAACGCCTCGGTCAACAACACCATCTCCAAGAAGACCTATAACAAGTCGTAGTCGAGTAACAACCACAACGAGAAGAACCACTACCCGATCAACACCTAATCCTATTCTATCTCTACGACGACAAAGACCAAATTCTTTATTTCCAAGAAGAAATCTTTTCCAAAAACCCGAACCAGAACCAGAAGAAGAGATTAAAGAAAATGAACAAAAGGTAGAGGAAAGTGAGGAATTACTGGAAGAAGAAGAAGAATTTGAAGAAGACAATGATTATGATTCCTCAGATAGAAAGGAACATCATGTAACTACACCCTCAACCCCTGCACCCAAAAAGAACAATAATATAGTACAAATTAGACCATTTGCTTTTCGAAAGAGGAGTAAGCGTCAAGTAGATTATGGGAATAGAAAGTATACAAATTTCCGAAGACCTGGTATAAAACCTCCATCTACACGACGTGCTGATCCAGAACCAGAAACTGAAGCTCCGGTCTCGTCTACTCAAAAGCAAAGAAGTGGAAATCGATTCAGTTCTCGTACTTCTACCAATTCTAGAACAACAACTGTTTCTGCGCCAAAATCTTCATCAAGGCAACCATTTATAATTCGTGGTGAAAGTCGAACAACAACATCTGCTCCAAGTTATAGAAGAGGAAAAACAAGACCTGCATCTAGAACAACAACAATTTCATCAAGGCCTAAAGCGCCAAGACTTACTAATACTAGAAATTCACAAACAGAAAGATCGCGTTCAACTTCTTCACGCACAACTAGTCGATCAAGAACTCGCACAACAACGAGCAGAGCATCTAGTAGACAAAGAGGATCATACGAAAATACTAGTGGGGAAAGATTTCTTTATAATCATGCTTTGAATGATGGCAAAATCACTATTACACATCATATACCAACTGAAGTTACCATTCCTGTTGTAAATGGTAAGATCACAGAATACAAAAGTGTTCTGTCAGCGACACCAAGTATTGAAACATTATTAAGAAATCAGGTTTCAACATCGATTGGGCCAATCGGTAACTCACAATTAGTTCTTGTCCAAGAATCAACGGAACTAGCTGAAAACGGTGCTACTAAAGTAATCAAGTATCTTGTACATGAAACACCAACTACTACTGTTATATTCACCCCCACCACTATTCCGAGGTCGTAGAACTTCTTATTCACACATATTACCAAGTACTGTTTATAATGTCGAAGCAGTCACACAAACGGTAGCACCTGAAATAAATTCAAATGTACCTTTAGCTAATTTGTTGTTATCTCAGTTACTTCTTGGCAATCAACAGCCTGCGATTAATCCACTTCTAGCATTACAGGGACAGGGCTTATTACCGCAGCAAGCACAAACCCCTGTAACCGAATTTAAGACTAGAACTACAACGTACGTCACTACAGTTACTGATGCTAGAGAAACTGTGCTTCCTATTACATTTAGAGGCAAAGCTATTTTAACTACTATAGTTGATCCTACTACCAGTGTTGTAACTGCCACTGAATTTGTTACGGATACAATCGTTACTACACCAACCGTTTTAGGTCAAGCTCCTCAAATTAATTCACTTCTTCTTCCTTTACTTCTTCAGCAGCAACAACAACAGCCACAACAAGCTCTGTCGTTGCAAACTCCAAATCCTCTATTAGGACTCACACCTGATTTATTACAAAATAATAACAATATTTTACAAAACAATTTAAATAATGATATTTACAGTAATAGCCCAAAACCTAATATTTTGTCCGATTTTAACAGTAACGAAGGTTTCTCCGATGAAATGCCCGTAGACAACGAAGAAGATGCTTTGCCTCCTCCTCCTCCAGAGAGGCCTTCTCGAAGAAGTAGACCTAAAACTCCAAAACCAGCACCAGCACCTCCAAAACTGACTAGTGTAGTAACTCTGTACGTATCTGGTAGATATCCTGGGGAGTTTAGCACTGTATTATCGACAGTAGTGTCAGACGACACACAAACTGTTCGAAAACGCGAAGCTATTTACTATGAAGATGTTAAACTTCTGTCATCTTTATTGCCGTCAATAGACGAACTGTCTAGTTCACAGTCTGATATAGAAAACGGTGTTTTAGCCGAGACAGAAAAATATCTGGACAAATCAGTGGAAAACCAAATAGAAACGCAAAGCTTGGAAAGTATTGTAGGTGAATTAAGCAAACATATAAAATATGATGCATCACCGACCTACGTTGTACAAATAGCGAGTCCACCTTCCCTTAGACATAATATACAACAGAGTACGCTTGACGACGTCTCGTGAAACAACAAACAAAATGGTTAGGTGTATAAAGTAATGGTTTAGTTATTTATTTACCATTGTATCATAGTAGTTAACTATGAATAGTGCCTTATAGATGTAATAATTGTAGTTTGTAAGAACGGAATACTCTTTTGTACTCTATAAGTTTTACCTATTAACCTTGACTTGTGGTCACCAAAAATGTCTGTCCTATACGTTACCAAGTCTAATGTATTAGGTACTGCGATGTTATAGGTAACTGTACTCACTGCCTAAGAATAAGTCTAGTTAATTGATATAATTGTAATTATATTTCATAATACTCGTTCTTCCTTCGCTTGCAACTGTAAATTGCGAATACGACTTAAAATGTTAAAATAATAAATAAATTTGTAAATTGTATATGTCTTATTCATTTCGTTCATGACATCTTTACATATTTTAAACTGAATCATTTAATTCAAGGTGAATATTATATTATTTAATAACTTTGCTAAATTTACTTTGAAACAAAGTTAGCTAGAGACATAATGCAGTTAAAATACAAAATATATTATTTAATAAATTTGAGATACATTAATACATAACTGATGTGATCAAGTAGGTATGTAGGTATGATCGCTTCTCAATTTTAATGAAAATGTTAATGTAAATGCTATAATTATAGATAAAACGTAAATATTGATCTAATTGCATTATTTTTATTACTAATATTTAATACTTTAAAAATTTAATAAAATTTTGGTTTGGGATCTCCAAATCCCAATTTAGAGTCGGTCAACCAGTCGATTTTCAAGTACAAAAGATAAAGGATGGTTGAAACATTAATAAAAATCTCTAAAATAATATTTCAGTTAAATATTAAAGCAAAATGATTCTTCCAAGGACCAATATCAAATAAATATATTAAAGATTTTAAACTTTTTAAACTCGAAACTTCTTTATATTCTGAGTAGTCCGTAATATATTCACTGGAAGATTTTATTTGTTTATTTAGTTGATTTATTTTAAAACTTCTTTTCTTCTCTGAAACACGATTTAAAATTTTTAATTCAGACATAATTTTAGAAAATAGCACTAATGAAGCGATTTCAATTTTGTTTCTTAATATCTAGTATCACACACCTTTCAAGAAACACTTAATTTCTGTTCATTTCTATTTATATTATATTATATTCTTTAATGCACTTAGAAATATAGGAATAATGACAATTACTATGAATAATGTTAGAAAAGGTGAACTGGTCTCTAAAAAAGATCTTTTCCAGTCAACTCGACACAGTGGCTTAGAAAGTCATAAGTGGGCATCGGTAGTGCAAGAGAGTAGTGAGACATATCTAAATACTAATACATATATACAAAATATATAAATATACATTCTTCAATAATAATATAGATAAGTAAACAAACCTAAAAATAATACACAGTTTAATGACAGCAGAATTTGTTGTGTTCGCTTATCACAGAGAGATTGCAATTAAATTTTGATTGAAATATTTTATTCATGATACATTAGAAAGTTCATAATAATTACAATTAACTTATAAATAGGTAGATTAAAAAGAAACAGAAAGTCACTATACTTATACGTGGAATAAAATAAAAATTTAAATGCAAAAAGATACAAGTCTGTATGGAAGAATTTATGTGACGCGGGCAGTATTATAATAACAATAATTATTTATTCTTATGGTGTTACACTAGTTGAATGACTTGAGTTGACTGTACAATGACTTGACAATGATGATGACTTACCACGACGGCTGAACACTGGTGACTCCTGAAGCTTCCTCTGGATGGTTCCAACCCCAACTCCTGCGCATCCAACCACCTGTAAGGTGAGTTTATTGAGTACTCTGATGTTGTTTTGTAATATTAAAAACACACGGTTACATGTTCTTGACTTTCTTTGTGTAAATATAAAATTATAATTTACTAATATAAATAATAATAGTTTGATATTAAAATAAATATACCTAGGTATTTTTATTATACGACAAAACAATTATCTGTATATATTGTCTTTAAATTTAAATTTCGAAATATAAATATCATATGAATGAAAAAGAAACATATGTGTACTGGATTCGATTCTAAGACATTATTTCATTCAAAATTTCAGTTTGATATCATAGTGTATTCTAACACTTTCCTAAGGCTGACTAAGGGAGATAATGTTTTCAGCGTTAAGCCCATCTTGTACACATACATATACTAATAGATAAATAAATAGCAAAATTTTTAGCCTAAGGATTAATATAAAATAAATTTCTAATAGATTTAAATAAAAAATATTCTAAGTTTAATTTATAACGGTCCAAAAAAATAGTAAATTCGCGAAACTAAAAAATAAAATATTACTCGTGGATTACAATTTAAGATTGTGCTTTGCAAAAAATACCTACTACAATTGTGACAAAACTAAACATTTTTCTCATTGTTAGTTTACCCAAATAAATGAAAAAAAAAATTAAATAAAAATAAACCAGTTATTTTAATTTAAAAACCAAACTGCTGAAACAATTTTTATATAAAATTTATGGGCCAATCTGAAAGTGTATCCTTTCAAATAAAAAGTATTTACCAAATCATTTTAAATTGACGTAAATATAAGGTGAAAGAACTATGTTCAGCAGTGGACATATAATGGCTGACATGATGATGATGAAACATAAAAAGATACAACCAAATTGGGGACCTCCTCCTTTATTGAAGTCTGGTAAAAGATATATATATACAGAAATGGCGCCTTAGAATCGACACCACTACCATTTCGTTCCTACAATGCAATTCATAAGGCTGTGGACTTTATTAAACGACTTTTTGTACTTAGATACACATATACAATGTACATATACACTTGCTCAAACTAAATCCGCGTACGCCTGATATATAAGATTTATAATACTTTATTAAATAAAGTGATGATTTAAAATCGTTCCATGTAAAGAATATTTGTTTGTGTTTATTTGTTGTTTAAGATTATTCCTTCCCATCCTTTCCGTTAACTTGGACCCTTAATTTGGATGTTGGAATTTTATTTTCTCTTATAAATTCCGTGGACCCTCCTCTATATTTAAATGGATCTACGGGTCTGATGATCAGAATGAGAGTCAAGAACATATAGCCTTTAATGTATATAAGAAATAGTTATTAACAGAAAGTAGATATAAGAAGTAATAGACTGTAGTTATTAGGTATAGAATGTAGACTATTGTAGATATTTTAATAATTAATTTAACATAACAGAAATTATATCTCCATTGGAATTTTTATGCTGATACTGATTATAAAACGCAATTTTTCTCTTTACTGTACTAGCTTTTAACCGCGACTTCGTTCGCAAGATCAAGATATGTTCACTGACGAAGATAGTATATATATATATGGTATATATATATATATATATGTATATATATATGTATACATATGGTATATATATATATATATATATATATATATATATATATATATATATAAGGGAAGCCTACAGAATGTATATATATATTAAACTTATTTTTGTTTACAATTGATACTACTTTCATTTTTAAAATAAATTAAAAATCAAGATCAAAAGTGTTTTATAATCAGTTAGATTATTTTTTATTTTTTTTTATTTTAAAATCATAATATTCCAAATGTGATTAATTGCTGTTTTTTTTTTTTGGCGTAATTGTTTATATTCTTACAAAAATCTTAGTAAGCAGTAATTGCCATCAATAATTCTTATTTAAAAAGGAAGTATTGATTAAACTACCTGATATATTTTTTTAATTAACTACCCATTTCTATTCAATTTCCATGTCATTATTCAATTAACTGTACTAAAGAAAATAATTGTAGACTATTTAAGAACGTCTTGAATGGCGCAGTTGGTTATTTATACATTATTCCATTGTGTGGAATAGAACATGTGTTTTTATTATATCAGAAATTATATAATTAATTACGCCTTTAAAATAGTTTTTAGTTAGTTTAGATACTAACCAAATGTAGTACTAATAATGCACTGTTACAGATATCTACTGTGGCTGTAAATGCTTCTGCAATCAAATAATTTGGTATACAAATTATTAATATAAATTTTTAATTCTTATATAACTTTGCAGGTATTTATTAATGTAATTTATATTATATTGTTAATAAAATATTCGCCATGTGATTGCGATATAGAATTAACCATCTCTTTCTTTACCATGGGTGTCGTGAAAGGCGACTAAGGGAATTAATTTGACAGACAGTAGAGTCCTTCTTAAAACATCACCAAAGTCTAACTGTGGTTGCCAACCCGCCTGCCAAGCGTAGCAACTGTAGGCTGAACGGCTGAAATGGTACGGTTTGATTAAGAAACCAGTAAATTCTTTGACATATATGTTGGTTTTCAAATACATATATAACTCATGGTCTTATTTATATCCATGTTAACAATCTGGTATTGCAAATAGTTTTTATATAACCATCACAAATATTCAAAACTATGTAAAAAAACCAAATGTTTAATATTTTAACAAAAATTGTGTAAATTTAAATAATAGATAGATTTGTCTGTTATTTTATTTATATAACTTAGGATGGCAAACAAGCTGACGGACCACCTGATTGAAAGTGGTAACCGTCACAAATGACATGAGCATTACCATGGTCATAGCAGAGTATACTGTTTCGCCTATGATTCCCACCATGCGTTGCCATTCCTGAGGATTCAGGTGTTATTCCTCTATACCATGTAAATTCACTGCCATATCCCACCTTTCAAACCGAAACACAGCAATGCAAACACAACTGTTTTACGGTAGAAAGACGAATAGGACAGAGATGCCTAAGCTAACGACTTTTGTACAAAGTTTCTGGTAAAATCTATTTAGCGTACACGTTGAGGTACAATTAACTCAAAGACGCTGTTCATATTTATAGACGATAATAACCACTTTCCATCCGGTGAATTTTTATCTAGTTTATATTGCAAGCTGTATTATATAGTATTGCAGGTGCCCATAAGCTACAGTAACCGTTTACCACCAGACGGGCTGTATGCTTGTTTACGACCTTCATGGTATAAAAAAAAATATCAAAACAATTGCTTAATTGCTCATTAGTCGGCTATGTAAATAATTGTAAATGTTTATATCGACTTTGTAGACATATGCATTTTTATTACACACTTATATAAAACTCATCAATAAAACTCAATAGTACCCTTTTCCTTTAAAAGGTGAAATTAAATATATTCTTTTTAAAGAAATCTGCAGCGAAAAGTAACGAAAAAAATAAGTCTTATATCTCCTAGATAGCTGCAATACATTTAAAATAAAGTAGGCTCATAGACGATGCACTTCTGTGACTTCTATAGGAAATTCATAAAACATATTTGATTTTAAAGTTTTTCTGTATATATATGTTATATATATACAGAATGTTGTATAATGTTATAATGTTTGTATAATGTTTTTTTGTTTCTAATAAATTAATTTAATATTCCAGCTTTCAACACAAACGGTATTGTGTACGATAACTCACCCTGGAGACCAGGAAGGGACATGGATCATGTCAGCCGGCCAATAACAGAAGAGGACGATAGGAAAATGAAGAATCTGGCCACCAGGATCATGTCCAATGGCGTGGAAGTACTGGTAAAAGACAAAAATTCTGATGGGAAACAGGAGCAGGTAACATGGATTACGGTAACCTTTTATTATATAAAGATCTGATCTGATTCTTAAACAAGTGTGTTTAAATAAACAAATTAATAAAGACAAATACCATAATGGTAAAATTGAAGGAATCCTTGACATTTGTTTATATATTTAAATAAATAACTTGAGGATGTAATAATTTTAATCCTTTTATTGAAATATTTTTATTTATATAAACCTTCTTCAATTTTACAATTGCTCATTAAATCTCATATTTTTTGGTAAATATTAAAGTCATTAAAATCAAATCTAAATCATTATCATATCAATTCAACCACAGGAAGCTACGATTGTACAATGCTTCTACTCATTTGCCATAATAACACAACATCATGCTTAGCTATAAATATTTCATATGTTTCTACTTTTTAGCGAAAATTTAAATTCATGCACATAACTTCATTGAAAACACCGCATCATCACGTCAGTACGTTACCACAACCCAAACAGTCACTGCTGACATCAGCCGTTGCTACTGTTATCAATCATCAGCAAATGAGTGCTATGTTTCCACTTCATCAACTTATGCAGCATAACTATATTATCAAGACATGTATGACTACATATACATATCTGACAACAGTAGTACAGAACAAACGAAGTGCAATATCAACTTTTGAAACAATAGTTTCAGTTGTGACTACTGAGTCTTTGACTAATCTTTACGCTTCAGATGTACTAGCAGAGTTTAAACCAACAAAAGTAAGAAATGGCACCCTGGGTTAAACGTTCATCTCCTGGTGTAACCCACAATACCCTACCGGCTAACAGTCTCTGCAATTGAATAATTACCCTATAAAGGTCAAACATGAAGCCCTTATCGTGATATATCTGGTTACAAATAAACCCTTGCTTCGAATTCTGCTTCAGTACCTTTCGCTATTATAATGGCAAAATAAAAATCTAATATAATATGATTATCCGTAACATTAGATCTTTCCTGAACTAAATCTTGATGACACACATATTAAACATATTTTAATTTTAATAAATCAATATTCTTACTTTAAAGATAAAATTGACTTTATTTATTTACAGACCAAATATATGGAAGTCAAGACGATTCAACCATCGGCTCCGAGTAATATATATGCAAGTAGTTTTCCAAAAATTGAAAAAAGAATAGACACAGAAAATGAAAATAATTTTGATATAATTCAACCATCAGAAATGGGACATGTATCGTGCACAACATCATGTTCTTGTTCTAATACAAAAACAGAAGGATTAAAAACAAAATATACACATATTGATGCTACTCTGCCAGCAGCTTCTAAATTTGGAATAAAAACTTCTAAATATGGTGCTACAAAAATGGATTTTAGACCAACGAATAAAGAATCTTTTAATAAGAAAACTCAGTATGGTCCTTATGAATTCGAAAGCAGTTCACATTTAGCGCCAACAGATAGAATTGTTGAAAAATATACTGAAGTTATTAATGATTATTCAGAGGAAAAAGATACAAGTTCTGTAGAAGAAAGTGAATTATTAACAAACGAGCAAGCTCCAACACCGCCAAAAACTAACAAAATTGTAAATAATAAGAACCATGAAAAAAATAAGCCAGACAAACCCCAAAAACCGAATAAAAATAAATTTGTTGTTGCGGATTTATTGAAGTTAGGATCATTGGGTATTAAAGGTTTATCACAGCTGGCACCTGTTATAGAAAAAATGACTGGTGGTTTTATAAAACGTCAAGATACAAATAAAACTACTACTACAACAGTTAAACCAGTAGAAAAATTAACTGCGTATAATGTTAATAAACGAGTTGATAGCGACATTGAATTTAAACAAAACGATTTTCCTATATATATTCCAGTGGATGAGTTAGAGACTTCAGAATCTCAAGTTTTTTTTACAAATGCAACATTGCATCAGAATTTAGCGTGGGCTGCAGAGCACAAGCAACCTAAATCACATATCGTCCCACCTAAAATTATACATGAAAGCCCACTTGTGAATGGCGGTATTCCCATTAGCCCCGGTGAGATAATTACAGCCCATTCAGATGTAATAGTAGGTAAGCCAGCCGTGGGCGGACCATTAACCTTGGCTGCTAGTGGAATTAAACTGCATAACCCTGTTAGTCCACCACCTATTGATAGTTTTGTAGCAGGTAATGAAGAATACTTAATTAAACAGAGGCCACTAAGTGATCAAGCTTCGTTAACTACTAAAGTAGACGATTCATACGATTTAAGGCCACCAGATGTACCAAAAATTAAATCTAAACCAAACAGAAATATTTTTAGACAACCTCAATCATCTATTAATCATCAAAGTTCACAACTTCAAAACAATATACCAGTTCACATACCGCAAATTATACACCCATCAGATAATATAATGAAAACAGAACATATAAAAAGTACAAATACCGTATTAGGAAATCATGGTAGACCAGCATTCCTTGACTATATTCCTTCATTAGTGAAGCCTAATAAAGGGCCACTAAAACAACATACTGATTTTAATACCCAAAAAGATCATAGAGATAAAGAAATAATTGATAGTAGTCCTAGTTCTTCCGAAATAATAAATACAAGAGTAAAAACGGATGGAGAGTATCCTTTATCCATCAGTCCTGAGGCTAGTAAACCATTGTTAGTAGATATTCAGCCTTCAAGAGTAGCTAATGTATTGATACCTCATGGAAGTTCTACTGCTTTAGTTTTTGCCGGTTCTTCTGAGCCACATAAAACAGGAGACTATGTTGATGATCCTTTGCCATATCCTGAACCTGGTTATTTTGGAAGTTTTAGTATAGATGCACCGCAAATGACTAATGTACATAATGTTGCTCCGAATAATAATAAACAATTTTTAGCAAATTCTAATATACGCTACCTTCTGGAACCTTATAAGCCTAGTGTTCCACCATTTCATAAAGAACAACCATTCAGAAATGATTTGAAGTCAAAATGGAAGGATGCTAAGCATCCTAATAATTTTAATAAAATTCCACCACCAACTAGTAATCAAGAAGCTCACGTTCAAATTGGTCCACAAATAACCTCATACGATCCTGATATTTATAATCCAGTTAATGGAGAATTCGAAAAGTACAACCATCTTAAAGGAAATGATAAAATTAAAGATGGTAAGGAAGTTATAGACAAAGAATACGAAAATTATCTGGCAGTACCACCTCCACCTCCAAAATTACATTTAAATCAAGAAAATGTATATGATATTAATAAACCTTACAATCAGCGCCCTATAGTTCATACAAAACCAGTGCAAGATATGAAAGTATTTTATAACATACAGCATCCTATACCGAAAATAACACCCGAACAACAACCACCCAAAGTGACATCTGAGATATATTTCGCAGCTCAAGCACCAAACAGCAAACCAACCCCAACGTATACAATACACATACCACCATCACCAGCAACATATCTTAATCCTTACAAAAATAATGGACCTATAAACAATGTTCAAACAGAAAAATCTACGGGTACTAATACGGGAAAAGTACATAATTCTTTTTCAGTAATATCAAATCCAAATAGTGGAAATAAATCACTTATAACAAATAATCTATACAAAACGGACGCGTCATATACTGTTACTCTTAACACAGCAACTAATATAGCAAGTAATGTAAAAGAAGGACAAGTAATTGGATCAAGTGTACCCGTTGCTATTGGTTCTTCATCTGATAATGATCATGTGAATGCAAATATTCCGATTGGAACAAATTTTGCAATTACTGTAGAAGATGCACCATTACCTTTTGAAAGCTATAATTTACAAGATAATCAAAAGCCTGATATTGTTTATGATAATCGCCCTCATATACCTATTGCAGTTTCAGTAGGAGACAACAGATGGAATATCAGCACAGTTGACAAAAATGAATCAAAACAACAAACTAGCGATTTAGGAAGCCACAAATTAAATCATAAATTTGTAAAACCTGCACAAAAAGTAGTCCCATCTCTTAATAGTCATGCAAATTTCCCAATGATAAACGAATATACTACTGCAATAAGCAAATACAGTGAAGAGAAACCAGTAACTGAACATTCTATAAATACTGCAATTTCTGACCAAAGAAGGCCTGCAAAATTGATACCAAATGTTCCAACTAATTCCCATGGATGGTATTCTAGTGTGGTTAATAATGAAAATAACTTAAATAATATCAAAGTCGAAGTAACAACAAGAAAGATAATTCCTTTGACAAATAACTTTAATTCAGATACCACTCCAGAATTTGGTCAAAAGATAGCAAGTATAGGAAAACCACCTGGTTTTTGGTCCCAAGATACATCGTCTGTATTTTCAAATTTTAATGTAGGTAAACCATTTACAAAAACAGAAACTGAATCGCCGTTATATGAAACATCCATACGGAGTACTTCTACACCTTATAAATATCCTCACTATATACCGTCAAATTTCGACAGTATAAAACAGCCTGCATATGATATACCTATTAGGGATAATAGCGATGAAACTACAACTCCTAAAATTATTAAGGTAACTACCATAAAATCTAATCCAATATATGAAAATTCAGAAGAAATTTATGACGGTGAGGAAGAAATTGATAATGCTGATAACATTGAAGGAGAAATTAGTTCAGAATCGATGAAGGTACCTATTGTGAGCTCATCAAGTGAAACAAATAATATATCCAAATCTACAACTGATATCACATTGCTTAAAGACGAAGTTTTTAAACCTCCCAAAGACACCAAAGAAAAACATGTACAATTTGTAGATTTCAACCCAGGAACACAAACAGAAAAGCCGTTCAAGAACAATAGCAATATAAATACTTTCCAATCAAATACAATAAAGCCAATAACCGTATATGATAATAATCCACATATGAAACCTAGACCATTTACAGTAAATACTATGTCAACATTAGATCATCAATTACAGCAACCACACTGGCAAATAAATCAATTAATGGAAAATGCAACTAATATATCATACGAAGACAATTTGGATTTAAATATAGGTGAAGAAATTAATACATTTAAGCGACCATCTTCAACACAAAAGCCACTATACCACAATATACAGCCCGATAATAAATATAAAAAACCATTAAAACCAGTATTTTCACATTCAAATACAACCCGTATTGTAAATGAGTCGAATATTATTACATCCACAGTTCAGATTCAAGACAAAAAACCACTGATTGTTGAAAAAATTAATGAAAAAACAACTTTGCCATCATTTACGATACCAGAAAGTTTAAATGCAAATCAAGCATCGACTGAAATAATTTACTTATCACCTCCACCACCTACCATAGATTATAATTTTAGACCTTCTACGAATGATGAAATTATAATGGGTATGAGTCCTCCACCTCCAAGAATTCCATCTGGAATCAAACCGCCTACCAGAATGCCGTCAACTCCGAGACCTCATCCTATTATTCCTATACGAACGCCACCTCCCTATAGACATAAACTTCAAAGAACTTTGCCTCCAAGAATACCAACACAGAAACCTGCAAGGAAACCAATACAAAGAGATGAAGTTTCTACATATAGACCAGCTTTTGATATTCTCAATAGTGTTCGTCGACCAGTATACAGTCATGATCAACCTTCTTCGCAATTGTTACCACCCCCAAGAGAAGTATCTACAAGGATCAGTAATACTATGAGTGAAATACCTGTACTTACTAATACTCTGTCTTCAGTATCAAACGTAGTATTCCCAACACCCATTTCTTCAGGATGGTTAACATCATCAGGTGTTGAATTTTCTTCAAGCTTTAATTTTGCTCCTACTTCTATTCAGTTCCCTGTTATTAAAGAAACAACTAAGGTATCAGATACGTCAGAAACAGCTTCTGCTGAAAATGAATTTTCATATGAAAGTGAATCAACATCATTAGAACATACTGATACAAGTTCAGAAAAATCAGCGACAGAAGATAGGATATCCACTTCCAAGGAAGTTCATAACACAGAATCCACCACTCAAATTACGAGCTCTGAACAGAGTGCCGATTCAGTTGCTAATGAATCGAGTCAAGAAGAAAATACTACTAAAAAACTAATAGTAGTGCCATTAGGAAATAGGAATAGAACTCGTAAGCCATATCCAATGCGGCACAGTGATAAGAAATCGACTAGTACTAGTACTTATAAGGTATCTCTTAAACCAACAACAGCTATAATTAAGCCGACAAGGACACTGTCACGCCCTGAAATTTTATATCCAACAAGACAGATACCTATAAAAAAAGTAACGAAACCAACACCTATAAGATTGCCTACTTCTTCCACAAGTATTTTGGAGAGCTCTGAATCTGTAATTGACGATGATTTTATAACACCGACAGAAGTTCTTAAAGATAACGTATTATCATCAACATCACAAACGAAGGCAACTGAGGTGATAGATAAGGCAAATGAATTATCAAGTGCTTTAGCTACTCCTACGTTAGATCAAGTATTATCAAGTGTAAAACCAACGCATCATGCTGGTAACGAAATAAAAATTTCGGATGAAATAATGCCGACTAAAACGGAATTTAAAACTACAGTTATCACTCTTACCAAGACCTTATCTGAACCACCGAAAACCGTATCGAGTATAGGTTATGTAAATCTAACCCATACTTTAACGGTTACACATACGAAAACAAGCCTTGTAAGTTTATCAGAGGGAGCTGTGACACAAACACTAGTCTTGACTAATACTCAAACATCTACAATAGTTGATGTGGTTACAGAAATTCATACTCAAGTGCAGCCAACAACTATTATTGAAACTGTTACTAAACATATACCTATGTTAGTAGAACCTACTTCTGTTCTAGAGGAAAAAATGAAAACAAAAGTACCTTTAGATGATATCTCTATGTCTTCAGAAGAAAATGATAACCTTATTATCAGAGAGCATGGTACTACAGAAAACGTGCAAAAAATAGAATCTGAAACTGAGGGAGATAATGATACATTCTTTGTAGTCATGAACAAATCTCAAAACGGTGGTCATGCTCCTCCAATAAGTAACGATGTTGAAACTGGAGATTATGATGGAATTACTAGAAATGAACAGGTGAACAGTAATGGTGTATCTCAAGTACTGTTTGGCGAAATCCTTCTGGCAGGAACGCCATATTTAGAAACAACAAATGTAGGCAATTTACCTGGTAAGTTCTCAGTTGGGTTTTGATTGTCAAATTAATATAAGGTAATGAGTTTAATATTTTTTTTCTTATTTTGTAGCATTCGGAAAGGAATGCCAGCCAGATTGCAAAGCTTCAAGGAATGAACGATGTCAGCGAATTGAGGGAATCATGAAATGTGTTTGCAGACCTGGATTCGCCAGAATGTTCCCTGATAGACCATGTAAACGTAAGTTAGATTTATTTATTAATATTATATATTATTTGTCTTTAAAAAAGAAAAGAACAGAGTTTATAATCATTATACTATATTACATCACAGAATTTGTAACATTTCTGTAATTTCATATTAGACGTTTGAATTTAGTTTTAATCCAACTTATACATTATGGCACTTTTTGATCAGTTCCAATCCATTAATATCTAACTAACTAGTTGTTTATACTATTATAATATTAAAAGTGATTACTTGCTCTGTGTTACTGAAATATATAGTAAATACTATAATGATATAAATCAGTAAATTTCCACAAAAAATTAACACATTAAATAAACGAACCCACAGGCCTTATTTATGGTTTTTTTACTATTTCTCGAAAATTGTAAGCTCTAAAACACATTGTATTATATGTCCACGTTGCCATGTGTACAACGGCGTCTATTTTTAATATTATACTTTTTTTTTCAGCTACTTACACATATTCAGTGAAGTTGGCATTGGGATCACAAGGCAATGAACGTCTTACATTCCACCAGAGTCTCTCTGATAACTCCAGTAAGCAGTATCACGCGTTGGCTGTTGCAACTCACGAAGGAATCAATAGAATGGTGATGCAGTCGGATCTTAGAGACGTCTTCCATGGAGTGCACATCACAGGTTTCTCCCCTGTACAGATGAAGGCACAGAATGGAGATATTTACCAAGGAGTTATGAATGATTTTTATGTGCAGGTAACACTTTAAAAAAAAATTAATTATCATCATCATTTTTAATCCTTCTAAAGTACATATGTATTATTCATTACACACGATTCTGATAATCCACCTGTTTGTCTGTACCTTTAGTGACAGTAGATTTTATACCGGAAATCTTGAAATCTGGAAAACTAACATATTAAAATTGTAAAAACGTTGATTGATATGGGAGATATTAAAAAAAATATATATATATAAGGAGCTTCAATAATACCAATATTCCTAAAACAATAATTTTTCGAACTTTTATCTGCAACTGTTAGTCTGTTTATATGTTTTTATGTTTATTACGGTATTACACAAAAACTATTGCACCAAATTGGATGTGGTTTTCACAGTTGTATATCTAAAAGTCTAACTAAAAGTATGGTGCTGTATATTTTATCTTGATACACCATTTAGAAGGGGTTCATTGGTTATGATATGTCTAAAATTTTCACATATGAAGTAACAGGGAAAATGTTGATAAACATATATTTTTCATTATACATATATAATGACAAATCAGAAGTATCCTTATTTAATGAAACTCTGTGAAAATTATTTTAATTTATTTAATCAGATTTTTTTTTATACAACTTAGAATGGCAAACAAGCTGACGGCCCACCTGATGGAAAGTGGTAACCGTCGCCTATAGACATGAGCAGTACCATGGACATAACAGAGTATACTGTTTCACCCAAGATACCCCCCATGCGTTGTCATTCCTGAGGACTCAGATGTTATTCCTCTGTACCCTGTAAATTCACGCCATATCCCACCCTTGAAACTGAAACACAGCAATGCAAACACAACTGCTTCACGGTTGAAACACGAATGGGACAGAGATACCCAAGCAATGGACTTTTGTACAAAGTCTCCCTCTGGTGAGGGAGAAGGAGTAAGCTCCTTATTAAAATAAAAATAACTAATCAGTAATTTCGCATTTCTAGCTTTCAGACAACGCTCACGAGAGTCGATTGAAGGAAGTCATCGAGAAGTACTTGAGGAACAATAACTACAGTCTTGGTGGTACTGATGTTCACGCGGCTGGAGAATTGGTGGACCGACTGAATGTCAGCGGTACATATATTTTTTATACCAATAAATTGACAAACAAACATAATGTAGATCTGATAAGTAGGCTTAGATTATATAGATAGAGTATCACCATGGAAATGCTTCGAGAAAAACGGGTCAACTTTTTCATACAATTTTGTGTGATAAATAGGTATGAGTGATTTCTTTATAACTTCTGTATTTACTTTGCCTTATAATTTCTGTATCTTTCAAATGTATAAACACTATATTTATTAAAAATGCATCAAAATCTATTTTATGCGTAAGTATATACAATAGTGATAAAAAACGAGTGAGCTAATTTAGAAATTAGCTGAAAAAAAGTTGCTCTGTTTTTGAGGATCGATGCTCTATCTATATTATCCTAACCTTTTGGCTGCCTAAGTGCTTTTTCAAAAAACCTTATGTTGTCGCTTAGGCAAACCTCGACAGGCAACGCATTTGATAATAACCTAAAGTGCTACCATAAGCTAGGAAACTCTTCTGAAACAATAACATAAGTGGGTAAATGTTGATACTTGTAGCAAGAAAATTTTTACTGATATAAAAAAAGGTATAACTGAACTACGTCTGTATGAAAGTTATTTAAGAACAACATATATGGAACTTTGATGAGAACAATAGAGGAAAAAACAATGTATATTTTTAATTTTGTTTGTTTGACTGTTTGTTCCGGTATCGTGCAAAAACTACTGTACAAAATTTTTTGATATTCTTAAAATCACGTGTATGTTTGATGATACACCTTCTAGAAGTTCCCTATTTCAATAGTTTTCTTACTTCCAAAACTCAGAAGTAGGTATGAAATAGAGGGCAAAAATTTAGTAAATAATAAAAGTAAAAATGAAAAATTTTATTACGAATTAATAACATATTTAATAAATTGGTTGTTTTTTTTTTTTGATAAAACACATTTGTTGATAAAAAAAAATTAAAATAAATATTTAACAGATTTCGACGAATGCGTCAGTGGGCAATTCCACGATTGCTCCGAGCATGCGCAATGCTTCAATCTTCGTGGAACATACACGTGCAGTTGCTTGGAAGGGTATGCGGACCTCAGCGTCAATACCTTGTATCCTGGCAGAATATGTTCTGGTGAGTATAACTAAAAGTAACTGATAAGAATACTTTAAGTTTTGTTCTAGAAAGTACTACATTAAATTTGATATAATTAAATGCCATTGATTAAAAGACAGAAAATACCTTCTGGCATTTATTTATCCTAAATTATATATTAAACGTATCGTGAGGTCCTGGCATAGTATGGGCCACTCTTTCTTTCTTGTAGTGTCGTAAGAGGCGACTAATGGTATTTAAAACGTTGAGGGATGAGCAGCAGCGTCCCTCTTTAAATGTTATCCAAGCCCAATTGCGCTTGCCAACGCGCTTCTCACACTTGACTACAACACTGTCTTTGCATCAGAAAACGAATAGGACGAAGACCGCGGCAGTACGCAGTCAGTAATTGAAGAAACATGGTCCAGTTTCTAAAGTACTTTATAAGCTTTTTTTTTTTTAAATATTCTCAGCGGAGCCAGTTGGCTGCGAGCGCTGCAACTATCACGGCGCGTGCTACTCACGCGACGACAGACGGGTGCTATGTGAATGTTTCCAATGGTACGCCGGTAGCTCTTGTCAAATAAATCTTAAAGGTAAGAATTTATCATTTTATCTTCACGTTCAGTCCCTTATGCGGTAGATTAGGAGGATCACGTGGCAAAGACCATTGACCACTTGTTTTATCTACTATCATTGTTTACCTGTTGCATGCACGCCAGTTCCGGAGATTCTAGGCTTCTCCTTCAAATAAAACATGGAGTATCTGGTCATAATACGAGTAGGTTAGTCTAGGTTTCCCACGGTGACTACATTTATGTATTTTACTTGATTCTTTTCGCATACCTGAACCAATACAATAATTAATTATTGTAAAAATAAACTGGCAATATAGAGAGATACTCCCTTTATTTTTTACATTAATTAACGATTTATTTTAATCTAACAAACTTGTTCTCCACGAGTCGTTTTCAAAATTCTAATTTCCTTAAAATCTGTATAGTAGATATACCCTTTTTTTACATTGCCCTTTGCCATTTTTTTTTTACGAAATAAATTATTTACGGTAATGATTTAATCATTGTCATTGTAATATAGCAGTGAAGTTACATGATATAGAAGCAACCATAAAGTTTAAGGTATGCCAATGGCAAACAAGCCGACAGTCCACCTGATAGAAAGTGGTAACCATGACCTGTATCATAAACATCATAAAATACACTGTGATGCCCGTATTACCGCGTATTTCTGAAAACTTTAAGTCATGCCTCTGTACCTTGTAATTTTCTACCATATTCCATCCTTCACACACAGTATATGTAAGCATAGCCGCTTCACAGCCAAAAAATATAAAAACATATGATTGATGACATTTTTTTTTTATTTTCCAGTGGTGCTGATCTCTCTTGTGGTGGCTGGCGCGGTGTTGTCGGTGGTACTAGCGGTGTGCGCGGTGGTGGCGTGTTCGAAGCGGCCCCGTCGCCAGCCACGCTCCATCGTCGCTTGCATACAGAACATGCCTAGTTTACACCAGGTGAGTCATCATCTCCGTCATTCTTATCAGTGTCGCGTAGGTCCCGGCTTAGAATAGACCACCACTTCGTTTCCCGTGGGTGTCGTAAGAGCTGACTAAGGGAGGGCGAGGAATTGGCAGTAGCGTCTCTTTTAAACATCTCTAAAGTCTAACTGCGGTTGCCAATCCGCCTGCCAAACGTAGCAACTACTAACAAAACACCCCAAAGGGGAGGCTTATATTTAGATCTTGTTGATCTGTTGATGATGATGATGAAATCTCCATTAATATTTCTTTATTTTAAATTATTTTCAGGGGGCAATGCCATCAAAGCAGCGGGCAGATCGTCGTGCCCTGATCAGTGAGCGAGGAGAAGTCGGAGACGCTTCTAGTATGCAGAATGCTTCTCTCCCATATATGCCAGCCAAGGTGAATGATTCTTCTTTACTTATTCTCATTTACTGCATTGGAATAATTAATAATATTAAGTGTCACAGAATCATACCATTTGCTTTGTTCTCAAACTAAGATCCTGTGTTATGAGGAACCAGGCAACGAACATTTAGGGGCACAACTCAATACATCCAGACACGAGTCAATTAAGAAAAAATCCTAAATTGTCTCGACCGGGAATCGAACCCGGAAATAATAACTACATTAAATAATGAATGATTCTATTAATGAATATACATTTCAAAACAGTTCCCAAATATAGATCAAAGTAACCGATAAAGACGGTAATCTTTATGTATACTAGCTGTGTCTTACAGTTTTACACTCGCGTGAATCAGTTTATAAAGTATTCTATGCGCTAAGTTAGAATAAAACATATCCATTTATCAAATTGCATTAAAATCCGTCAAGTAGCTATTGTGTCATAGAGTAATAGTGAAAGATTCGCCCAACTTAACCTTTCTACTTATTGAGTACAGTCTAGTAGTATACCATGAAATGAATTTCCGAATTTTTGGTCTCAATTTCGTATTTTCGTTCCGACACCGAAATCAGTCCAGTAAATCGAACTTAACGTTATGTTCGTCATAAATTATATCATAAAAGTTCAAAGGAAGTATATTTTAATATTTTTAAACGATGTATATTATGTAATTTTACCAACAAATTCACGTACATATGAATAAAAATATTGGCCTTTTTTTCGTCTAAACTTTTGTATTGACCTCTCTATGATCTGACATCAGCGATAATTGACTCTCGATTATATACCTTATTCTATGATTAGTATTATTCATTTTCAGCGCCCTTCGTCCAGTAAGAAATGCACCATGTCTGATCCACCAACTCATGACGCCCCTCCGCCCCCTGCTCCGGCTGTCATGATACCCAGGGCACGGCTGCACGCTCATCACGAGAGGTGAATATATTTTTTTAAATGGATGATAAAATAGGAATAGTAACCTCGATTGCGCCACTGGTGATGTACCAGTTAGAGATGACACATAACTATCGTAATCAAAAATTAACCAACATGGTTTCTAGGAGGGACTGCATGGGTGTCGACCAGTCTTTTACCGTACTAGGGACATTTTTTTTATACTACTTAAAATGGCAAACAAGCTGACTGCCCACCTGATGGAAAGTGGTAACCGTCGCCTATAAACATGAGCAGTACCATGGACATAACAGAGCATACTGTTTCGACCATGACACCTCCCATGCGTTGCCATTCCTGAGGACTCAGGTGTTATTCTTCTGTACCCTGTAAATTCACGCTATATCCCACCTTTCAAACCGAAACACAGCCGTGCAAATTGAACTGCTTTACGGTTGAAACACGAATGGGACAGAGGTACCCAAGCATTCGACTTTTGTACAAAGTTTCCCTCTGGTTTTAAATAATAGATCCTTTTACTGAATTTTTTTTTATAATTAATATTTATTTTCCATCAGTCGAGAGAACATATCCAGAAAGAAGAGTTTGGAACTTAGTAACGAAGCTAAACTTATCAGTTATTTGGAGTCAGGTGCGATCAATACTAATGAAGAGGTACGAAAAAATATTGTATGGGGTTCATATACTTATAGTAATATGTATGTAGTAATGGTGGTAAACAAGCATACGGCCCATCTGATTAAATTGCTTCTACAGTTTATGGATACTTCAAACCACTATAAGTATCATATCTGTATTGCCGACCCTGAAGAAACCTTATTATGCTTTTTTTGAGGAGCTCCAAGCTTTAACCACTATCTAAAACTCTATAGTAGAATTTTGCCCTCAAATAATACAGTTTTAATGACAGTGGCTAACTTTATAGCAGTTTAAAGTATGTAATGTAGGAGCTGGCCTAAGAAAACTCTTTTCTCCAATTGTGAATACAGTCATATTGTCTAAACAGCATATATATATATAATATAAAAATATAGCCAGTATTTATAGTGTAATCCATGATATATAATTAATATCTATTGACGATGGGTATAACTTTCCAAGTCCATTTTGAGAAGCCTGATTGATATTGAAAATATAAAAAAAAATCTTACTTAATCTACATACTTATATGTAGATACTTATATGTATTTCTCAAAAAAGTATTTATATATTTCTCTCAGTTGTGTAGTATAAGTTCCGCTTAGTTTGAGACTGTGTAATATAACACTGATTATTTATTTATTATTTATTATATTTAATTATAAATTATATATATTTCAGATGCGAAGAAAACACAGCGTAGAAAGTTCATATAGCGGCAATAAGGAGAGACACAACAAACAAGGTGAGTATTTAGTATGCCATTAACATTTCTCTTCTAGATAGTAAGACCGAGAGCATCTGGTTTTGCCCATCAAATTAACAATTATATTCTAATTATATAAATTATTAAAAATTTTAATTTGTCCTTATCAGCAAAGAAATACTTAGAAACTCCTTTAATATACTTCTATTTTATATAAGACAGAAAGAGAAGAATTTGAAGAATAAAAACTTATGTTCTAAAATTAAAAGACCAATAAAAGTTTATAACATTTTATTTTTGGAGCGCAATTATATTTTGGCCTAATTCTATAATTAAAAAAACTGTTCCAAAATTAAATTTTATAAAAATTGGAATTTTATTAAATTATTCTATATTTAAAAATATTTATTACTTATTTTTATATTTCTTCCTTTTTCCATAGGTGCATTAGTGTCCGCTGGCTTTAAGGTGTCAACAACGATCCGACCAGACGAGACAAACATGAAGGAAGAGAGAGATGACTTATCGTCTGTGCACAAGGCGGATCTAGAAGCAGAGTTGTCAAGGTTCGATTCCCTTAGGAAGTCTTATAGGTAAATATTTCTACAGATAAACTAACCTGCGTTCTACAGTTTCATATATTTTTATAACGTATCGTTTTACAATTTAATTATTACAAATTTATCCATTTATTATTATTTTAACGGAAACAGTATGTTCACGTTTATGTCGAAACTAGTCTAAGATATTCGTTCAATAGTAAATTAGGTCGACCTCCACGCGGTTCCCCCCGGAAACCGTCATGGTTAATTCTAGTGGAATTCGTCACGTTGGGCTAACTGACCTGCCTTTTCATCCTAACCTGTCATCCCTCACTAGTACCTCGCACGTGTATCCCGATACCGGTTACCATGCCATAATCACCCATTAAAAAAAATAGTTTATCACCGCTGATATTACACTTCCCTAGAGCAGCGATATGTTTAATGATTGAAAATTCAAAATGGGTCCCATAAGGAACCGGTAGCTTAATGGATAGGAATACAAACCCCAACGTGGCAAATAGGTGTCAACTATTAGTATTTTTTTCAATCATAAATAAAAAATAAATAAAATAAAATATTTTACATTTTAATTATAATTAACCCATCTATAACTATAATCTTTTTCCATAAATTGTTCTAAGGACATATTAATATGAGTAGTTATGATTTGTAAGACTTATGAATGTGTAAAATGAAAAGCAGATACTTATTGTAAGTTATATGTACAAGGCATAAAAAATTTTTCTTGGAGATTGTGTTCGGCGGAATGTGTTTTTTTTTTCTTTCCCTTTTTGAGAAAAGATTAATTTTAGAACACCGTTGAGTTAAAAAATTGTGTACAATTAAATTCCAGTCAAGAAGACATTATGTCCGAATGGACGGATGCTGAGAGACGTATTGGAGAACTGTAAGTTGATTATTTAATACCTGGCTATATCTTTCTACTTCTTCTGTGTACGTCATTTGTTAATTTAGGACATGGTCGTGTTAGAGTAAATTTTGTTTAAAATAATCGTTCTATTTACGTTAACCTTGCAACAAGATTATTAAGTTTAACCGATTACTGAAATTTAAAAGTGTGATGAAAAATGTGATGATTTTGTGTTACTATGGCACACGCATGAAGGAAGGGAAAGAAAGGAGATTGTTAGTTTATATATTTTGTTTTTTTTTTTGTTTTTTTTTTATTTGTGCTTTTTCATTTTCATTCTTTTATCTCTTTTACTGTGTATTATGTGTATTTTTTTATGGTAATTTGTGTGCTGTAGGTAATGTAAATAAATTATCTATCTATCTATTTATCTTAAAAAATTAAGTAATACGGAAAATTTTAATGGTAGTTTTATATTCATAATGTTTTATTGACAGAACATTGTCGGAGGCGCGGTCGATCGGTGGTACACTGCCAGCCAGCACGGGCAGAGCCGCTTCTTCCACGCGACTCACCCACCAGGTTTTTCACCCACATTTCTTACATATTTCCGTGTACAGACGCCACATTAATCTTCCCAAGGGAATGCCCATTAATAATATCAGAGTTTAACATAACTATCGGTAGTCATACTGTATTGTCATTACTTATATCAGAATCCTAGAATTTAAAATTTAATAACCAATATAAATAAATACAATAAGAAGTTTTTTTTTCCCGGATCTCCCTTCCCTTCATCTTGGTGAGATATAGTGAGACATCCTTCTCTTGTTGAGATCGAGATTTAAAATTAATTATTCAAAATGAAATAAAGTGTAAAAATCTCACTTTTTTGAAATTACTATATGATGCTTTAATATTTTTAATCGCTTTTCCATTGCTTATTTCGGTGAAAATATAAAAGGAAAAAGTTGGAATGACTTTTTAATTTATTTCTCTTTCTATAAAATGAGATTCGATAATGTTTCTTCCCCACTTATTTTCATTTAAATAAGCTAATTATGTTAAATAAAAATACATACATTAACATATCAAATAACATTTTATTCTTTAAGATCTCAACAGTACGTAAGGGGAGGGGGAGGCTTTTACTACATCTCGCTAAGAGGGGGAGGGAGTGATGTATTCCAGTGTTTTTGTTTTAGCGTTTTTTCTATGTAATTGAATTAGATACTGAAAAAAAAATTATAATTTTATCTAATAATTGCTTAATCCCCAAAGTACTTACTTAGTTTGCGGCTAGATGGCGCTGTGTGAATCTTACTTTATTTTTTATGTTCTTAATATTTAAACAGCTTGTAAATAACCCACTATTGCACCCAGGAGGCAAACACAATGGCAGAACGCGACCTCGGCTCCACCTTCCTCTTGCCACACGTGCACCTCTATAAACCGGATCTTGTGGGTATCTCTTCACACGAACATTTGCACAAACACTTCAAATTTTTATGTATTTATATTCTATTCTAGCTTTACACGTGATTGTCTGTGATTGGAATGTGTTTATTGTCCATGAAAAATAGTGCCTATGTCCTACTCCATTATTATCTATAAATAGTACTTATATATGTATAATATATAAGTATTATTTATTTATATATTATATACAAAATGTTTAGACAATTGGTTGGGTGTCAAGGCCCTAAACAGTCACAAACAAGCTCTTTTGATATTTATGATTTAGTAAAGGTCAGCCACATTTATAAAACTATTTTACAACTTTGAAAAAGCTATGAATAACCCCTTATAGTGTTCGTTTTGCAATTTGAATTGTAAATTTGAGATTTTGCGCTTTGCAAATAACTGAGTCAAGCTTATCCTTAAGCAAGCTGAAGTGGCAATGGACCGGTCACATAACTCGAAGAACCGACAACCGATGGGGAAGAAAGGTTCTTGAGTGGCGACCGCGTACGTGTAAACGCAGTGTAGGACGACGCCCCACTAGATGGAGTAACGACCTGAAATGTATTGCAGGGAGTCAGTGGATGCAGGTGGCTCAGGACCGTTCTTTATGGCAGTCTATGGGGTGGCTTATGTCCAGCAGTGGACGGATAATGGCTGAAATGAAATGAGTCATATTAAATATTGGTCCTTATCTATAAAACAACTTCAATACAGGTTTTTAAAATCTGTGCTACAAGAGTTCAGACAATGCACTTTGCAAATGACTAAGTATATTAAGGTTATGTTTTTTTTTTTAAAAGTATTCACGTTAGTAATTTCATTCAAATATATGATTATAAAGTCATATTATTAATTTAATTTATATATATATATATATATATATATATATATATATATAACCTGTATCGTATCTGTACCGATAACAACAATAATTTAAAATAATCCCTAATTAATTTATTTTTCAGACGAGTGACGTATCAGAATTCGACTCCCTGTGAAGACAAACGAGATTCGGTCATACATTAGCGTTATAAGTATTATTTTTGCTTATCCAATTCTATATTTTTACATATATACCACATGCGGTGTTACTCTTACCACCAAAGCAATGACTAATTTATTACTATTTATTCATTAAAACTTATATTGATTTTAATTTTCTTCACGAGAACGAAATTTAAATAAAAATGCCATAGTAAGTCTAAGCATTAGTATATAAGTGTGTAATAATGAAAATAATTTGAATGAGAAATCAAAATGTATATTATTATGTTAGTTTATTTCAATTATTTATAAAAAGCGATTTCTTATTTGAAGAATTTTCATTGTTTTTCTTTTTTCTGTTTTCGGTAATATTTAAAGGATTTTATTTCGTGCGCTTTGTGCCAATTTTCATAGTTTGGTGTCAGTTTTGTATTCTAATTTAAATACTATTTTTTACAAATATGTGTTTATTATTAAAGTTGCTTTACTAAAAATACACTAATCAATCAATATAATATTAGTAAGCTCGCCCTTCGCCACGTTGGTTCAAATAAGAAAAAAAAAACAAAAACGGGCATTTCAAATGTTACTTACCTCACAACGGTAACACTTGTTAATTGCTTCTGACTACCCCATTAGGGATTACGGTCGAGAGCATATCTTTTATATATACTCTGAGCATTAGTAATTCCTACACTTCGATTCTACTCTACTAAGTTAGTGAGTGTATTACAAATACATAAATATTATAATATGTATGTGGGGACTTTTTTTTTTTTAATGGATGATAATGAAATGGTAGCCCCGTCTGCGCTATTGGTATACGCTGGCGGGACACCAGTGAGGGATGATAGATGAGGGTGAAGCAGGTCAGTTAGCCCATCGTAACAAATTCAACAATAAACCAATCACGATGGTTTCCAGGGGGAACCGCGAGGAGGTCGACCTGATAGGGTTTATTACTAGCAATGGGGTTGCTAATCCCCATTACTAACAATCCCTTCCCCCCTGTATGTGGGGACTGCGTAAATCATCATACATTTTAGTTCAAAGTATGAAACGATTAAGGAACCATGTAGAATACTAACCAACTAGTAGAATACTTTATAGAAAATCTACCAAACTTCAAATGAGTTAGGACAAAATTACACTTGCATGAGACACTAGTCACTGTACATGAAGTCGTGTACAGCTTGCTAGCAAGTACCTAGGTACTGAGTAACGGGGCATTTTCTATCATTTAGATCATTCAATTCTGTGGTTATCTTACACATAATATTTTAAAAGATATTAAAAATTTCTCCTTGATAAAATTAATCAGAGAAAAGTTACATTCTTAATATTAGTATATCATATATATTCTAAAAACTTACTAATAGATTACTAAATATATTAGTAAATTTTAGTTACGTATAAATGTGAATTATAATTACTATCTGGTCGTATTAAATAACTAAAATTGATATTTTAGACCAAACAGTGATTGTGAATTAAGAAAAAATATAAATCTTATTGTAGTATTTATTGTTTGTTAGAAATTCCTTCTACTTAAAACTTGTTTCTTTCATAATAACTGATTAGCATCCAACTATTCAGTATGGGGCCCTTTGAATAAGAAATAGGAAATTCAGTTGACTATCTTTGAATTGACACTAAAATTAAATTTATAAGTTATTTCATGTTATATTTTATAACCTTAGATTATATACATAGAGCATTGAGCCTCAAAAACGGGTCAACTTTTTGTCAGCTAATCGTTAAATTAGCTGACTCGTTTTTTTTTTATTAATGTTTTATATACTTACGCACACAGTGTATCTTGACGTATCTATATTTAATTATTTAATAAATTAAATGAGTATTTGCGAAAATTAAAAAGGTGCAAAATTTATAAGACAAAATAAATATAGAGTAATATTCACTCGTAACTATTTGTCACGCAAAATTGTATGAAAAAGTTGACCCGCTCTTCTCGAAGCATTTGTATGGAGACACTCTATTTATTATATATAATTTAAGGTTAAAACATAGATTGTGTAAATCTATTTGATGTAAGTACGGATTTCGTATAAGCTTTAAGTAGCCCAGGCTAAGGAGCATCGGGTAAATGCTAGTTTGACATAATTTTATAAAGAAAATTCTATGTTATTCTAATGTACCTTTTTTATATTTTTGAAACAGTGTTATCGCAGATTAAGCTATTTATTTCAACACGTTACATTGTTTTTTGTTAATAAATACTTTTATGAAATCCTAATTTGTTTACTTTTTATTTAAGACCTGCCCCTGCTTTAGACGGTCACAAAATAACTTTCTGCCGTACTATTATAAAATATTAAACTTTAAATTTATAACCGAGATTTATACTTCAAATTTTTCTAATATTTTCTTTTACACAAACCTTATAATTACAAGGATAACTGTTGTTTCTTGCAAATTAATATTCATACATTACATTGAACAAAAAATAATTAACTAAATAAGTGCAGTTGTTTCGAAGTGATGCATTTATACACATTCGACATTTGTTTTTTTATGTATATACATGATTTAGAAGTACAACAAATTTTAACACACCGAAACAATCCGTGATGGCGGTAAGCTTACCTCCCTTCACATTGGATATAAATATGCACTACGACATGTGGATCAGTCGAGTATTATGTTCACCATTTTTTTTATATCACATAAATGGCAAACAATCATACCGCCCGTCTGATGGTAAACGGTCACTGTAACCTATGAACGCCTACAACACTAGGAATAGCACGTGCGCATGCTGACCTTAAAGGGACATACCCTTCTTAAAAAACCCATACTTTGGTCTCTAGGAAAAACCTCGACAGGGAGCTCATTCCACAGCCTGAGCGTTCGCGGGAGAAAAATCCTTTGAAACTACACTGTCCTTGACCTAAATGGTCAAAGAAGGTTCAAGCATCATCATCATCATATCAGCCTTTAACTGTCCATTGTTAAACATAAGCCTCCCCCTTGGAAAGTTTTGCCAGTAGTTGCCGTACTTGGCAGGCGAATTGGCAACCACAATTAGGCTTTAATGATGTTTTAAGAAAGACACTGCTGCCCATCCCTCGTCCTCCCTTAGTCGGCTTTTACGACACCCACGGGATAGTAACGGGTGGCCTATTCTATGCCGGGACCACACGGCTATTGCCACACAAGGCCACACAAGACTCAAGCATGTGAGGATGAAAATCAAAAAGTTGATTAATGATCGAAAAATGACTGTAATTACGGTTTAAAAAAATTTTACACACAATTTTCTTCTTAGCTTTATCAAGATTCAAGATATACGAAGACGAAGTCGCAGAGAAGTTGAAAATAAAAAGGATAAATAAAACAAACTTTCTAAATATGAGACATAGCGTTTTTATTAATAATATTCAATAATATTTAGTTTAGTTGATAGAATATCCAGCATTATAAATACAACGTGAAACAATTTGAACATCGCAAATAAACAGCTTTAGAAACTTAATACGGGGCGTTGCGACCGACACTAGCAATATATAACACGAGACTCTCAAGCACACAGATTCAAATGAACGTAATATCAACTATATTATATTTGTAAACTATCTTTTTGCCCGCTTCTTCGTACGCGTGGATTTCAAATCTGGAAAACCAATGAACCATTTCTAGATGGTGTGTCAAGATAAAACATACACCTGATTTTAAGTTAGACCTTCAAAAGTATAATTGTAAAAACTGCATCCAATTTGACACAGTAGTTGTTGCGTGATGCCGGAACAAACATACAGACTATCACAAACATAATTTAAAAAATGTCAATTGGTTTTATTAAGACTTCTCAAACAATTTTTTCTTAAATATCTCCCGTTTACAGACGACGTCCAGTTCAATTTTATTATATTAGCAAGATTGGTTACAAGCCCATCCCCCAATTAACTGGTAGGGGGTACGCTGAAATGATACAGCAAACCAGCTGCGTCAATTAGTGGTTTAGCTAAGCATACCATCTTATTACCGCCTTCAGTCTCAAACCGTTTGCTGGAATTGTATCGAATTCACTTGATTTGTATAAAGCATTTGATAAAGTCAAAAGTCCATGCGCTTTGAGAAACATTTTTATTTTTTAATCTACCAAGTTAGTATTATACTTGTAAGTTATTTTCATATTTATATTGTCGTTTTTTGTAATTAACAATATTTTAAATACTGTTAAAATAGTCTTTTGTGTCTAGATCAATTTACATACCAAATATAACATTAAGCGATTTCGATTCAACCCCAGATCTTATTAATTCAGATAACATAGAAGTTTATCGAATTTTCCTAATACCCTCTCCAAGTCTAAAATCAAGGTTAATTATTTGTCATCATACAATAACTCCATGATTATTAACTTTGGAACATACAAATGTTTGGAAGTGAGCAAGCCCAGGCCAAATTTTATAATTTGGTTAAATTTATCTACGGTCAATAGTCATATGTCAGTAACGTAACTATCAAATGAAGAATAAATATGCTCAAAGGTAAAATTATTACATAAATTATAAGAATACACAAGTTAGTGAAATAGGAAAGAAAATTATTTAGCAATTATTTTGCAAATAAAATATTTTGCAACTTAAATGAAATGGACGAAAATATTCAATAACTGAGTGATACTTTCAGTTGAATTAAAAAAAAAACTAGAATTACAAAAATACACTATCAACTGTCTTAATTGTATAAAGCTACGTATATATACAAACTGGCATAACTAAACAAAATGTATTAACAAATATGTCTAAGGCTTAATTAATGTAATTGAGATCTCATCAGAGTAACTCATCAGGCGACCGTAGAAGCTTACCCTACATTTTGTATCCCTACCTAGCTACTTACGTAAGAATTGTGCATGAATCAAAACCGATTGCAATGTTCCAGACAAACATCGCTGTTAATTATTTCAGATATGAGCAGGACAGAATCAAAAAGTTTATTATCAATCCCCCATCAAAGGTCCAATATCAAAATTGATCAGAAATGTGTCTACTTACCTAATTCTTATAAAATAGTTAATAGTCCTACAGTGTTAACTTTATATTGAATAAGCATAACTTCAAGTCTAAAAGCTAAGCACTATCTAAAGGATAGGTCGAAGTTACATGGACCAACGTCGTACAAAAACCCGACTCCAATACAAAAGTGAGTACCAAAATATTATCCAAAACTTGGCGTATATGGCAAATATCCAACAAATGAATAACTACAAAACGTCAAACATTCCGTGTTGGAAGTTTGTCATATAGACCAATGAACACTCTATCACTGGTAAAAATGTGAGAGTTAATATTAATGAATTAGGACTTCAATGCAAGTAGTACAATATGTACCGACCTCGATTTAAACTATCACAATAGATGTCTTAACAGTACACATTGATATTTCTCTACATTGTTTAATTAATGAAGTAGGTATTGAGTTAGTGACACTATACTTATACAAATGCCTTAATTTGTCAATTTTAGTTTTCGTCAAGTAGCCAACAGTGCACTTGCCAAAGCCTAGGATAGCTGTATGAGTAAGAATTATTCTAAATAAAAAAGAGATTTGCTAATAAAGAACTGAAGAAGAAAGATATTCTTATGCAGAATTATTAAACGTCTATTTCTTTGTAGTTTCTTCTAAACTGGATGGTGGAGATTTCGCGATCATTGTGAGAGATCTGAAAAGATCAAAATAAATGTGACTATCGTTTAATCAAAAATTAATTATTAATTAAGATTCTTGCGGAAATTTCTTTAATGGCTATTGCAAATAAGGATTACAAATTAAAAAAATGTTAACAAAATATACTTAAAACAATGAACAATACGAGTATGTATGTAGAATAAAATAAAACGTATGGGTGTAATGAAAAATAATAAATAAAATATCCGCATGAATCTTTAAAAAAATTTCAAACCCTTTTCTCAATTGGGCATGCTACTTATTAGTTTTTATATTTAAATTAAACATAATGCATTTTATTATAAACAAAAAACACACAGAATCAAACAAAAAAAGCAAAATAATCCTAATGATGTTCCTGTGATGGTAGATAATGATAGTAGTGCAACCAAGAAGAAAAAAGCAGTACAATACAAAGTAGTGTACCTATTTGCTGAGCTTTTCTTGAGAGTGACTTAAACAATAGCAGCTGTAATAATAATATTGTTTCGTTTAGTGGATACATCACGAAATTTAATGAACAAATATGTACAGTAGAGAAATAAAGTGAAATAAATATTAAAAATAATAATAAAAATGAAATATGAGAGATAACAAGCGAGTATAATGATGATGATAAAAAATATTTTGCCATAAATAAATAAAAATGGAACTTGAAAAGTTAGTTTATTTTCTAATAGTAAATATTTACATTATCAAGTTATATTAATAAATATCAGCTTAATTTAAAAAAGTAGCAAAATTATGAATATAATTGCGAATAGGTGCTGAATGACAATTTCAATAATATTACTAAATTTATTTATATATGAGTCATAGAAGAAGTATGCAGATGATCTACGTACTCGTATAATACCTAGCAAAGACTGCTGTAAGGAAGCTAGTAAATTCCAATAAAACTTTTTCCAATTTGCGTTACTTTGTCTCAAGATCTTTTTTTACAAGTGTACTGTATTTGATTAGCACCATTATTACATAAAATGTTATTAGCTCAATATTGTACCTTCTTTGTGCTGGAATAGGTGGCGATGACTGCGTTGTTGGTAGCGACGCCGGACAGCTCCCTGAAAGGGTTGGTTGGACGTCTTCTTCTTCTTCGTCCCTTCGCTCTCCTACAAATAATAATTAATATTGTCGTTTCAGCTATTCGTTATCTATTGCAGAACGTAGACTCAAACTGAAGATTATGGCAATCATTGAATGATCTTGAGCAATCTGCATTCATTTGATGACATTCGTTCATTTGTTGTTTAAAAGAAAACTTATAATTCTATTACTAAACTAAAAAGATAATTATCATTACATTATAATCCATCTATTAAATCTACCTAATTTATGTAATATTTTCCTATCGTCTCGTACAACTAAAACAACTTTTGAAGCTAATTATCATTTTTTTAAAAATTTTATTTTACAATTATTCAATCCATCTATTAAATCTACCTAATTTATGGACAACAAGAGAGGTAATATTTTCCGTAGAATTTTCCATCAATCCCCCGAACATCGAAAAAAACAATCAACATTGTCTTGACATTTGTCTCGTACAACTTGTATTTATTGACTTCCTGGCACAACTTTTGAAGCTATTACTTTATCTCATGGAATGATATGATTCTCCAATAGACCTAAATACTTTCAATATTCAAAAAGTATATTTACCTCGAAGAATTGGTGTTTCTCCGATGTAGAAAGTAGGCGCGGGAGTTTCTACAGTGGCTTCTTTGACAGAGTTGTCACCGCTGACAGCACTAAGTGTATCAGTGCTGTCAAACATTATAGTTCTCTCCTTGGCTCGAGGGACGCGACCGTCAAGTTCCTAAAATTTATCAAGTATTTTAAATATTAGCACAGTATAAATATGGTATCATATAATACCATTAATCTTATGTGTTTTTGTTTATTGAGGAGTCTAATAATAATGAAGAAATGTTACAGATTGTACTAAATAAAATTCTATTCTATTTGTGCTTCTGCACGAATCTGTGTTTGCATGGCTATTTTGGTAGAAAGTAGCAGTGATATAGAGGCATTGTACATTAGTTTTCAAGAATGACAATTCATTGACTTTACAATTTCTTCTGTGAGGTCCATGATGTTGTTAATATCAACACCATTTTTCATCACGTGTATCAATGGCTTCTTACCCATTCTGAATTCTAAATAAAAACCATTCGCTTTTTACTCGTGTTAACCTCACACTCTTTGACTCAATTGAATAGTTAACATTAGGCTCCGAATAGCAATCGCTTAATTGCTTGATGATTTCTCATTTACATTTAAAACACGTGTCGTAACTTGAGAGTAGACTGTTACACTGCAATGACAAACATGGAAGGTCATAGTCAACTTCTACTAATGGTACTCACTTTTCAAAGTGACAGCGGAATTAAACAAAATAATTCTAATGCAGTAAAAGGCACTTCCGCAAAATAACACTTAACTCGGTACAATATATAAGAATTAATTGAAAAGCCTACCTACGGAAATTATACGTACCTACTCATCGCCGTGTCGGACCCGGCGTAGAATGGGCCACTCCTTCTTTTCCCGTGGGTTTTGTAAAAGGCGACTAAGGGAACTTATGATCGAGAGATGGGTTTCTCTTAAAATATCTCCAAAGACCTAACTACGGTTGTCAACCCACCTGCCAAGCGTGACAAGTACTGGCAAAACTCCTTTATGGGAAAGGCTTATGTTCAGCAGTGGACAGTAAATGGCTGAAATAATAATAATAAAAACACCTACTCGTTCTATAGTAATCGTATGTAAGAAAAACTCACCAATCTCTCAGTGTCTGAATCGGGTTCGTGAACCTCATATTCATGAGAATAGTGTTCACTCGTCGACTGGTGTTCCAGGCTCTCCATCTGGACTGTAGTCACTGGATCCAAGGTGTCCAGGGAGGACACCATCGTGTTCGACCCTGGAGGGCGTACCGCTGTTATCTTTTTGATTAGTATCAAGCTCGGTGGGGTAGCAACATGTACAAATAATAAAATTAAAACATATCATAATAATTACAGTAGAAGCCAGGATGGGGCCGGTTTTTATAATTGAATATTATATTCATGCCATACATTACATACTTTTTTATTATTTAAACACAAGCAGAAAATAAATTATGCATGGCGCTGAATGTTATTAGTTTATATAAAAAAATGCATTAGTATAATTAATAAAATAGTCAAGAAAGTTTGCAAATTATTCCTGGCAAAGTTCATGCGTAATAATATTTGAATATTATTTTTAATATAAGAAAAATCCTTATAAATTAATTATATTTATATTATAAATTAGCATAAAGGCATACACAAACAAGATATAAAAGTGATAAAATTACGTCAAGTTAATATATTAGCGCTATATCAAGCAATTGAATGCTTTATTATTGAATATTCTCCTATTTTGTTCCACTGTGTATTAAATGAAAAATACATGCTTTTTCAATCTAATTCAATCGTCAAAGTACATATGTTAACAACTAGGGGTATAAAGCGATTCCAAATTTAACGAAACTTGGTAAGTTGTCTAAAAAGGCATCAAATTTCGATGAGAACCAAAAAACCAATTTACGATAATGGGAAGAAACAGAAAAGGTATTGTCTAGAACATGTTTTTCTAAGAGTTGAATCATAAATATTAACTGTTTCTTATTCAATTCTTAAAAAATGATTATGCAGAAAAAATAAACAAAAACATTGACTTATTTTTATAAAAATTGTTCATTATTTTTCAAATCGAGAACAACCAGTTGATGCTCGCTTTCAGATACATAACCTACAAGAAGTTAGAAGGTTATGAGGACCGAAATATGAAAAGAAAAAAAATAAATAACACCTAACGATTACATAATCCGGATAAAGGAAGAAGTATCATCAAGAAGTACGAGTACAACAATTGTGAATTTACATGCAATTTAATTTGTTCTATAATAGTGGACCAAAATATCCGTTAGGGAGTAAGAATTGTCCCTGTTCTGTGCAAGCCTTTAAATAAGCAAAATTTTCAAGATAAATACGAAGCTTTACACTTACCTCCAGATGTAAGAGATCCAGTCATCGGGGTATCAACTTCATAGTTGTAAGTCGCTCTGGTGGCGTTTGAGCTTGTGGCTTCTAAGCTGTCGGTACTACCCAACATTAAATCGGCTCGTGCTCTAAATAGGAATATGTAAATTTACTTCATATTATTAGTAATTGTTATCGTTACTAGCAAAATAGGTCCTGTTAGTTCGATCTTTATTATCCCCCTTGAAACTATTATAGTTAATTTCTGGTACCAGATTTCTTGTACTATTTGTCACAAGTCTATTTAACCTCATTTATTTTAATTTTATTTTTCACTAGTTCCACCCCAAAACCTTATTGTAAACTATTATCCTTTTCAGGTATATTTATCCCATTTTAATCCTGTACCAGTATTTCACCTAATCTAAGCAGTACGCTTGTATGACTTATTCCAAATTTAAGGATAAATTTTCCAATATCTTTATTATTATTATAATGGTTGTTATATGTTTCAAGAGAATACCATAGATAAAAACGGATATTAATTAAGTTTTAACAGACAACTAAAATCTATATTAAATAAATTATTATTTATTAGTTTAATTGTACCATCCTCAAAATATATTCTTTTAATTTTATATTATAGTATATATATATATATATATTTAATTTGCCTTTGTTATGATGTATCTGTAACTTAGCATATTACGTAAAAAATTACTATTGTCTTACCTACTGAAACTTCCAGAAGAACTCAATTCTTCATCTTGGCCACTCCACGAACCACTTGCAGGATCTGTGAATTGTTTACCAGAAAAAGAAATAACACTATGAGCTATCGACCTCCCGGAAGAAGGTGATAGCTCACGGATAGCACTCGCTTCTCTAGAAAATTCTAAATCTTCAGGTTTATCAGAAGACATTATTATTGTTTGTTTTGTAACTGTCACTACTTCTCCTTCTGAGGTATGTCTTTCCATAACAGTCATCAGACTATCCATTTCTGATGACTGAGATACCATTGAAGAAGACATTTCAGAACCATAAGACATAGAGCCTTCGTCGAAAGGCTTGGGTCTCGCTGGTATATCCACGGCACTATCTCCATCTGTACTAGTTACAGTTTCAGATACTTTTTTTCCATCCACAAATTTTTGTTGAATAACAGTTGTTGTCCTAACTACTTCTATAACACCTCCATCTGTAAATGTCCTAGTAACTGCATTAGATTTTTTTGACTTTTCTTCTTGATCCAATATTTTCATCATTTCTTCGCAATCGCCTGGTATAGATTCTGCTGAACCATCGCTAGGCGCTGCAGCACAAACAAAAGATGATGATTTTGTGCATTCTTCTACTACTTCGGCAGGTTTTGATTCAGATGACTCCTGTTGTATTTCAGGTTCGGGTACAAAAAATGCACCTCTATCATCATACTTTTTAACAGTAACAACTTTTGGTGTTACTTCCTGTAATTTCTGTTCTACAGCCATTTGCTGGTCAATAAGCTTTCTTATGGCTGCTGAATCCGTTAACATTTTTTGTGATGGACTGCCATAACTCCCTGTCTTTTGTGAAGGACTGCCACTTTTTTGTGATGGACTTCCAGTCTTTTGGCTAGGACTGCCTCCTTTCTGAGGAGGGCTACTTTCAGAACTTCCACTGTATGAACGTTTTTCTCTTTCCAAGAAAGAACTACTAACTTCTTTGGGGTCTGCAAGCAGAAGAGCCTCTTTTTGCTTTGCAAGTATTTCTGCTTTGAGTGCTTCAAGACAAGCTGATTCGAGACCTTCAAATTCTTTTAAACTTGATACTGAGATATCGTCACCTTGACTTTTACTCAGTATATATCTTCTAGGTAATGATCCATTTAATGAATCTTGTGAAGATGAAGAATGTTGTTGATATTGTTCCATTAATGCCTTTTCTAGATTTTCAAATTCTTGTAATGAACTAATGGAAATGTCATCATTTTCACCTCTAACACGAAATCTTATACGTGAAGCCATTTCGGATTCAGAGAGACTTCCATATGAATTTCTAAAACTCCCATAGCTTCCTATTGATTCTTTTTGAGAACTCAAACTACCAATTCGGCTAGCATCAAAATCAGTCATTTCTTCTTCTTTTATATCTTCTAATGGAACTCTTTCATAGTCGTACCTAGGATCTCCTTCAAACTGCATTTGTATCCAACGTTTTCCAGCTTCAATTTCAGCTAGCTCTTGAGCCTGTAATCTTTTTTGTTCTAACTCATATTGAAGCAATTCTTCATCTGACAAAGATCCAGAAGTACTACTAGTACTTTCTTGTTTTTTAGAAGTTTTCGATAAGTATTCTTCCACTTCCGTGTCGTGACGTTTCACATACTTTTGAGTTTTTATTTGTACACTTTTACCTTCAGTATCAGTTTCTTGTGCTTCTTTAGCAACTTCCTCTATAACAACGAAATCATCCATTTCATTTGGTTTGTCTAATATTTCAAATTCATCACTAGTTGGTGATTCTTGTTCTTTTTCATAAGCATGTGTGATTTTTTCTTCTGTTGTTACAACAAGATCCGATCTACTGCTTTCTGTGATTAATTCAGATTTAAGTTCTGGTGTTTCAGATATATCATACATATCATCCAAAACGTACTCTCGACCATTGTCTGTTGATAATGAACTTTGGCTTGGTGCAGATAATGGAGTTTGTGGAGTTGACAAATGGTCATGCGTTTTTAAGCTTGATGTAGAACTTTGTTTACTTTCTAGTTGACTATCAGGCGTTTTTACAACAGACTTTTCCACTTTAGTCTTAGGTACTGACGAATCACTTTTGGATTTTAATATTTCTTCATACTGTGCTGAACCAATTGGTATTATTTCAGATTCTACATCAACAAATTCTCTTTGGGTGGGTATTTTTTCCGTAATTGGAAAAGGAACAACACTCACCTCTTTCACAACCTTTTTCACGCATTCTTCTTTAGTTTCAGTAACCTCTTTTTCAGGTGTACTTTCATCTAATTGTACTGTTGATTTTACAAAGGTAGTTTCCTGACTAGAAGGTTTTTTAGTATCAGTGGCAATGCTACCAAATTGCACTATTTCATCATATTCAGAAGAACCAACGGGAATAATTTCACTCTCGACATCAACAAACTCTCTTTTTGGTTTATCTACTTTAGTAACCTCAAAAGGTAAAGCTTGTTGATCATGTATTGAAGATTTTGTTATGTCTTCTTTTATTTCTGTTGAATCTGTATGTGCAGATGATCGTGATGAAGATACATCGAGTTTTGAAATGGATGATGATAACATATCAGTTTTTAATTGAGAACTAGATATTGTATCTGAAGTTTCTTTTTCTTTAGATGAATGCTCATCTATTTCTATACTTTCAGGAGCACTTTCAATAGGAAAATGTTCTGGAATCATTTCTTTCGGTTGGAAACGCATTTCATGAGATCTTTTCATTTTACTAACAGATTCAGTTAGATTTGTTTTACTCCCATCTTCATCACCAGATGCTTCATCCTCACTTATATCTTTAACTTTTGTGGCTTGATCTTTTTCAGTTTCGTGTAAGAACTGTTCTATGTACGTAGTGCTTTCCATTAATTCTTCTTTTAATTCATTTGCGGAAGGCACAAGAGTTTCAGACGCATCAGAAATATCAATACTAGCTACGTGGCTAGATCCATCTGAGTCAAGACTTTTCATACTGTCTCTTGAAGCGAGAGAACTTGCTGCTGTATAATAATCCTTAGATGTTCTTAAAGAATGCGATGAAATATCATGGCTTGTCAAAGCAGATTCGAACTCTGTTCCGCTTTGAGCTGTCATCATAACGTCTACATCTGAAGATAAAGGCCTACTTTCAGATTGCTCAAAGCTATGATAATGACTTTCACCAGAACTAGACCATCCTTCTACTTCCGACGCAGATCGTCTTTCTACAATTCCTAATTTAGATTTTATATGTTTTTGAACTCTTAATTTAACTTCTGGACTACCTTTAGAAGATCCGTCTCGATCGGAAAGACCAATTTCACTTTCTGTTTCCAAAATAGAATGTGGACCACTATCTGACCTTATTGATATATCTCCATCTAAAGGTGGACTAGATTCTTTTATATTAACTGTATCTCTTTCGTCATCAGAAGTTGTTTCCTCCTGGGAACTTACTTTATGTGAAATACTTTCTGATTGTTGACTATCTAAAGTTATTTGTTCTTTTACAGATTTTGTTACGGTCTGGTCATCTGCATGTTGTGGTTCTTCAGTTATAACCTCTGGTCTGTCTGGACTAATTAAAAGTTTAAATTGGAATTCCGAAGGTGACTGCTTGTATTTACTACTACCATCACTTTTTTCGCTAATAATTTCTACTTGTGCTGCTTCAAGAGACTGCTTGACTTCATCTATGGTTTTTTCCAAAACTGATAAGTCAGCGAGTGGCTGAGCAGACATTAATGAATCAAAATCCACCCGTTCTGACTCAAGTTTCGTTGCATGAAACTCGGCAGAGGAAAGATCAGTGTCATAACCACTACTACAAATGTCTTCAAGACTCTTTTCTTTCACCAGTTTTAGTTCTTCTCTCCTATGATCCGTTCCTGTTAAATAAGCAGAATCAGCTTCTGTAGAGAACTCTGATGCATGTAATGTTTCAGCACTAACTGTTGAATCAATAGACTTTTGCAATACTTCACCTTCATGAGACTCTAAAGATTTAATCATATACTCTGTATCAATGCTCTCACCAGATTTTATCATTATATCTTTAGATATAGTACTCAAATCATCAGTTATCTCAAAAGTGTTAGGTGACATATCCGTTTTAGCAGGCTTAGTAAAAACTTCAGTTTTAGTTTCAACAACCTTTCTTAGTTCTAAAGTAGTATCACTATCAGAACATTTTGTTACTGTTGATGTTTCTAGAGTAGTAACAGCAGGCTTAAATGATTTTGGTATATCATCAGCCATTTCAAATGAATCTGCCTTTTGAAAAGATACCTCCCAAACCTGATCTTCAATTTGGTGTTGAGGTAATTTAATAGGTGACTTTGTAGCCTTTTCTTTTTTTAATACGTCACTAATTTTATCATCGTGAGGTAACTCTGGAACAACTTCTGATTCAGAATGGGTGTCTTGACTTCCAGTACGGCTAAACGTACTTTTAACCGGCGATGTGGATACCTTAATTTCTTTAATAAAATCTACTTCATATACTTCATTATCTTTTTTGAAAGATTTTGATTTACTTTTTGGACTTGCCTCAGAAGAACCACATCTTTCAGCTGTTTCACTTCTAAAACTTGGAGCATGCGAAGCATCTGAACTAAGATCATCATGCTCTTTACTTTCAATAACTGACTCTTCTTTATGATGTTCAATCTTTGAACTAATTATTCTACCCTTTTCTGAAACCTCAGTACTAGATACAACTTCATCTTTCTCTATTATTTTAAGAGATGAATCAACGAATGCTATTCTTGATTTAGCATCATCATCTTCTTCAATATTTTCTAATTCTCCTGGTTCAGTAAAATACTCTTTACCCCATTGTTCATGCGATAGATCTCTTTCGGAAATCTTAACTTCGTGTCTTTTCTTAATAGTTTCATCTTTGAGAGCAGTCATTTTTTCTTCAGATTTAGTTTGTCGACCTGTATATAGTCCTTGTTCCGAAAACTCTCGTTCAACTTTAACGATATCTGTATCATCTGTACTTTTGAAAACTGTTTTTGTTTCCAAGTCAGATCGTTTTGCTGTAGCCTCATGAGCTTTTTCTATCTTCTTTTGAGAAGTTTCAGTTTGATCACCGTCTCTGCGAATTGTTGTTTTTTCTTTGACTTCGTGTTCTTGACCACGTAATTCGTGTTTTGTTTCAGTTTTTATAATTAGTGAATCATCATCGGAAGATGATACTTGCTTAGTTTCCGAGAAAAATTCTTGACCAGATATTTTGCGAGTTTCAGTTTCTTTATGTGATAATATGGTATTATAGTCGTCTTGTGTGCTAAACTTAGCAACCATATCAGACATAACTGCATCAGGGTCAATTGACTGAAATTTCAATTCCGAACCTTCAAACGTTTTATGTACTGAAGAAGATGAAGTCGATGTTTCAATTCTAGATTCAGCAAAAAAAGTATCAGTTGAAGAAGTGGATTTTTGCATTTCTTCCATTTTGACTGCAAGTTGTTCTTTTTTTATTTGGTCGATTACATCAATACTTTTTTCAATAGTTCTGTCAACTAATTCTATAGCTCCACTAGTTAATGTCGGTTGGTCAACATTTATAAATGACAAATTATCTGCTAGATGTTTAACTGGAGATTTTGGTCTGGCAGCTTCACTTAGTACCTTGGATGCCTCCATCAGTACATCTGCAAAGAAAAACTTTATATAAGAACACAACAGGAAAATAAAGTAGTGTGTGATGCCTTTTTAAATTAAATTAAAAATTTTGTGATTCTAATAATTTATATTTTAAATTAAATAATAATAATTCTGATTCCGACGACTAATATCATGTCTATAGCTAGTAAAGTGGACTATAGTTTTACATGTATTGCTGTTATACATATATACTAATAAATGTTATAATATTAAAGTTCTAACAATTAATTCAGCGCGTAAAAAGTAATACATATCTTTATAAATTTATTAAATAGGAGTGTTAATATTTTTGAGTTGTTAATAACAAGAAAATAATCATAAATTGCATCGATAGAAGCAGTAATATTGCATTGATTTTTTATTTTATCTATTATGTTGTCGTAAATATCTATTGTTGAATTACATTCAATATTTATTTTCATTAACTTGTGCTAAAGCTTGAATTATGTACAAGTGTGATAAAAAAATTTAGACAATAGCGATGGAAGCTTGCAAGATGATAGAAAAATCATACAACGAAAGACTTAGAATCAAAGCGAAACATTACTCTATGTGATTGATGTGGATGAAAAAATTTGCGAATTAAATACAAAAACTTATATTTTCGAGAAATATAAAGCGAGAGTAATAAATAAATAAAAAAGTTATGAAATTTCGAATCTGCTTGTGGGTCCACTTACCTATTGCAACGTAAGGGCTCCGCAAAAAAGAAAGTAAAATTTACTGTGCTGACAATTGTTGATCCAACGAATATGTTAGTCGTAAACGAGATCGCTTGCATTTTTTCTATAATTGTATTTGGGGATGTTTATAGTTTAAATAAGGTGGGAGTGCCTCTATAGTTGTCTAATATTTACGTGCTTATTATATATTTAAAGGATAATTTAATCGAAGTAAGTCTATTAATTAATTTTCTGGGAACAAAGTCTTATATCATATACATATAATAGTGAAACTGAATCACAAAATACACATGCGATAACTGGCATAAAACTAAAAAGTGTGGCAAACAATACTCTCTATAACAATGATTGCCTCTACTAAAATTAGGAGTAAAGTTTCGCTATGACTCTACTTTGCCACTACTTTCGCTGCGAAAAGCTTGTAAAAATAATATCTTTATATTACTTATATATTATTGTCAATTTATATGATTTTGGTACGTGAGTATAAATATAATATTAGTTTTATTAAATATCTTTAATTTAAACCATAGTAATTTATATATTATTATTTAAGTTTAAGCATGTGGAATAAAATAACACTGACCGCTCTGATGTGCTTCAGTTTCGCTAATAAGGCTATCTCCAGCTGACGATGCCCTTGGTGACTGACGGCTTGCATCCAGGAACGAAGAATCGGAACCTAAGTGTAATGGAATATTAGCTACTACTTCTAGCATCTACTTCTATTATGATAATGTTATTAGCACGACATGAACACTACACTTTATTTACACAAATCGTAAAAAAAAAAATTATGCCTTCACTCTTATTTCATATTTACGAAATGTTAATATATAAATTTCATTTTCAAATATTTACAAAATTATTTTATAAAAATATTTATGTAAGTGCTTCTAAATGTAATTATATCTATAATTAATTACTAGTAATTTTGTGATGTAATGACTTTTTTAATTAGATAGGATAAAACATATCTTCCTAAATGTTAAAAAATATATCGTTTCACGTTATTATCCTAATATGCGAGTGATTTTATCAAATATTCATATTTATTAAAAGAAAAAGTACCTCTTAGTTGTAGCCCGGTTTGCTTATCACCAGTACCTTCCTCCACTTTAGATTTATCTTTAACTATTAGATCAACTGGCGACGGAGGTGGGGTTTTCGAGAATTTAGATACTAGATCTGTAAAAAAAATAGGAGAATTAGATAAAATATATAAATTTAATTATATATGTCATAAATTTTACTGATTGAATGAAGATTCATTTGTAGTTTTTAAATATTAAGGAATTAATACTAACCATGTGTAACATGACTGGAATCTATTCTAATTAATGCTCCTTGAGAAATATCTTCTAAAAGATTAGAACATCTTCTATGTAATTCTACATTATCAGGAATATCATCAGAGACTTTTTCACCGTGATCCTTAGATTTTTCATTTTGACTTTTATCATCATATTGTTCAAGAGTTAACTTTGTGCTTTCTTCCTCTTTTTCGAATTCAGATTTTAATTCTGCTATTTTTTCATCAATTTCCCCAATAAAATCTTTTTCTACATCAATTGATTCAGTCTTTACTTTATCTGATGATCTGTCCTCCACTTCGTCAAGTAATTTACTACTTTCAGCCATAACAGAAGTTCCTTGGGAAGAACTTGATGATATTTTAAAAACTTTTGATATTGATCTTTCTTCTTCTATATATTCTCTACTAACAGGAGGAGCATCAGATACATCAGATGCTAATGTCTTAGAAACATCATATAAGGATTGATCGTCAGAGAAAGTTTTCTCGTCGATGGACTTTGAATATTCTTTCACACTTTCTACAGATGCCTTTGAAAAGTCTTTCGTTAAATCAACTGTTGAATCCTTGGATAGCTCATTCGTAGCAAAATCTCTAGATGTATCTTTACTATCAATGGAAGATTTTGAATAATCTTTTGTTAAGTCTATTGATTTCTTTGATAAATCTGGAGTTCCTCGATCATCTGCTTCATCAAATCTAGAATCATCTTTTGCATCAAAAGAAATCTTAGAAGGATCTTTAACGAGATCTGCTCCACTTATTTTAGAAAACTCAGCTGATGTTCCATCTTCAAGTACTGATATTTGATCTTCATCTGACGATTTTGTAAGCGAAGATATAACTGTTGTTACTGAAGATTCTGTAGTAGATTTTGAAACTAAATCTGACTGTAATATTCTATCTACAAATTGTGTTTTTTTAATGAGTCTTTCTGAGGATTTATCATCATCAATATGAGCCGAAGTATGAGGCTTATCTTCAAATTTAACTGTATCAAAAGTTTCTGGTAGTTCTTCTACATATTTTCCATCATCTCCAAAGTCTTCATTCTAAAAAGTAAATTAACCCTTAATGCAACTATGCAAAAAATCTATAATAATAATATATAAAGTACCCACCTCTTTTTCTGGAAAATCATCAGCGTCATCCAGAGAGTCTGTTCGAATCTTCCGTGCATCAAAACTAGTTTCCACTGCTTTACCATCGAGATCAGAAATTGGTTCAATTATTTCTAAAACTTTTGCTTTATCCATATCTATATTATGAAAAACAGAAAATACTTACATGATTATAATATTTAATTATTATTTTATTATTTACTTATATTTTAATTATATTGTTTTATTTGTAAATAATTGTATATTAATCTTCTTACTTAATATTTTGAAATATATTGTACCAGAGGGAAACTTTGTACAAAAATCGTTTGCTTGGGCACCTCTGTCCCATTCGTATTTCTACCGTGAAGCAGTTGTGTTTACATGGCTGTGTTTCGATTTGAAGGATAAGAATTTACAGGGTACAGAGGAATAACATCTGAATCCTCAGGAATGGCAACGCATGTAGAGTGTCATGAGCAAAAGAGCATACTCTGTTATGTCTATGGTACTGCTCTTGACTATAGGCAACGGCTATACTTTCTATCAGGTGGGCTGTCAGCTTCTTTGTCACTCTAAGTTGCATAAAAAATTTTGTAGATAATATATATATCATAAAGAAATATTTTACTCACGATTTCAGAAATTTTATACTTATTAAATTTTTTACAAAAATACTGAACTTACCTGATTCAGAATCAGTGTATATCTGCTCTTCAACTTCCTCCGGTGAACTTTGAACTGAAAATGTACGTGGATGCTTTTTTTTGGGTAATATTACTATTTCTCCGCTATCTCTAGACAAAGACTTTATTAATCCAGGCCTTTCCTTTACAAATTTTTTGGTTTCTTCAAAAACTATTTCTTTCTTCGCCTCTATTTCTCTTTCTTTTGCCTCTTTTGAAGATTCTAAATATTCTTCGACAGTGGTAACAGCTTCTTCTATAATGGAATCAACAGACACTTGACCTGCAATATCTTGATTTTGAGGCTCAGATGGTTCAATCAATGGTTCATCTAGAGATACATCTACTTCCTCTGATGCTTGCTTTATAATAATCTCAATATTGTCTGCCATTTGCTTCATAGCAGAATCAGATTTTTTCATTTCTAATTTTGTTTCAGTTGCCTTAGTCTCTGTTATTATATTACTCACTATTTTAGGTACTTCATCTTCTGTTTCTACTTCAGATTCTGCTATTCTTTCAAGAGAAATTGCAGGACTAATACATGAATGTCTTCTCTCTTCTTTATGAGGCACCTTAGCATCATATGATCTTTTCTCAGATTCAACTATATCTTTAGTAATAGTTTTTATATCTTTATCTAAAATAGGACTACGAGATGCTGCAGCAATACTTCCTTTCTGTAAGATATCGTCAATTACGGGTTTAACTTGTTCTTTAGTAATTTCTGTACTTTCTTTTAAATTCAATTCTTTTGGAGCAAACTTTTTATCTTTTAACTCTTCGACATCACTAGCATCAAATTTACCAAGAGTATCAGTTCTAATTTTAGACACATCAAATTTACTAGTTTTAACTGTTGCTTGTTTTGTTTCGTCTGTATGTTTTTCTACTGAAACTGTCGATTTCTTAAAACTAGTGGCTTCAGTAACGCCTTTAGAATCAAATTGTTTAGTTAAAATATGTGTCTCAATTTCTTTTGTATATATTTCTGGTATCGTCTCATCCTTTTCTGTATCTAACACAATATTTTCTGTAGAGAACTTTATTGATTCCTTTTTAGTTACAGGAATAGTTTCGCGTTTTATTTGTTCTTCTCTTTCTCTATTTAAAAATTCACTCATCATATTTTTATCTGATAATGATCTAAAAAAGAATTATTCGGTCATATAAATATTAAATAAATATAATCAAAACTATTATTGCAGAAAAGATCGATATTTTAGCAAACAAATGTGAGATTTTGTACAAAAGTCGTTTGCTTGAGCACCTCTCTTCCATTCGTATTTCTACCGTGAAGCAGTTGTGTTTGCATGGTTGTGTTTCTGTTTTGAAGAGATATGGCATATTGAAGTGAATTTACAGGGTACAGAGGAACACCTGAGTCCTCAGGAATGGAAACGCATAGCAGGTATCATGAGCGAAACAGTATACTCTGTTATGTCCATGGTACTGCTCATGTTTATAGATGACGGTTACCACTTTTTATCACATGGGCTGTCAGCTTGTTTGATATCTTAAGTTGCCAAAAAAAAAATTAAAGGATGTCAAATTTATAGTTACACTTACCCAATTTCAGCAATATGTGGTAGTTTAGGAACATAATCAGTGACGTGATCTTCTGGAAAGCCTTCAACATCATCTAATGAATCACCATGAGTTAACTTAGCAATTTTAGCTTGTTCAGCTGATATTCCTAAAGAATAAATAAAAATATAATCTTTTGTCAAATAAATATCCACTGTAATCATAGCATTACACAGTGTTTATATTACCTGTCGACATTTTAGTTTTAGAATCTGTTTCATATTTTGATTCAACTTTATCTTTAGAAATATCGACATGGGTTCCTTGTGTACCAATATCATCTTCTGATTCTTCGAATGTGTAATCTCTAGATTCAGTTAAACTATGAGCATCTGATAGTCGCTTCTCTTCTAGACGTAGTTCACCTCCTGATCCTGAGCTTGCTGACGTTACCGACTGACGTTTTACTATATCAACTGAAATGCATTGAATAAAATAGCTTATTATTAAATTTATATTTTACTGTTATTGTATATATATTGTATAATTTAAAATGCATATTAATAATATATAACATAATATGCATATATCTTAATAAATACATCTCAATTTATCTTTGAATAAAAATAAATAAACTCACCCTTTTCAATAGTATCATCTTTTAATATTTGAACTTTCTCAACGTGAACATCAACTTTTTCTATATTTGTAATCGTTTCTTTAACTATGGGTTCTACATCTTTATCTTGATCTAATATTCGATCACCCTCTTTTGCAGCTTCTTCTTCAGAAGATGTTTTTTTGTCTGTCACGGCATCTTCTGAACTAATTTTATCCGAAATCCCTTCAGATGACTTTCGATCAGATATTTCAATCTCTCTGCTACTTTCAGATGAAATTTTATCTGATACTTCATCTTTATCAAACGATTTGTCAACTTCCTCAGCTTCAGTTACAATCATTTGAAATTCTTGTTTTGGTTTCGATGATTCTATGTCAACTTGCAAGTCACTTAACTTAGAAATAGATACGGATTCAGTCCTAGAGTGTCGTTTTGGTCCCATTTTCTTAAATATGACATCAGTTTCCTTATCTGATTCTGAATCTTGTTTTTCGGAATCAAGCACTTTTGAATCTATTTTCATCGAAGTAAAGCCGACGCTTTCTTCAAATTTCTCATCACCAAAACCGCTACCAGAATCAGCTGTTTCTTCGTACTCTGCTCTTTCATCGAAATCCGATGAAGATACTTTTAATTTTACATCTGATTGATCTGATTTTAAAGATTCGGCTTCCGAGTGTCGTCTGGAGTCAGTGTGTTCGGAGTCCTCCAATGAGTCTGAATATATACGTTTTGAAAAGAAACATTCCTGCACAGAATCATCTTCAGGTACCGTCTCTATAAACTGACGTGCTTTTGCACTAATAACAGGCGAATCCTTCGGTGATATCTGAAAATATTTAAGTTATTTTGTTTAGATAAAATCTTAATATATTATTATTATACAATTACTGATATAACACTTCATTACCTTTCCTTGATCTTTTATATTATACGTTGAGCCATCCACTTGTGCACTATATTCACTTTCGTATTTTAAAAACTCTAACGTTTGCACTTTTGTTGAATCTGTTTTGTCCACTGTTGCAGTTGTAACTGTCTTTATAACTGCTGATTCTTTATCTAATGTTGGTCTGTGTGCTGGACTAGTACCTATCTGATCTTCTAAATCAGAAAACTGTGATGTTTCGTCAAGTGAATCACTTCGATGCTTAGAATCTTTTGAGTAAACCTAAAAAGTAAGTAATTGGAATAATTATAATAAATAAACCATAAATACTTTAAAAAAAGTAATGTCTATGACAATATAACTGTTTATTTAATTATAACAATAATTATAACATTATAAATTATATAATGATAACGGTAATGCCTTGTTATTGACAACAATAGAAGCAATAAAAAAAAAAACTCGAACTCTATTCTATGGAAACTATTAGCATCCAAATTATGTTTGTGTTTTAGTTTCGAATATTAAGTCATTAATACATTCTAGTACCACCTTAGATTCCGTTTGTGAAATAAAACTAAAGTCCTTCTCTGTACTTTGCTGTAAGTCAGCTAAGGAGTCGGCTTTGTCTATGACTGACGGAATCGGTGATTCTTGAGATGATTTTATATCTTGTATATCTGATCCTAATGAGTCGGTCTTAGTACGTTTACTAACATCAGATTTCATACTTGCTATTGATTGTTGCGTTTCAATCTAAAAACAAAATCACTTTGATAATAAAATAAACACATTATAGAAAATAATACTATAAAATTTATTAAATAATTTGAACAATCATACCTTCATCTCTTTTATACTTTCTCTAACAGATACATCTTTTTCCTCTAATGCTTCACTTATCTCTTCCTCGCTCACTTTAGTTCGTAATTCTTCCGTCATTTGTTTTTCTATTTTTTTAACTTTAACTGAAAAAGCTTGATCTCCTTTTTTATCATTATCATCGTCATCATCGCCACGTTTTGTGCTTTTATCGTCTTTTTGGTCAGATGATTTAAAATCTTTAGGACGAAGTCCAAAACTATCTTTTAATCCTTCCCGTTTTTCAAATAATTCTTTGTCAATATTTGCTTTAGACATTTTATCCAGTTTAATAGTTGTTTGTGATTCAGTTTCAGTTTCCGAATCAGTTGATTTCTTTAAAAATTCACTATCTTCTTCAGATGATACTTGAACGAGTGTAGAATCAGTTCTCATTGTTTTTGGAATTGATTTAGATTTATCATCTAGTTTTCCTTTTGCATCAAAGCATTGTATTGTTTCTTTAACAGATTTGACAGCTTCAACATGCTTTTCAGATTCTATTAAAACTTTGTGAGTTATGTGTTCATGCGTTTCCATAGTAGATATTTGTTTCGACTGTTCTCTAACAAATTCCTGTGTATATTCAATACCTTGGTCTTGTTCCATCGTATGCTTTTTCAAAGCTTCTTTAGTTAACTTTACCGTTGTCTTGGGTATTTCTATTGAAGGTTCTTTTATAATTTTAGATTCAAATGAATTTATTTTATCCTTTAATGTGGCCTCCGCAATATCTTTATCATCTGTTATTAATTCTGGTGATTTATCACCATCATCTAATTTTTCTTCCATTCTAGAACTTACAATTTCTTTTTGAGATATTACTTCTTTTGTAAAGTTATCAATTTTACTTTCTGTGATCTGTTTTACTTCCGTAGTATCAGCAGTCACTGATTTTCGAGGTGTAATAGTTACATTCGAAAAATCACCGGAGGGGAACCTCATTGATTCATTTCTCATATGTCTTTGTAAATGTTTTGGTGTGGGTTTAGCTGGAGATGACGGATCGAACTTTCTAAATTGTTCTATAGGCCTCTCTGCTGGTTTTGGTTCTTCTTTCTTAACTGTAATAATATCTTCTCTGTGAATTTCAATTTCATTTTCTTCTTCAACAATATCTGGTGAAGTTTTTGACCTAGTCTTTTCTAACTTTGGTTCTTTTTCCTTTACCTAAAAATAAATTCAATTAAATGCAACAAGTAAGCTATGTATAATAATAACAGTATATCGAGAAAAAATGTACCTGTTGTTCAATATCATGGAACTTTTTAATGTCTGGTTTTATTTGTGTTTTAATCTCAATAATCTCTTCACGTATTTCTTTTTTTTGTTTAGATGCTGGTATTTTACTGGAACTTAATTTCCTGGTTATTTGTTCCTTTCTCTCGGCTACACTGCGCTTTACATCTGTAATTATTTGAAGCAAATAAAATATACATAAATAATTCATAAGACAGGTCACAACCACCCACGTATACTTGGTTACTTCTGTTCCATTCATACTTTGGTTTGAAGAGCATATGGTAATGAAATTACAGGAAACGGTAATATACAATCATAGTCTTTAAGAATTGCAATGCATAACGGATACGTTGAGGATTATAGAATATTTCGTAATATTCATGGCGCTGTTCATGGTTACAGACACCTTTCAAGGATACGACTTTCATTAATGAAGTGGACGAAGAGTTCATGTTTATAGGAGACAATTACTATGTCCATTAGGTTGACCGTTAGGTTGACCGTTAGCTTGTTTGCCATTTTATGTAACATAAAAAAAATATTTTATTTTATAAAAAACCAATCCTAAATTTTAGCAAAAATAGTTTGGAATCAATAGTTCAAAACTTCACAATTATTAAAATCTTTATAATTAAGTATAATTGTTTAATGTACTGCCTTATATTTATTGAAATAGATAAAAAAAAACTATTTTAAATCAGTTTTTAATTGTAATAAACTGTCGTTATAATACACTCACAACAAAAAGACTTCATTAAAATTCAAGAAATATAATATAAATATATTATTAGATATTTATATATATTTATTTATAGGTATTTACCTAAAGATTTATTATTATTTTTATCTTGAGCAATCAGGCAATTTTTTTTCTTTTTTATTATAGCACGACATATGATCACACCATTCTGAGCAAATACAGTAAAATAAATAAATAAATTATAAAATTTATAATATTTTACCTTCATCCTCTTCACTTTCTTCACTAGGCGTAGGAGTTCTTTCTATCTCACTCTTATCTATTATAGATTTTTCTTCTGGTGAATATTTAGCCTCGTCTTGATCGTGTTCTAATTCTCTATGTTCGGCTATTTGATTCTCATCGTATATTTTATCTTTAAGTTTATTGTCTTCTTCCGCTAAAAGAAGGTACAACATTTTTAATTAATTATTATATTATATAACTATTATTACACTATATAATTATTATTAAATACATATATACTATTTATATAATATTTTAGTGGTATGTTATTTGAAATAACCTTTGGGCTCGGATGAATAAATGTAATAATTTTTTTTTATGTTTACTAACATTATTTTTTAACGCACGACACACGTCTAATATAACTAGCTTCAGAACTATTTGTATGGTTAATTTATATCAATTTTTTAATCATTATGATGGGAATTTAATGAATTTATTACATTAATTATTTCATACATTATTAAATAGTTCAAGGCAAGGCACTGCAAGGCAAGCATTGTGCTCGTATTAGAAGAAGAAAACGGTGTTGTTTATTCTAATGGATTAAATCCCTCAGACACTAATTAATAATGGTTAGACTGCTTTCGGAAAAATCACACTTGAATAATGTACGTAAGTTTGCAATGCGCATCTAATTTGAGTATAATATTTTTTAGCGACCTTATAAAACCTCTCCTCATCCCCAGTTCATTAAGCAATTTGATTACCCGATCTGACAGATAGAATTGCCTGCTGCATGCAGGAAATTGTCAAAATCAAATGTAATGTACCATTGTAACAAATTCACGTTTCCAAAAGGATTTTAATCATCCAACAACAAAAATTTGATAATGTGTAGACAGATACTAATCATAAATAATAATATAAGAAAATTGCACCTTTGTAAGCCTCAATTTCTTCAGAAGCTTGTCTTTCCTGATATATGTTACGCTGAATACGTCGTTCGTTTGTGACTTCCGATTGTGGAGCAATGATATCATCTCTGCCGATGCGGCAAAGAGCCAGTTCAAGTGAATTATCTAAAAATATAGAATTTTTAATATGAAATATTCTATTATAAGTAGCGGTTTAGTTATTCTTGAAATGTTCAACCTCACATTATATAACCGTTTAAATAAAGTAATGAAAACATAAGTTTTAGAAATTTTTACAAAAAAAGCTACGAAAAAAAAACAACAAAAGAAAAATTGGAATGAGAAACTCTACGTTTTCAAGTAATTTGAAAAGTACTTTGTTATTCAAACTTGGAAACTACAAACAGTTACAATAAATAAAAATTATAACGAGTTGCCTTCTCTAAAATTTTTTATTTACCTTGCGCTTTAGTTCCCGACTGAGTCTTCCAAAGCTTGAGCATAAGTTGCGCCTGCTCAGGTGCTGTAATCCGTTTCGCTTGAATCTGATTCACTGTAGCAACACTGACACCAAGTTCATAAGCCAGAGCCACCCAATCCTTGCCCAGGAGATTACATATATCTTCCAACCTAGAAAAGTGAAGTGATATTTCTAAGTCTCTCCTTTACTCCAAAAGAGAGAAAGAAGTGGATGTTGTATTGAATAACAACACAAATTGACACAAACGAATCTAATTAATCATACGAACTAAATAATGATACCCTGCATTTATTTTGACACTCGATACTACCTAATGGACGGTCATCTTACATTGCATTTGCCCGTATGGGGTCCCACTTAAGAAACTTCCTCATCGGTTGTCGATTTTTCGAGTTACGTGTTTTTTTTTATGGATGAAAATGGTATGGTAACCCCGCCTGCGTTAACGGGATACGCTGGCGGAGCACCAGTGAAGGGTGATAGATGAGAATGAAAACAGGTCAGTTAGCCCATCATGATGAATATAGTGATAGTTTCCAGGGAGAACCGCGAGGAGGTCGACCTGGTTGGGTATATTGCTAGCAATGGGATTCTCAGTCTCCATTACTAACAATCACTTTTCCCCCCGAGTTACGTGATTAGCTCATTTCCTTTGTAGTCTTACTGTATATACACTTCAACACTACGATATACTAATCGTTATAGTTATATAGTTAATCTGGCACTGCTGGAAGTACTGCAATACAGCCCATAATATAATATTTATTATTAATTTATATTGGTAATTTTCTTCAATCGTGCCACTTTATATTACTAGAAAATAGTTTCCTCAGACTAAAAGTCACTTTTCAGAAAATTTTCTTCTATTTTTGCGGTAAATTGAAGTCTAAATGACGCAAAAATTATCTCGGTATATCAGTAAATTGTCACATCCCAGCATTCAAAGCAAAACACAGATGCTTAGTAGCATAAATACGGTAGAGATCACAATGATAATATAAAGTACCTATCCTTTACCTAACGCTAAAACAAACTTATGCAGAAGACTTTACACAAAACCTCCCTCCTTCTAAAATTTATGTATACCAATGGTTTTTTCAAATTACCTTGGATCGCTGAGTCGCTGTCGCCATATTAATTCTTGTTCCACGGTACGGCGTGGCACCGTATCCGTTGGTATTGGGCTAGTCCTCTCCATTACAGTATCATCAGGCACCATTATGTTGAGTACCGCAATCTAATAAATATATATAATTTAGTTACTGGTAAAAATAAACGAATTTTAACAACAGTTATCCAAGATATTTTGACATCAAAATCTTGTAATCCTATTTATACTTTAGAAAGAAGATACTAGTTTTTTTTTTTTATGCAACTTAGAATTTTTAAATTTACAAATAAGCTGATGGCCACCTGATGAAAAGTGGCAACCGTCGCCTATAGACATGAATAGTACCATGGACATAATAGAGTATACAGTTTCGCCCATGATACCTCCTCATGCTTTGCTATTACTGACTACTCAAGTGTTATTCAAAGGATCATCATTATCATATGCCAGTAGTTGCTATGCTTGGCAACCGCAGTTAGGCTTTAATGACGTTTTAAAAGGAACACTGCTGCCCATCCCATGACCATTATATTCTCCTATTCGCCTCTTACGACATCCACGGAAAAGAAAGGGTTGACCCATTCTATACCGGGACCACACAGCGTATCCAAAGGATAATACGATATTATTTCATTTGTTTTTTTTTATTAGTGTTATTAAATTATAACATGGACTTTGACTGTATTCTTTTTATTATTACCTATGCAAGTTTTATTGAAAGGATAGCAATAGTTCTACATCTAAATACTGAAGGTTACTGGTGACCCAAGAGCTGGTAGCTACTTTGCCCAAAAGATAAGTTTGGCAATCCAAAGAGGTAATGCTGCCAGTATCTTGGGTGCGCTGCCTCGGTGTGGTGCGTTGGGGGATTACTTATAATTAGTATTAGTATTTAAGGAATTTTATATTAACTTTAATTTATTGTTGTATTGTTTTTATATAATAATTGAGTACTAAATAATAATTATGTGAATTTATTAAAATTAAAAACAAATGTAAAAGAATTAATACGATATCGCATAGCGTTTTAGTAATACTGAAGTTATAAAAAATATTCTTTTAGTTTTTTTTAATAATTTCGAAGTTTCTATAACGTAATTTTATAAATACATATTCTGTTATTATTTATATAATCAATATATATCAATATGCGGAAATCAACTAATATTGGTACACTTACAGGTGCTGGCGACGGTTCACCTTTGGGAACCTTAGGATCTCGCATAAATTGACATCTACAGATAGGTTCCAAGTCTTGGGTCTTTATCATTACCGGGAAAGCAACTCTGTTCTCCCGGAATGCCCGGAATGGAATCGACAGTTGCTCTCCAGACTTCGCTATCGGCACTAGATTTCCGCCAAATTCCAAATAAATCGGTTTACCTTCATGAACCTATAAATTGAAAATAAAATATTTATTGAAAAAAAGAAAGTTAACTTATTAGCTTAAGAAATATCTTGTCAAACTTGACTTTTTTTGTTTTGTTTTGTTGGATCTTTGTGTTAATTTAATTAATTGTTGAAACGCTTTTGTATTTCCCAGAGTGTAAATGTTAACCTTTAACAAAAGCTGTTTTCTGAACTGTTTTGTGATTTGTTTTAAATTAATTACTATTATTGATAGTGATCTTTTAATTTTATATGTATATGAACATACTTTTTTTTATTAAAAATGCAACTGTATTTAGGTGGTCTTGTAAATGTACTACATATTTATAAGAGATTAAATCATACCTCAACATCTCGACTCTTAGCGACTTGTATGAAGCGTTCGATCCGTTCTAATGCCTTATCCTCCTTGTCATCTGTTACACAGAACATGCGAAGTTGCGCTTGGCATTCGTCCGTACGTTTTGCGTATACCACAAAACGAGCCATGAACGGCACGTGGATTGCTTCCCTAAAATATTAAAATGATCATATGTCATCAATGGTTACTAATGTGTTTAAGTAATAAAAACAAATAATAATCGAAGAGTATTCATTTTTTTTATATCTGTCATATTTTAACCTACAAAACTATTTTATGTTTATAATAATGTAAAGTGGTTAATAAAGTACTGGGCTCTCTATCAAAACATACAAAAAAACTTGAATTAATTAGGTTAGAATTTGTTGATAACGTATTCAGTATTCATATTTCTAATGATTCAGAATGTATTTTTAAATCTTCGTCATTGAAATCCAACACTTTCAGATCGTTTATGGTAATTTTCAAATTTTTTTATACAACTTAGAATATCATACTAGCTGACGGCCCACCTAATGGAAAGTGGTATCCGTCGCCTATAGACTCGCCAGAGGGAGACTTTGTACAAAAGTCGATTGCTTGGGTACCTCTGTCCTATTCGTGTTTCTCCCGTGAAGCAGTTGTGTTTGCATGGCTGTGTTTCGGTTTGAAGGGTGAGATATGGCGTGAATTTACAGTGTACAGGGGAATAACATCTGAGTCCTTAGGAATGGCAACGCATGGGGGGTATCGTGGGTGAAACAGTATACTCTGTTACATGGTACTGCTTATGTTTTTTTTTTTTTATACAACTTAGTTACTTTTTTTTTTTATAAAAACAAACTGACGGCCCACCTGATGGAAAGTGATAACTGTCGCCTATAGACATGGGTAGTACCATGGACATAACAGAGTATACTGTTTCGCCCATGATACTCCCATGCGTTGCCATTTCTGAGGACTCAGGTGTTATTCCTCTGTACCCTGTAAATTCAAGCCATATCCCACCCTTCAAACCGAAACACAGCCATGCAAACACAACTGCTTCACGGGAGAAACACGAATGGGACAGAGGTACCCAAGCAATCGACTTTTGTACAGTCTCCCTCTGGTAAAATTGGTAATTAGAATTTACTATCATATCCAATACGATCAAAATAAATTCTTAAGACAAGCCCAGCTAAAACATTTTTTTATTCCTATATTTATTTCCATTGCTATGTATATAGTACAGAATACTACATTAATATTATTGTATATTATAACAGCTACTTGCCTATATAATTCTGTAGCCATTTTCGTAGCATCCTCTATATGGCGACAGTCAATCAACCAGTACCGAGCTGAGACGGTTGTGGTAAATGATACGCAATCATTTACAAAAGTGAGTGGTGTGTTCTCCGTAACGTCTTCCCAATGAGCTCGATTCGTGCCTCCTGTATTCATAGATGCACTATTGCATATCAATTTTTTCGCAATTCTAGATAAACACATGCCACTTTATTTTTAACTATATGCTGCTACAATAAGATGCCTTTTTGTTTACTACATACTTGTATAATGGTAGCTAAGATGGCAGTTTTCAGATGTCTAGACTGCCACATAATTATTATGAGTCTACTTTATTTGAGTCACATGCCAAAGCAGTCCTTCTACATATATATTCTTTTGTCTATATATAGGTACTACTTATAAAATCTTAGACCAAATAACGTTAACAGTACAAGAATATACATTGTATAATATTGAAGTATTAGATTTTGTCTAGAAAATGCTGTTTTATTCTTTCCAAAACAATTGTAAACAAACGATAACGTTTATACTAATGTTTAAGAACCGATGTAGAAGAAAGATTAGAAATCAGAAAGATAGGTTAACAAATAAACCAAAACAAATATAAAATGTTTCCAAAACGGCCTATAGCAAACACACAACAAGCAAAGACAACACATCACACAAAACAATAAATAACGTACCATTTTTATATTGTTTTAAATGAAAATGTGACTGATATTGTGGCACACTATGTACGGTCACCTGTTTCTTATAAATATAGTGCTTTAGTCTCAAAATGAAAATAATGATTCTACTTTGTCAACAAATTGTCAAAAATTACTAATTCGGTTATTTGGAAAACAGATCTCTCGAAGGACATTCACTGAAAATAACCCAAATTCAAACATAAAAATCGAAACCAAAACTGTGTTCAGTGAAACAATGACAAGAACAGAACAGAAATGAGACAAACAAAGAGAAGATGATGTGGAACAGAACTGATAGGCCGTTTTGGAAAAGAACTTTGATTAGTACGAGCAAAGGAAATATTGGGAACACTGACGCTGAAGTATGAAATGAGGATGACTTTATGGCACCACTATATATTATCCCTTCTGTTTTAATGCTTAAACTAAACAAAAACAGGTTAATTTAATGTGTTATTTTCTTAAAATGTGCCAATACAAATTGCAGTTATGACTAAAAATCCTGTTTATACAGTTGATCTAAAACCGACAACGATCAGTGAATAAATCGCAGTGCATTCTCTTGATGTCCCAAGAATTATTAATGGATATGATACAGAGTGATTGTGATTTAACAAAGCGTAAAATTTCAGCCCGTGCATAGAGGAAGAATTTATGAGAAGCAAGATAAATGGAAAGCATTCAAAAAGTGATAGAGGGTAGAAAATAATGTAGTTGATAGTTATACTCCTTAAAACAAAGACATAAACCATAGAGTATAAATATCATATCGAAATAATGACTTATGAAAAATAATAACGTAAAATTCGAAACATATAGGACAAAATAATTATGAAAATTAAAACAATATAAAACTGAAACCGACGTTTCGATTCTTTTTTTTTTATAGTATTTGTATAGTATTACTAATTTTTTACCTTCGAGAGATCGTTTGCGAAATACCCCTGTTGGTGCGCGCCGATAGGTGGCAGCACATAATTTAGCGCCACACACGGTGAGCGTGCAACACACACAAACACACGAGAACAAAGACAATGTAGACACGCACAAAATGCACACACAGGGACGTGTCCCATTAGCTGCTCAGTGTATTTGCTATAAGCGCATCATTTTTTTTTTACCGAAATCCCAATTCAGTCCCTTCCACATACCGACTTGTCATTTATTATATGAATGAAATAGATAATTATAAATCTACACTAAGATTCTTTTCAAAACTACATGCTCATCCCGTTGTCTAGTAAATTGGGAGATGTAGAACTATCCTAATGCTAAACTCTTTCTGTTATCTACTCTAATTAATATCAACGTCAATATGATTTATAGTAGAGAAAAATCTATTAATATATCGAATGAACTATATAATAACACTTGGAACTATTCACTATTAAAATTTTAAAATGATTAAAAACTATCAACTACCGATCTCATGTAACTGTAATACTATTAATTCAAATAATAGATTGGATGATCGTTCTCTATGGTATATAAGTAGATATAATAATAATAACCTCGCTACATTACCAACGTGTTGTAATGGAATATTGGTTTTCTTTTTAATTTAGACCTAGTTAAGTTTAAAGCAAAGGAGTAGTCATAAGCCTAGTATAAATATATACTTGATATAGGCACACTTACCTCCTGTTGGTGCAAGCATTTTTATGTAATCAATATAGCAAACATAAGCCATACTCCATTGCAACACTTCACAGTCTTTTACTGCTTACTAAAAATGTTGATGTAAAATAGTTTTTTGAGATTGTAAATAATTTTATTATTATTACTTTTTCGTAATGGATGTTTTCACATAAAATTATTCTAAATAATATTTGACAGAAACCATTGATAAAGTCAAGTCTACAACATTTTTTAGTAAGCAATAAGATCTGTAAGGAAAATAAAAACAAACTATTTTAATTTTACCTGATATGGAGCAAAGTAGTCTTAATGTGGGAGCAGATGATGTACTATACTGATTGGTCATCCCCTGAGTATGTGGCCTTGGAGCTGGCATGCTCAACGTTATAGCTTTGTGGAATTTCCTTCTTCGGGGTTCTACAGTAACTACTGGAGACACAGCTACACCGCGCCCAAGAAGTTTGGCGGTAAGTTCTGAATCTATTATTTGTGCCTAAAAAAATAATAAAACATATATTATAGTATTTGAGAAGTGTAAATTTAATATAATTAGTATAACAACTAAAGACCAAACGCGATGTTAGTGACGAAGCTGTCATGCTTTGTGAAAAAGAAGTAATTTTGTGATATTAAAAAATAATACAGTTGTTGATTTACTCACCTTATTAACGAAATCATAAGAGATTAAAAATATTACCCTCAGTAATATTTAAGCACAAGTATTTAATTATATATTTGTTTTTGTTTCCAATTTATATTGACATATTATTTTTTCAATTATGAAAAAACAAAACAGGTAGGTGATAAAGAGTAGCCGGTGCAAAATTAAGCAAATATGAACATATGAAATCACAGGAAAAGCATTAAAGGAAATGTATATATATATACTTTTGCTCGTATTGCATACTTTCATCTGTTTCTCACACATGCGCTTCAAAACCAAGATGCAGCACACCTTATTACTAGTCAAGCTCAAACATTTAAAAATAATACGGCCAACAAAATAATATGTACGTCATGCAACTCTCACGTTTGGTCTTTAGGAAATAAAGTACATATCTGAATAACTAACATAAATATTGCAATCACATGTCAAGCGCAGATTACCCAATAAATTTAGCAATCGTCTTAAAAATACTTAATCTAATTAACTAATCACACGTCACTCCAGAAAAAATCTTATGTACTTATATGTATATAGTAAGTCACACACATGATAGTATTTAAAATTTTATAATTTGTATATATATATAACATTACAATATCATAAATTTTTAATTTCATAATTAAATCATGCCATTTTCACCTAAAGACCAACTAGAGAAAATACAGTACTATTACAAGTGGATGTAATTATAAATGGATATAATTATCAAAATAAGAACGATGTGTGAGAAAGTGTATTTTTTGCATTGCACTTTTGAACTCTAAAGTGATTTCATATAATTCAATTTTGCTTAAATTGAAAACAAACATTGACTAAAATGTAATTTTATTGAAGGTTTCATTCATACAATTGTAGATCGTTAAACATTTTCAAGAAATTTCTAAATTTATTGGGTATGACTTTAAATCTACGGAGTAACGTACATTAACTTATGTTATGATTACAAAATATCTATTCCCTTAAGTTATGATCACAATTTCTAAAATGAATCGTCTATAATCAATAATAATTAATACAAATACGATATGTGATACATTTGAAATAAACCTCAAAAACTAGTTTTTTCTCTAGAATTTTAATATAGAGATACAGATATTAAAAATTTATTAACGCCATCATTTAAAAATTTATTCATGCTTAGAATAAAATCTCTATTAAAATTATTGCGACGGTTACTGTATCCCTATAGAAAAATTTTAGAGAACATCAAATGTCTCCTACCATCGATAGGTGAGGTAAAAAAATTTGGCATTCACACTTTGTACTTTCGGTTTATGATTTCGTTAAGCTTATTCCGATAAATTTTATGAACACAATTATTTTGGCAATCAACTAAAAGTAATATCTAAATATGAACACATAAGTTATACATCTAAAAGTAATCATTATAATAATACACTATCGATAACTGCAGTCGAACAACATATAATAGAAAAAAAAAACAAAATCCGTATTACAAGATACAAGATGAACAATCTTAAATTTATAGAAAATAGTGCTAAAATAATACTTCACTTTTGGGAAGTCCAAAGTAATACAAAAGTTTCTAATAGAAAATGTAATAAATATCCTTAAATACAAAAATTTATTATTCGACTTTGTCGGTCGTATAATTTTGGTAACTGTGAAGTTGAACAATATCCTATAGTTACTGTTAATAGTAAAGTGCTTACATTTAGAAGTCGAGAGTATATTATGGTAGCTAGTGAAAATGTATAGGCTATTAATGAAGTATTTAAGTATATACTACCAAATGAGAGAGATACGCTTCTTCTTAGATACATTGTTAATAGTGATCTTTTTAAAGCTTTTGTCTTTATCAGTTTTTCTGTGTTTGAACATGTTTACCTGGAGGCCGACTTTGATTTTCTTGGTGAGAGCGCCCTGGGGGAACACAGCTTGCACTTGAGGCACCACTGAACTTGACACCATACCACCTGAAATTAGACGTATACTTATTAAATTTGATTCCCAATGAGGGTTGACTTCAAACAGGCGGCCGGTCATAAAATTATAAGCCAAATCTTTTTGTATGGATGGAAAAACATTTGATATAGATAAGAAACATATTACGCTGATCCCAAATAATAATTGGGATAAGGGTAGGAAGATGATGACTTATTAGATTTGCAATTTTAGAACATTTTTTAAGTAACGTTAAAAAAGGAAGGAGGTTTCAAATTCGATTATATTTTTAGGGTTTTGTACTGAGAAGTATAAAGAAATCTTTATGATGCGACTTTGTCTATCCGTTCCTCTGACCTCTGTACATATTTCAGCAACTACTAATTCTATTAGAAATATTATATTATTCTTATAATAATTATCAAGATTGAAGTCGATCGTTTCTTTAAAAATAAAATCGAAAATATCTTATACAAATATAATAAAATTGTAACTAGATTATACAGATACGTACATGGGAGATATTTAAGAAAAAAATAGATCTTAATAAGACCAATAAATGTCAAAACGATGATTTTTTTAAATGTTGTATTTCAGTATAATTATTTCAGCATTATACGAAAACTACTGCACCAAATTGAACGCAGTTTTTATAGTTACGTGCTTAAAGGTGTAACATAAAATCTGCCGTATCTTTTTATCGTAATACGTCTTCTAGAAGCGGTTTAATCAATTGGTTTTCCTACTTCTGAAATCCACGGGTAAGTAGAAGCGAGCAAAAATATATTTATTTATACAAATGTGTACCTTCTGGTCCAATGGCGTGTACTTCTTGCCGTATGCGTGATATAACAGCGAAGTACTGTGGGAAATCGTGTGTTAAAATCCTTGTAATGCGCGGTGTGTCCCAGCCTTTTTCCTCTTCATTTGTTTCTGGCAAAATATTAATTAATTAGTGATTTTTTTTATTATATCAGCCGTTAACTGTCCGCTTATGAACATAGTTCTCCTCTATAAAGGGAGTTTTGCCAGTAGTTGCCATGTGACAGTTGCCAGGCGGATTAGCAATATCAGTTAGGCTTTTGGTAATGTTTTAAGATGGACGCTGCTGCCTATCCCTCAACCTATAAGTTTCATTAGTCGCCCCTTACGATACCCACGGCAAAAGATAGGGGTGGCTTATTCTATGGCGGGACCACACAATCATAGTCAGTAATACGAATGTAGTTTAAATATCCGGGATCTTACTTAACAATTGAAGTCAAAACAATAATTATAAGAATTTTTGTTTGCCTGTCTCTGTTCTACGTTTGTTTTGGCATCACATATGAACTACTTCATACACTTGTATTCCTCAAATTCGAACTTAAAAATCTGGTGTATGTTTGATGTAGAAGTGATATCTATTCTATTGGTTTTCTTTCCATAATGCATGTGTACAAATTTGCGGACAAAATCCAGACAACAATATAAATTATACTCGACTACCTGTTATTATTTTAAAGCAAATAGAAATAAAAACCTTCAATCTCCAAGGTCTCGTGCAGGATATCTTGAACCACGTCATCCGTGGCGTCTGCATTATGTTCTCTCCAACTCGTCCCGTTGTCGGAACGCAGTATGACGATCTCCCGTTCCTTTCCACGTAGAGATGCATAATGTGGTACCTCCAATATAACCGGCCTATAACATTAGAATAATATCCAAAATAATTGATATCAATACTACAATAAAAGATTTTGAACGTATTGTAAATAATAAGTTGTCTATTTTTTTATATTGGTCTTTCTTACAGATTAACACAAAGAACAATCCTGAACTACATGGAACCACCAAATTCCTACATTGCATTTGCTTATATATAGTCACTAGACAAATTTCTTTACAATCAGTTGCCGATTCATGTGTAAAAGATGAGATAGCCAGAACGGCAGCGAATTCGGATTTGACTGCGAATAGAGAAGTATGAAAGAGAAAAATATATTACGTCGATCCCAAATAAATAATTGGGATAAGAGCAGAAAGATGATGATGATCGTCGATTCATCTATGTGGCCTGCTTACTTAGCAGATCCTTGGAGCTATATTTATTTATAAACTTTAATACACCTACATTGCGAAAATGGTGGACTTAACTCCATATCAGTATTTTTTTTATACAACTTAGAATGGCAAACAAGCTGACGGCCCACCTGATGGAAAGTAGTAACCGTCGCCTATAGATATGAGCGGTGCCATGGACATAACAGAGTATACTGTTTCGCCCATGATACCTCCCATGTGTTGCCTTTCCTGAGGACTCAGGTGTTATTCCTCTGTATCCTGTAAATTCACGCCATATCCCACCATTCATACCGAAACACAGTCAGTATACGCTATATCAGTCAATTATAATCTTCTCCATTTATTCTCATTTCGATTTTATTATAAAAATAATATTCCAAGTTCATTTTATAACTTAGAACACGGTGTACGACCGTGATTCAGATCTGTAAGAACTAGCAATATACATTTTCAAAAAATTTGATAATTACCCCAAAAATTTAGCTGCAACCGGTCCCATCTCCAATACCCTGGCCGCTAGAGCCTCTCCTTCCATTAGGGGTGGCATATGATTAATACGAGATGGCTTTAAGTATCTGAAATTATAAAATATTATTTAGGACTAATAAAATTATATAAAATAAACCTGATTCTTTTCTATGCCTCAACAGGAATAATGCAAGTATATCATTATTTTTCTATTATTCAATGAATATATAAAAAAAAAAAATAGCGATTAAAAATTACATGTACATCTGACATTTAAAGGTTTTATATCTCGACTTATAAGACTCTCAAAAGTGTTCAAATTTGGCGAACATCAAAGACTGTGCCAATTAAGATTTTCTGCTAACTTTCCAATAACAGTAAACATCGTTAATCTGAAAGATGGTAGAAAGCTAGCCTTCTCTCCAAATGGGTCTTAATAGTGTGTTTTTAAAAAAGAAACTGTCAAACCTGCAAGTGATCCTCGTGGGTTGTTGAGCAGATAGCGGTGGTACTATCACGCGGACGCCACCACCGCGGCAACCACGCAGTGCACCACCACGCGCGTCCACCAGGAACGATACCAGGAAACTGTTCCGGGGGAAAAAGTAGTAATCTATTGGCACTTTATAAATTTAAAACTGGCTTAGCAATCTCTTTATAAGTTGGCTTGTGTTTTGTCCCCTCAAAAAAATTACTCGACATGTATGGACAAAAATTTGGTATGCTAAAATTACTGCTGAAAACCTGAAAATATTATTCCCTTATTCCCAATGCAATTTCTATTTTTAATCTTCATCAAATCAGGCGTTATCAGTCCACTGTTGAACAGAAGCCTCAATTTTTTATCATCATCATCATCATGTTATTCTTTAACTGTCCACTGCTGAACATAAGCCTATGAGGGGATTTGCCAGTACTTGCCACGCTTGACAGGCGGATTGGCAACCGCAGTCAGGCTTTTAAAATGTATAAGGAGTGATGCCTGCCCATCCATCGCTCTCCCTTAATTGGCTCTTACGATACCCACGGGAAAGGAAGGGGTGAGTATTCTATGCCGGGACCACACGGCCAATTATGTATATTTCTATTTTTTTAAAAAACACTCTAATAACCAATTGAACAAAGAGCAAATCTAACAAAGTCCCAGAGAAAATAATACTTTATTGTACACATTAGTTATAAAAATATGACAGAGGTAAAGAAAAGTACAAAGGCGAACTTAACTCTGATAGAGTTTTAATACTTACTTCTTCCACTGGAGCTTTTTCCTTTTATTTTCATATCCAGAAAGCGTGAGAAAGAATCAGTGAAGTCATTAGTAATTGCATAACTCTGAAATAAATAGTATAAAATAATTGCATCAATTCAAATGTACTTTTAGCTGAGAAGAATTAACAAGATAAAATTCTTTTAAATAAAATATAAACAATTTATAAAGAGCTAAAAGAACACTTTCTAAAAAATAAAATTATCGATACAGCCTTTCTGGTCAATGGGCTAATAAAGTTGATAGATACTTTAACGCTACAGATTTTATGAGATAGAACGGTACACCAACGTCTTGTTATTTTTTATGGAATCCTAACAAAACTGTATCTAATGATAAATTTATTTGCTAATAATCTAGGAAAGATCCTCTTGATCTCCGTAAGATAGTCTCGTAAGATAAGTGCTTTAGCATAAATAATCAAATACTTAAACCTATAAATAAAATATTGCAGTTATAATTAACGCATTTGTACTGTAATAAAACTCATGGGTTTTATTTTATCATATTTAATTTTACAACCTACTAGATTCATCGCATAGCATTATCAAAGGTATAAGATAAAATCTCTGGGTGTTCTCAATAATCCAGAATACCAATAATCACCAGCATGAATTGCCTATTCAGTTATATAAATATACTGACTTGGGCTGTGTGGGGTCCACATTATAGCAGTATCCCTCAGGCGCTTGCGCGGTGCTGTACCGGCTGATGCTTTTCACCACCACCTCTTGTTGGGGCTGGTACGGAATGCCGTTCACGGAGCCTACAATTAGAAAACGGTTTTATCCTCTACCTAAATAGTACAACTTCAGGTCTTCAACAACTCGGATGTTGTCGAGTTTGTCGAAGACCTTATTTGGAGTATGTTATTAATTTAACTGCGATTTATTTTTTTAATACTATTTAATTTTGTCTTTCATCTAATATTTTCACGCTTCATTTAAATAAAATTTGTAAAGTACTTTTAATTTATAAAATTTAATATTTATACCCAAAATCATAGTAAATAAAAGCCCTTTAAAATGGAACATAACTGTGCAAGCTGTTTGATTAGAAAAATAAGACAGATAACTCTGTATATCTTTCTCTTTTTATAGTTTAAATCTGTTTTTTTATCTTAATTTACAAACGAAGCTTGCTTCGATTGTCTTACCTTGAGATATATCCATGATGTTTTTATGACTCATAGCCGATTCTGTTCTCTCGTCTTTAGTGACGTCGATTGGTAGAGAGTCATCACCAAGTGACTTCATGTCATCAGCCGTCAGATATCTGTACGGCTGGTCGTTTAAGATTGTATCTTCACCTAAAAATATATTGTGGCCTTAACATTTTTAATTTTAGTTGAAAACATTCCACATGTTTAATTTATTTGGTCGAAAGTTCGTACTTGATTTTTGAATGAGTATAAAAATACACTTTTTACTATTTCACAAATTATTTAATAGTTGACTTGGAAAGTAGTTTCTAAGTCAATGATTCTAAAATTGAAATTCGATCGATTTGCAAACATATAAAGGTCGGGTAGCTTAAGAAAGATTCAGAATCGAATCCCATCGAACCAAAGTAATTTCTTCTGCTTCTATGTATAAGATGGCAAGTAAAATATGATTCCTTTGATGGTGGGCAGTTAGCAGAGAGGAAGAACACTAAGTGTATTATGTGCGTTTTGCTATTTCTTAATATTTACACCTTTATTCAGTACCTGATTTTTAATTTAATAATTTCAGCAAATTTTTATACGTATTTATATTTCATTTTGAATCTTGACCTTAGTCTTGCCATAATTAGACGTGATATAAACTTCGCAGAAATGTTAGCAACAATAAAAGTTAGATGTAGGTTGCTAATAAATCCATAACCACTCCCCAAAAACAAATTTAAATACACAATGCTGCCTACAGCTTCCTTACCTCCTTCCTCTTCAGAATCGGACATGAAAGTTTCAAGCATAGTCTCAGGTGCGACGACTTTATACTTTTCCTGGGAAGCGGGTGCTATCGATGGCTCCGACACTTCCTTCAGTGTTTCCATCACGGTCACATAACCTAACTTTGAAGCTATGTCCAGGGGAGTTTGGCCGTTCTGCTAGACAAATGTGTTTATTGTAATTATAAGTAAATTGAGAATACTTCTACTTTTCCAGAGATTAGAAACGATAAACCATTTCATAAATTATAAAAATGAATTTTAAATTCCACTAAATGCTAATAATTATCAGCAGTAATAGAAGAAAATCATAAGATTTCTAATAAATTTACGCACGTTGGAATTCGCATGGTATTCTGCGTCCAATATATTATATAGGATTACTGCATTCCCTTCTTATATTATCGTCAACATATATATCATCATTTCAGCCATTACCCGTCGACTGCTGAACATATGCCTCCCCCATAGACTAGAATTAATCAGTAATCGTGTAAAATATATTTTTATAAATTATAAAAAACAGAATGCCTAAATAAGATCGCCTATGGTTCTTTCAGTATTTTCTTTTCTTGTATTTTATTTGTGTTTATAATTTTAACTCCTACAATCTTGTGGAGGGAATAATAAATAATATGTATGAAAATTACTAAATAGCATGTACAATGTAGTTATTAAGAAGAAAAGATTTTTCTAATAAAAAAATTCAGCGTATATTAAGCTGTATACACACCGTAGTTGTGGCGTTCGCGTCAGCTTTATGTTCTAACAAAATATTAACGATGTTAATGTGGCCCTGCTGAGCGGCGTGGTGTAACGCAGTGTACCTGAATAAAAGAATGTTATGTAACTGACAAAAATATATTTATTTACTTTTCATACATAGCGAATCTTTTTTTTAATGTATTTCTATAAATAATACATTCTGTATTATTTCTTATTTTTATTAACTAGGTAATTATTCTAATATATTTCTTTCTAATGTTGTATTTAATAAAATTTACTTATATTTAAATAAAAAAAAGTAATAATAAATTAAATTAATCCAAGAACGATTATTCTTTACTTGCAAGAAAATAAGATAGCTCAAATATAATAAATCAGTCAATAAATTATATATTTTCATAACGATTATTTATTAACGTTTTTCTTTAAATTTATTGATCAACAGTATACATAGATATATAATATAATTTTTTATATTAAATGCTTAAAAAAAGACATTAGATTGAGCAATTATGTGTGTAAAATTTTAAACTTACCCATGTGTGGTCTGAGCTTTCACAGACGCGCCATTATCAAGTAGAAAGCGAACCATATTCGCTTGTCCGTAGTGACTGGCAATATGCAGCGGTGTGTAGCCACCTTTTGTGCAAATATCAACCTATAGGAAAAATATACCTCTTGAGAATCACTTTTCGTTTGTCGGCTTCAAAATATTAAAGATAATATGAAAATACAATCTGCTATTTTTTTTATTATGTTTTAAAGGTAGATTTTTTTTATACAACCTAAAATGGCAAACAAGCTGACGGCCCACCTGATGGAAAGTGATAACCGTTACCTATAGACATGAGCAGTACCATGGATATAACAGAGTATACTGTTTCGCCCATGATACCCCCCATGCGTTGCTATTCCTAAGGACTCGGGTGTTATTCCTCTGTACCCTGTAAATTCACGCCATATACCCTTCGAACCGAAACACAGTTATGCAAACACAACTGCTTCACAGTAGAAACACGAATGGGACAGAGATACCCAAGCAATCGACTTTTATACAAAGTCTTCCTCTAGTAGATGGATCAGGTTACAATCAATAAAATAAAAAAATATATATAAAAAAAACAATAGTATGAACTAGATTAAGACCCAGACAGGCGTACACATAGCATGATTAAAGCAGTTGGTCAAAGTGTGTTAACTTAATTAAAATAGGTATGTCCTTTAAAATATTTTTCTTATTTGAATATACCTCAGCTCCATTCTTCACTAGCAGCTGAGCGACCGGCACTCTGTCCTCCTGAGCAGCAAGGTGGAGGGCTGCAAGGCCATTCTTAGCCTGCTGATCTACCTCGGCTCCGTGCTCCAATAGCAACGAGCACATTTCCGTGTGACCCTAGGAAAATAAAATAGAAAATAAATTTTTGTTGACCATAATTTGACATATGTTAAATCCTGGTGATCTTTAACAGAAAATCGATTATAGTGCCTTAACGGCTTTACCAATCACTAAAAATATTCGATGTTATCTATGGAATGGATAAGGATATAGACTACTTTCAATTTTAGTCTGTAAACATATCCTGGACACGCAGACGAAGTCGCGGATAGTAAATAAAAGATACATTTTTTTTCCTACCACTTGTCGATTCTCGAAGAAATCAATAATCAATAGATAATGTTCAATTCTATAGACAGTTATATATTTTTATGATGTAGTAATAGTAATTTATGACTAATTTGGCATAAAAAAGTCAATTGCCAAAAATAAATATCTCACTCCTCTAATTTTCTCCGTCCCCGTGGGTATTTGTAAAAAAAGCAAAATATTTATAATAAAACAAACCTGTTGAGCAGCAAGGTGCAGTGGTGTGAAGCCAGCTTTAGATTCAGCATTGGTCAATGCTCCGTACTCGAGAAGAGTGGCCGCAGTTTCCATTTGGTTCTTCCTAGCGGCTATATGTAGCGGTGTGTGGCCATTTTTGGCTATCGCCTGATAACGAAAAAAAAAACTTTAATACTTACTAAGAAGGTTCATTTCAATTTACTATTCGTGTGAGGGAGACGATATTTGATTTAGATCTTCATTTGTAAGGCTGTTGAGATAGAGGCCCTTGACATCTTTAGTACTCAGTTCTTTCAACCTGACCTATAAGGATATAAGAGGTATTTGGTACTTATTTTCAATGCTTACTATGTAAGGACATATAAATATAGTTTTCTCTGCTTATCCTTCAAATATGTAAGAATAGAGACCTTCAGAATTTGAATCTCTTTGCCTATCTTGTAAGAAATGTAAGGATTAACGCTTTAAGTTTTAGAATCTCGCTTCTTAAACTTCAAGGATCCTGAAAAGAAATAGATAGAACGATACTAACCTTAGCATCAGCTCCTTTCTCGAGCAGCGTAGTGGCCACAGCCTGTTGATCGTACTGCGCTGCGATATGTAGAGGAGTCATGCCATTCTTGCCGGCCTGGTCTGGTGAAGCTCCATGAGCCAATAGCAAGTTCGCTACCTGATATAATCAATAAAGGATAGTGTATTAAAAAAAGTCCTACAAACATCCGAATAGTGGCTTTTATAATTTTTTTTCTTACCTTCAAATTTCCATATTTTGCAGCGAGATGCAAGGCTGTAAACCCTTTCTTGGTAGTCGCCGTAAGTGGAGCATTGTGCTCGATTAACGCCGCCGCGACCTATCGATGCCGGAATAAGTTTAAACTCTATTACAATTATTAATTTACCAATTAAAGACTAATATGGTTTGACCCTTTAACATCTTTTTGATCGAAAGGTTGAATTTATTGTTATAAAAGCTGTTAAGTGTTTACTGCGGAACATAGGCCAAAAGGTCGAATGCATCAGAGAAAGTTGCTTATAAAAAAACCCATTACGCGGGAGTTTTCGACTCTGAACAAACCTCTTTACTTTTGAAGAAAGTATTTCTTTACTCAGTGAAAGAAAGAAGAACCTCATTCTGTAATCGCTAAGAATCATCTAAAGAATTCTAAATATTCTTGTCAATAGGCATTGGATATTACTTTCCATTAGGTTGGCCCTCGGCTTGTTTGCCATTCTAAGTTGCATAAAAAAAAGTATTTTTATTTACACTTTATTTACACTTACATCATGGTTGTGCTGTTTAGCAGCAATGTGCAACGGGTTGTAATGATCGGCGGTCATCGCTCTCACGTCGGCTCCGTGTTGCAGCAACAGCACTGCAATGTCCACGTTGCCCAAACGTGACGCGATGTGTAGAGGTGTCTGTCTTTCCCTAGCTTTGGCTTCAACTGCTGCACCATTGCGAAGCAGGATTCTAATGATATCAGTCTGAAAAATATACGTGATGTTTAAAAATACATTGCAAACAGTTCGAAGTCATTTTTAGAAAATTTGCTTTTGAGATATTGTACCATTTAGGAACTGAATTTACTTAAAAGGTGAGTTTCCTTCGCAGGGTCAAACAAATCAAGCCACATAGGAAATTGTTAAATGTATTAACTTTAGTAGTGTCTGCTAAGAATTCTCAGTCATTGAAACATCATAAGATGTTCTTATCTAAGAGCATCGTAAAAGAACTATCTGAATTAATTAGATGAACTAATCTAAATAGAACTTTATTAAGAGATCTAAATAAATTGGGTAAGATATAAAATCTAAGGATTTAGCATATACTGCTAATTTGAAAATAATATTGTTGCCAAGAAGAGATCGCTCTCAGTGATAAGGTCATCCACTGTTTTCTCAGTGTAACATTTTCTTATAATTGTTTGGATTTATAATATGTTTACCAATGTGTTATAGTAGATACCTATCAAGTATTACGACACACCCTCAACGGCGATCGGATCGAACCACCTAGCATGACGCAAGAAGGTGCGCTACCGAAAAAGACACCTGCGTCGAGTCAGCATTTCAATTCCCGCAGCAAAAATACCCATTTCCTATATGTCTGATTTGATATAACTTCTCTTACGGATCACACATCGATCTGAAGACATTTATTATTGTAATAATTAATTTTAGAATTAAATTTAGTTATATTTATAAAATTGTTTTTTTTTTGGGTCTTCCGCCAGCGACTTCAATAACTAATGTAAGCTTTTGGAGTATTTATCTATCTACTTACAATATCACATTTTTCCATCAATGTTCATGCGGACAGATATATCTCTAAATTACCTGATTGGCTCTTGCAGCTAAATGCAATGGCGTCTCCCCCCTGACCGTAGGCACGTCAGGGTTGGCTTCGTGTTGGAGAAGATAAATGACAATGTTCATGCAACCCATGAACGCGGCCACGTGAAGTGGTGTCAACCCTGACTCAGTCGTTGCTTGTATGCCTGAGTAAATTAAACAACATATTGACTTTTAGAAAAATTACAGTAATTTTCAACCGACTTCAAAAAAAAGGTTTTAAGTTCGTTTATAATTTACTGTTTGTTACCTCAAAACCAAATTGGATTTTTTTTTATCAAAAACATTTTTAGCACTTTTTTTTTATTTAATTATCATACATAAATACATTAAAAAAAATGGATTTTTAGTACCACTTAAACCTCTTGGGCTTGTGTGTGATACTTTACATTCGGTTCTCAAATATTTACATTAATATTCTGCTGTTTTACCAAGGTTGGAGAGTAAATAATCTCTCACTTATAGATTGGTCCCATACAATAGTTTTTAAATCAAAATAATTGAATTTGTCACAATTGAAGTCGGTTTTTTCTGTGGGACACAATCTTTAATTATATGAATCAATCAAACAATGGTTCAATCATCACTAATTATAAACTATTCTTGACAAACAAAGAAATAGAGGATGTTTAAGTTATCGGAAATAGTACTTATATTTATGAATTTTGTTTGTCAATTTTATACGGGTAATATCCGAATAAGGGTTATACTGATAATTTATGTTCTGGTCTTCGTGTGGGAACAGAATAGAAATATAAGTAACCTGGAATTTGTTAACCAAAGGATTAAGAATTATTATAAAAAAGTACCTTCACATTTATGTTTTTTGTGAAAGCACTGTAGGAAAAGTGGCATCTTTGCGACATATTATGTAAATTACATAATAGTGATAAAAAAATATCAAAAATATATAATTTATTGACAAATTTAACAGTCGAAGAAAGTATTTATAATTTTAATTTAATTTTTATACTTTAAATACAATGTCGTAAATCCAACTTCTTTATATAAGGTGGAAAGGGATTGTTAGTAATGGAGACTGAGAATCCCATTGCTAGCAATATACCCAACCAGGTAGACCTCCTCGCGGTTCTCCCTGGAAACTATCATGGTTAATTCCTGATAAATTCATCATGATGGGCCAACTGGCCTGTTTTCATTCTCATCTATCACCCTTCACTGGTGCTCCGCCAGCGTATCCCGTTAGCGCAGGCGGGGTTACCATTCCATTTTCACTCATCAAAAAAAAAACTTCTTTATATACTACGAGAATGGCAAACAAGCATACAGCCTTTTTGATGGTAAACTGTAGCCTACGGACACCTGCAATACTAGGGCTGTCACGTGCTCGTTACCAACCCTGAAGAAACCTCATGATTATGATATGAGTAGGTACTTACTGGCTCCGTATTTGAGCAGCAACTCAACAACTTTGATTCTGTTCTTCTTGCAGGCGATATGCAATGGGGTGAATCCGTTTAGAGCTCGCGCGTTCGCATCAGCATTCCTGTGTAAACATATTTCGTTACAATACTTAGAATGATAAGCTGACGGGCCATCTGATGGAAAGTGGTAACCCTCGTCTATAGACATAAATAGTACTAAGAATTTCCTTTTATGTACCCTTCATGCGTAGGTATTCGCGAAAACTATTGTATCGTCTCCCTAATCTTATAATTGCACTGCCATATTCCCACCGTATTAATTCAAATGGACAATTATATATATGCCATCACCGTGTGGTCCCAGTATAGAATAGGCCACCCCTTCCTTTCCCATGGGTGACGTAAGATGCGACTAAAAGAGGACAAGAGCTGGGCAGCAGTGTCCTTCTTAAAACATCTCCAAATCTTAACTGCGGTTGCCAATCCGCTTGCCAAGTGTAGCAGCTACTGACAAAACCCCTCAAGGGGGAAGCTTATGTTTAGCAGTGAACAGTTAGGGACTAATACGACGATACTCAATACCAAAAGTGTGGCCATAGGAATATTTGATATGTCTACATGCAATATCAAAAAATTTAATAAAATATTTAGACGCCAAAGACAAAATCCTTTTTGGTGACAGACCACAGAATCTGCGAACTGAATTGGCAATGGAGTGCAATATAGCTCAGGCAAATAATCAATAAAGAAAAATGGTTCTCCCCCGCAAGATGGAGTGACCATAATAGATTACAAGTGCAAGTGTATGATACCCTTTAGAGAAGGTACTGTTATGTCCATGGTACTGCTCATGTCTATAGGCGACGGTTACCACTTTCTATCAGGTGGGCCGTCAGCTTGTTTGCCATTCTTAGTCGTATAAAAAAAAAAGAAAAAAAAAACTATATTAATCTATGGTTTGTAATTTAATATAGACACTTGGAGAAAAAAGTAAAGATGTACTTCTGCTCACTTATATACTTTTTTTTAAATTAATATACACATACAAACAAAATAATACAGTGACGATCGTAAAAGTGTTTGCAACCGCTGGGTACAAATGGCACAGGACGTACTCTGTGACGTAATATAAGGGAGACCTATATCGAGCAGTGATCGATTGGTTGTAATGATGATGATAAAATTTACCTGTCCAGTAACAGTTTGGCCACTTTGGCGTGTCCGCAGTGAGCGGCCACGTGTAGCGCGGTGAGGTAGTCAACGGTGACGTCGTCGACTGGCGCCCGTCGGGACAGCAGCACCCGGGCTGCTTCAGCGTGGTCACCTTGCGCCGCCATGTGCAGAGGAGCCAAGCCATTCTGGTCCATAAAGAATATATTTATTGCGCGATGTAATAAGTATTATTATGACGATTTACGAGATACTGAAAATAATCTCCAAGTTAATAAATTAATTTAGAAAGCACTAGGGCGGGCAACCTGTATGGTGATAGTACAGGTTAGATATTTTGGATTAATTATATATCATTGATTTTGGATATTTTTCGCTAATAAATAAATAAGTAGCCTTTTTGTTACCATTAAAACAAAATAATAAAGAATTACAAATTCAAACAGAGAATACGCTGATTTGCGCACATCCAGAATATGTCTTTTCTTTATTACAAAATTCAGATTTATAATATAATTTATATTCTTAATACAATTAGGTTTTGAGTATATAAGAAAAAGTGAAAACATCTGATTTGTAAAAAGGAATAGAAAAAAAACGCGGTCTTTAAAAATGATTATAAAGATATAAAGATAAATTAAATGTTTACTTTCTTGTGAAAATGTCTATACAATATACAACTTAGTCTCTTAAATCTCTAATTTATGAAGTGTGACGATCTACAATACAAATGTTATGCTACAAATGTTAATGTGCCTGCTGGACTTAACTAGGACGCAGTTTTATCAGGAGAAAAAGATACAGCAATTTGTTTTACAACTTGTTAGCAAGGGTGGGCTTATCTCTGAAAAAGATCTCTTCCAGCCAACCCAATGTAGTGAAAGAAAAAATTATTAGCTAAACAGATACAAACATAATAAATAATAATATATTATTATACACACATACCATATATATATATATATATATATATATATATATATATATATATATATATATATATATATATATATATATATATATATATATATATATATATATATACATTTTCTTGAATGAAGTAATGGAAAGACTATCTCAAATGTTAGAAGGAAGTCTGTTCTACAGTATTTTATCATATGTTTTAAAATTAAAAGATACTTCTATTTTTTTCAAATAAAATAAAAACCAGTTAAAACTGAGGCAAGGGTAACTTACCTTGCTTTTGCTAGTAATAGGCGCGCCTCTATCCAGCAGCGCCTCCACGACCCTCTCGTGGCCAGACCTCGCCGCACAGTGCAGAGGAGTAAGACCATCCCTAGTCCTGGCTTCTACGTTAGCGCCGTTATCGCAGAGAAGCGCTACCATGTTATCTTTACCTGTTAAGTTCAATATATGTATTTATAATACTAAGACTTATTTACAACCAACTTCAGAAAAGGCGGTGGTTTTTAATCGAGTTGTATTTTTAAACGACTTCATTTTATGTTAATTATGTCAGATCTTCATCGTTTATAAATTCATTTGGATTTTTTTTTTATTGGAAGGATATCCTTTATGATTGGTCCCGTAGAAATTTTATTAAAATCGGTTTATTAGTTTGGTTTTTAAATCAAAGTAGTTACTTCGATTTAGTTAAAATTGAAGTGAGTGTATATTTTTTTTGTAAACTAATCTATTGTCTGTTAATGGATGGGTGAAGTCGTTCATTTTTGGAAAAAAAATTTTTCATTCTTCTATCTGTGCCACTGGACATTTTTCCCAAAGAAATATAGTTCATTCATCAATCTCCAACTGCTATTTTGTTCACGCACTTTTTGTTCTTTTTATTATTCAAACATCCTAACGTCTATATAAACTATCGAATATAAATACTATTTACATTTTATTTTTCATTACAAAAGTTAAAATTAATGCATTTAACATTCTATCATAACAGACTGTCAAACAAATACATTTTAATTCTCCTATTACAACAGATATTTACGTCATCCATTGACCTTAGGAACTAATGTGTTTACCAGAAGCACTTACCCCATTTGGCGGCAACGTGTAGAGGACATATATTGTGTTTGGCCGCGCAGTTGACATCTGCTCCTTTGGCAAGTAGCAACCTTGCCACAGATTCGTTGCCATAGTGTGCCGCTATATGCAACGGCGTAAAACCAGACTTGGAAGTCACGTCGGGGTTGTGCTCGTTCTGGTTGATAAATATTAAATTATGTTATTAAATATTGAAATTTTTGTATTGGAAAAAGGACGAAAAAAGAAAAAGAATTATTTTGTGGCAACACTACAAAAAAATTCTTAAGTGTCGATGCATTCGTTCTAATTCATAAATATTATTGAAATATATATTTAAGTATGGAAATAGTTCTATAATGACGATTTATTCGAGATAAAGATATATCATCTTGACAGTTAGACCTTCTCAGTAGACATATAAATGGAGGTAAGTTATTGTTGTTGGATAAAATTAAACATTGAACTGTATGAAATATATAATAAGTTGACTGTATTTTTATTGTAAGATATTGGCAAAGGAAGGCCTATAAAACATGTATGGACTGTGTGAAAGGTGATATGGCCAGAATGGAAATGAATGCAGAAATGACTGCAAATAGAGAAGAATGAAGGAGAAAAGAATATTACACCGATCCCAAATAATAATTAAGATAAGGGTAGGAAGGTGATGGTGATGAGTCAGGGTTACCATTCAATTATCATGCATTGAAAAAATCTAAAAATAATTTAAACCGAACTCACCTCAAGTAACAAATTAGCAGCTTTAACATCGTCCTTTTTGGCGGCGATGTGTAAGGCAGGTAGACGGACCCTGCCTCGAGTGTCTGCCTCTAGCAGTACAGCCACCACCTTCTCGTGGCCTTGCTGCATCGCCACTGCCAGCGGTGTGAAGCCATCCTATAATATTAACATATATATTTACATCGGTTCCTCTTAACATTGGGTTGCACATGCTATAACATGTTTAGTTTCGACGAATAAAGAAAATCTATCCATGTTCTTCTTTCTTCGAACCGCTTTAAGAACCTTTTCTTTTTGAAAGTTGCTTAAAATCTTATAAAAATTGCGCTAGGAAAACCTATAGTTAATCTAAGCATAAAAATTATGTACATACATACATACATATCTGTCACGCCTGTCTCCCATTAGGGTAGGCAAAAACAATGGTACGCCAAATGCTTCGATTCAAACAAACCTCTTTCGCTTCTTCCACATTCATCAATCTTTTCATACACACTCGCCGGTTACGGGTACTTTTAATTTAGCCCTTCTTCTAAAAATTATGTCTATTTTAAATATCATGTATATAGGCAACGGTTACCACTTTCCATCAGGTGGGCCGTTAGCTTGTTTGCTATTCTAAGTAGCATAAAAAAAATGTTGACTCACCTCTGTAGCTAGGCTTTGATTAGCGCCATTAGCGAGAAGGAACTTGACCACACCATCATGGTTCTCCTGTGCGGCCATGTAGAGGGGAGTGAACCCATTTTGGGATTGAATGTTGACCTGGGGAAGAATTAGTTCATAAAAATTCAGTTTTATTGTAATTAATTACATTTGTAATTAATTACTAATGTAATTAATTACTAATGTAATTAATTACTAATGTAATTAATTACAATAGACCCCCGTGGAAATCATCGTGCAAAATTCCAGGTATGTTCATTACGATGGACTGACCTGCCTTTTCATTCTCACCAATCATCTCTCACTGGTGCCTAGCCAGGGTATACCGTTAACGCGCGCGGGGTTACCATTCCATTATCATCCACAAAAAAAAACATTATAATAAATATAAATTTGAGAATATAAACATCGTGTTATTTTTAATTAATTGATATCACAGCTGCAATGTAACACGAAATGTTTGATGTATAATGACGTAGATAACTCGTTGTTACATGACGTAAGTAATGACCTATAAAATCATGGATTTTTACTGTGTCATACGAAGTGTGTGTCTATAGCAAAATGTTATAGAAGTACATATAATTTATGTATACATATAAGAAGTACATATATGTGAAATAATGAAAAAATGACTATTCAAAAATGCTTAAATCTAAGTTTACTCGAATAAAAATATTTCTTTCTTGCTTTCTTCTTTTCTTCCTACCTTCTTTCTTTCTTTTATGAACGATATTTGTATAATTAGATGACACTACCAACTAACTGATATACCTATATAGTATTGTATTGTATAAGTTTAAAGTTTTCCTCGGAAATTTCACATGTAATATATATATCTCTCACTTAGGTTTATCTTCCATGTACCATAAATTCGAATCATTTTCAGTGAAAATAATATAGACACCTAATAAAAAAATCGGTTTTATTATTAATAGAATTCTAACTATTTTGTTTTTTTTTTTTAATATAATGTTCTTGGTACAGTTCATACTTACTCGTATAAGCGACGGTTACAATTTACCATCAGATGGGCAGTCAGCTTATTTGTTTTTTCTAAGTTAATTTTCTTTGAAACTGATCTATCATGATCAACATGAGTCTCGAACAAAGAGAATCCTATATGCACGTAGCATTATAGAAATTATAATAAATCTATGCAACTATAACCACAATTATTACCATAAATATGGTACATTTTTGTATAGCATGATGACATGCAATTACACGTACAAAAATATGTTATAATATGTAAATATTTTAATTCACTTGCTTATTAAAAACGTACCTATATACCTTCAAAACTGGGTCATTGGATTATTATTAATTATAATATCATTTATTTTAACCCTTAACTACTGTGGAATACAGGCCTTCCCTATAAAGGAGGTTTTGCCCGTAGTTGCCATGCTTGGCATTATTATAATTGTATTATTACTGCCCACTTAACAATTATCTAAATTGTACCTAATATAAATTTTCGTTAACAATATGTGGTAACTTTTAATTGGCCTACTGTTGTTTTTTTGTTATACAACTTAGAATGGCAAACAAGCTGACGGCCCACCTGATGGAAAGTGGTAACCGTCGCCTATAGACATGAGCAGTACCATGGACATAACAGAGTATACTCTTTCGCCCATGATATCCCCCATGCGTTGCTATTCCTGAGGACTCCGGTGTTATTCCTCTGTACCTAGTAAATTCACGCCATATCCCACCCTTCAAACCGAAACACAGCCATGCACACAAAACTGCTTCACGGTTGAAACACGAATGGGACAAAGGTGCCCAAGTAATCGACTTTTGTACAAAGTCTCCCTCTGGTCTCTCTGTTGTTATATATATTTAATCATTAAGCTGTTATAGCTGTAAAGTTCTTAAAAAAAAAACATTTTTTTACGGTCGACACAGCGTACTAGACATTCCTAGTGTTGCAGGTGTCGGTAAGTTACAGTGACCATTTGCCATCAGACGAGCTGTTTGCTCATTTGCTACCTCCATGGTATAAACAAAATAATATTAAAAATTACTTATTTTTAAGAAATGAACTAAACAATGAAACAGATCTTTAGACATAAAAATTGAATTACTTATTATGAAGACTTAATAACCTCAGGAATAGCAACATATCACAGGTATAATGGGCATCACAGTGCTAATGTTTATGGTGCTGTCCATATCTATACGTAATGGCTAAAATTTCTATAGTATGGACACTCGTCATATTTGTCAAACTTGTCTAAAAACTAAAAAGGAGAACCCATGATTAACTAATAAGTAAAACTTATTAGATTTTCGCGGTAATCTTTACACTTAATAATATAACAATCCGTTTATTGTATATATTAAGTGTAAGTTAAGTTTACTGCTTGTGTGGTCCCGGTATAGAATGGACCACCCCATGCTTTTCCATGGGTGTCATTAAAGACGACTAAGGGAAATTAATGGTCAAAAGAAGGGCAGCAGCGTACCTCTTAAAACATCTCTAAAGCCTAACTGCGGTTGCCAAACCGCCTGCCAAGCGTGACAACTACTGACAAAACTCTCCTTATAGAGAAAGTCTATATTCAGTAATGGATAGTTAACCGCTAATATAGTAATAAATAAAAAGTTTACTAACAAGTAATGGAAATATCCATAGATGTGGCCTGGCATACTTAGCAAGTATTCATTACGCAAAAATTTTGTTTCTAATTAAAAAAAAAAAATTAAAAAGCAAATAAAAATAGACGTCCTTCCTTCTCCTTATTGACAAAATATAAACCCAATAAAATTATAAACCCAACTATTAATAACTATAGAGTAAGAAAGAATTAGGAGAACATCAAAAATAAATATTGATTGACGTCCATTCAAAAGCGGCCGAAGTGCTGCGGACGCGGTGGTGATTTGTTATGATCAATGTCAATCGTTTATCGTTAATTGATGTATGACTCCGATTTTGAATGTCGGTTTTGATAGAACACTATTTACCATTGTAAGAGCATCAACTTTGTTAGTGCATTGACCTCTATATATTTTTTAAAAAGACTAAAAATAATTCTTTTTTTTTTACACAGATCCATCAATAAAATAGGATAAGGGAACAAGATAAATTATCGTACATTAAACTTAATTCTTATCCGATTGACTAATTTAGTAATAGTTGATTATACCATCTTATTAAAGCAAAAGTTCCAAGCTCAAATTTCCATACACTTGTAAATTAATGTAGTTGATAGAAAAATTTTAAAAACCAAAAATTTTTATTTTAAAACACAGATCCATTAATAAAATAGGATAAGGGAACAAGAATTAAATTATCATACAATTAACATTTAATTTTTAACTACTTAGTTAACCTAATAATAGTTGATTATACCATCTTATTAAAGCAAGTTTCAAGCTCAAAGTTTTATGCACTTGGTAATTAAATTAGTTTATTTATTTAAGGCAAATAGACAGTTGTAACGACTAATTCCAATTGTTAAATTAAAAAAGTCTCCAAGTCTTTTAATATGTACACTGTATATATTAGTTAGTATGTTGGAGTTTTAATACTGGCTATTGACACGAAGATTTTTTTAGAACAATGTATTACTTTTAAATTTGTTCTATGTCAGATTTTTATTTTTATTTATTTTTTATTTATTTATAAAAGACACACCAACAATATGCTCACAATAATTAAGTAGACAATATAGAATGTTATTAGTAAGTAAAAAAGAAAAACTACTATTAAAAAATGCTTAAATCTAAGTTTGAACAAAAAAATCTTACTTCTCACTACCAAGCTTAAGGCCATATGAACACATCAATTAAAGGTGTATACAACTCTCACAGATAAGCGTCAATTTTTTTTTTTTTTTTTTTTTTTTTTTTACAACACAGGGGGCAAACGAGCATGCGGCTCACCTGATGGTAAGTGACTACCGCCGCCCATGATCACCCACAACACCAGAGGCATTGCAGGTGTGCTGCCGGCCTTTTAAAAAGGAATATACTCTTTTCTTGAAGGTTATGTTGTCGTATCGGTTCGGAAATACTGCTGCTGGAAGTTGATTCCAAAGATTGGTTGTGCGTGGAAGAAAGTGCCTTGAAAAACGCACGGTGGAAGACCGCCACTCGTCCAGATGATTGGGATGAAACTTTAGTTTGTGGCGGGTTGTACGGTGGTGAAAATCAGCAGCAGGTATCAATCCGTACAATTCCTCAGAACACTCCCCATGATAAATTCGGTAGAAGATGCACAGAGATGCAACATCTCTGCGCAGTTTCAATGGGTCAAGTCGGACAGTAAGGCGTTGACTATCGATAATTCGAGCCGCCCGACTTTGAATGCGGTCTAACGGAAGGAGTTGGTACTGTATACTAAGTAACAATTATACAATTAGAGAAGACCAAATTACCAATCCATATTATTAATAAGCCTAGTAAACCGCACTAAAGAATTACCAAAGATGTCGATATCATGGTCAACGTTTACGGCTTTATTATTATACGATAACAACATTCTGTTGTTATAAGACATGTATTTTATTCACTAAACTTATTAATTTTCAATCTCAAATACATATATGTTTTATTATTGCATCCTGCTATTTACAACATAGCAGTGGGTTACTATTTAGTTTCTCTAATTAAACATTTAAGAAATCTTCTTCTAAAATGACATTTATTCATCAATCTTAAGTACTGAATGCCAAAGACTTCAATCCTTACAAATATTCTTTTACTTCGTCAACTTTCATAACTGACACATACATGCCGACTTCAGACCCTCTTGACATCTTCACAAAAAGGATTTTGATCAGACTCATATAGTAATTTTTCAACCATTACCTACTTACTTTAACTCCATTACTTTACAGAACCGCGCTCATGAGTAAGGACTCCTGTTGAGTTCGAAACTAGTCGGACATCGCACGAAATTATAAACGTGAGTAAAGAAGACATAAATATTTACAATACAGTATGACTCACGATAGTTATTATTCAACATTGGCAACATTTTCATAATAATTTGTTTGACATTCTATTTGTTCATTTCAACCGTTTCATCAAAAGTTTCGTGAGCTACCGTTTTTAGATGTACAATAGCGAAGCTATATGAAAAAGACATAGACAAATGTAAATACGTCTATACCTATCTACGTGTATCTATACAAATGTACCCATTACATTAGTACAGTGCAGCACAGTACAGTATTAAAGTACAGCTCTACAATGTTAGGGTATACCCGTACGCTGTATTTGTAATCTATCTATACTTATAATAAATCTGTAGTGAGGGTAATTCTGTACATGAAATATATTTCCAAAATAACTATCAGGGGGTGATTAGTGATCGATACGGATGCCAAAAATGCATTCAGTAAAATTTTTGTCTGTCTGTCTGTCTGTATGTTCGTTATAGAAACAAAAACTACTCGACCGATTTTAACGAAACTTAGTACAAATATTCTTAATACTCCTGGGCAGGTTATAGTATACTTTTTATCACACTACGATCAATAGAAGCAGAGCAGTGAAGGGAAATGTTGGGAAAACGGGAGAAGTTACTCCATTTTTAAGCTTCCGTCGCTTGTGCAGCCTTAATGGCCACTTTTTAAAATCTAAAACTGTCCACCCGTGCGACGTCGGGACGGGCCGCTAGTTTACAATAAGGATCCTACCTGAGCCCCATTCTGCACCAATAGCTTGACAACGGCTTCCTGTCCAGCCAGCGAGGCAATATGCAGTGCAGTGTTACCCTTCTTGGTAGCGGCGTCGATGGCAGCGCCGCGGTCGAGCAACTCCCTGACCACATCCACGTGGCCGTCTTTGGACGCGAGATGGATGGCATTTAGACCGTTCTGTGGACAAATATTTTTATGTATTATACTATTTAAGTAATACATTTTCTTGCACAAAATAACACGCACTTAAATCGTGGTTATTTATTTTTATTTATTTATTTCTTATTGCATTCCATTATGTAATTAGTAGATAAAAGGGTAAATTAATCTTCCTCCAGCCAGTTCTAACCCAGGCCATATCCTTGACCTCCCTATACGACCTGACACCTAGTGTTTCTTTTATCTGTCTCATGTAGTTATTCCTCGATCTTCCTCTTCCTCTTTTGCCCTTTATTTTTCCCTCTACTATGCTCTTAAAAAAATCGTCATGACGTATAAGGTGGCCCAGCATTTTGCCTCTTCTATTATCTATTATTGAACGAGAAAAGAACATTAATTAAAATAATAGAAAATAGAAGACAACATTTTATGCAAATAAATTATTATTATTAAAATGTGTAATAAAAGAAGTTTGTAGATAGATTGTAGATATGACAAACTTGCTTGTTTCTTCATTTTTAATTTTTATAATAACAAACAATAATACAAAATGTATTTATTTTAAACGGTGATTTTGTTATAATAATCGATTTAAAAAAAAAATTTAATCAAATGGTATTTATTTTAGTGTAGACTTTAATGATACTGCAGTGTATATTGAATAAAAACCTATTATTAGTATGCTTGAATTATTAAGGGGTCTTTGCCAAAAAAAGTTCCAAGTACGTCAAACGTAAAACAAAGGGCAAACGCTTAATAGTTTGAAATATCAAAGTATTGGCATTGTTCCAATATAGTGTACAGCATAAATTCCCCTCAAACTGTGGTCTATTATATATAATATGGGAGGGAGACTTTGTACAAAAGTCAATTGCTTGGGTACCTCTGTCCCATTCGTGTTTCAACCGTGAAGCAGTTGTGTTTGCAGGGCTGTGTTTCGGTTTGAAGGGTGGAATATGGTGTGAATTTACTGGGTACAGAGGAATAACACCTGAGTCCTCAGGAATGGCAACGCATGGGGGGTATCATGGGCGAAACAGTATACTCTGTTATGTCTATGGTACTGCTCATGTCTATAGGCGACGGTTACCACTTTCCATCAGGTGGGCCGTCAGCTTGTTTGCCATTCTAAGTTGTATAAAAAAAAAAAATGTTTTACTTACTGTACTTTATTGTTTCCTCCAAAAGATTACAATAGTACATTTATATAGACTCCAACAATTACAAGATCGTACTGAGAAAAATAATAGACGGCCTTATCATTGAAAGCAATCGCTTCTAGGCAGTTTTTGGATGGAGAGGAGTAATTATAAACACTTTGATCGGAAGCACAATGAAATTCTTTTATTTCTTAATATAGAGATATGATACATATAATAATGTAAATATAAAGCTCTACTTACTACTACTATATATATATATATATATATATATATATATATACATAAAATGTTTATGTGTAATAAACATAGAACACAAAGTTATATAATTTAAAAAAAAAATTTGCTTATTTAAAAAAGGTATTCATAACAGGTTACAATCAATAACATTATAAACATTTATAGAAAGAATATATATTTTATTTATAATTCATTGCTACGGTATCACCAAAGCAACATAACGTGCCGTTTCTTAACCAGAGTTCGTGATGCCAAATCGCGTGATCATAACGCATATAAGTGTAATTGTAGAAATGTTTTTACATCGCAGCAATGGAAAATAAACTTTATTTTGGAAATGGTATTATATTTCCGAGTGAATTCCGTGGGAAAGAATTTTGCAAAGTATTCCGGCTTTGTTTTATAGCTCAATTAACTTTCTGAGCTTATTAGCTTCACTGATAATTTCAACACGTTATTTGTATGCCGTGTGGTCCCGGCATAGAATGAGCCACTTCTTCCTTTCCCGTAGGTGTCGTAAGAGACGACTAAGAGAACTTGATGATGAGAGGGATGAGCAGTAGCGTTCCTCTCAAAATATCACCAATATCCCAACGGCGGTTGCCAACCCACCTGCTTAGCGTGGCGACTACTAGCAAAACTAAGGAGGGTTTTGCTTTTTTGTTTATGAAGGAGGTCTATATTCAACAATGGACATTTAACGACTGATACGATGATGACGATGATTATCAGTATAAGTATTGTTGTAATATAACATAATAAAAAATGTGGATTTAAAAAGGTTTGTGTATACGTGGTTGTATCGTGATATTGATAGGTCAATAACCTTCTTCAAGAAATCAATTGTTAAATGCAAATTTTTTTTAACTAATAACCCTTTTACTTTATTATATTAGATCATTATCATCATCATTTCAGTCATGTCGATTACTGGAAATAGGCCTCCCCATAGACTGCTATAATGAACGGTCCTCAGCCACCTGCATCCACTGACTCCCTGCAATGCATTTGACGTCGTCACTCCATCTAGTGGGGGAGTCGTCCTACACTGCATTTGCCTGTACGGAGTCGCGACTTAATTATTACTTATATTAAATAGAACGGGTAAATTTTCAGTTTTACGTACTGAATAATAATTTTGAATATACTTACAGCATTGCTAACGTTAATGTCGACCCCCTGCTCGAGGAGGCTGATGATCTTCTCGATCTGGCCGGCGCGCGCAGCCCGCAGGAACGCGGTGCTGGCGTCCGCCTGGTGACAAAGAGAAATGTATTTAATATCCATATAATAGTGTACAAATTATCTAAATATCTAGTTGGTACTTATGTTAACTTGATCACTGATATAATTTATACTTGTTATAATCAGGTCTCTGTATTTGCGCGATATAATTATTTACCGGTTGCCGGACTTGGATAGCCGAAAACATTTGGCTAAACTATACTTTATAACGTTTGTACGAGAGTTGCATTTTATTTAATAATCTATAAAGAAAACCTTTTGTGTTTTATGGTATAATATCGTATAACTGTGTTTGTTTGTTTGTTTGTTTGTAACACTTTATTGTACAATAAAGTCTTAAATTATAAGATACAGAGTTCCCTAAGAAAAGAATGAGTACAATGGCGTACTTATGCCTTAAAAGAAATCTCTTCTAGTCAACCTATGAATGTTTGATAGAAACTGTAAATTGTTGGAGACAAAAAAAAAACAGCTAATTTAAAAAAAAATCACAAAATTAATATTTGTTATCACAAACACGAGCACAACATTGATGTTAGACAACATAACATATCTAGATGAGGCCTGATATATTTAAAAGGATTATACCTCTATGCAGAACACTTCTTCACCGGTAGTAGGAGATAAGTACTTTGAAAAAGAAATTGTCACAGATTTAGCTTTCATTCTTTATGCAACTTAGAATGGTAAATCATGTATGCCATAAAACTCTGTAAATTATTCATAATCTTTAGGTAGTAAATTCCCATGAACGAATTCTATAGCCTGAAGGTTGCATAGCCTATAGGCTGAAATATGTTCCATACATACCTTAAAGGGATAAATGAAAACATGGATCCCAATCCAAAAGGAAAAATCTGTTCTGGAAAGTTCTGGTACACTGATAGCTTCACAATACCAACTGATTAATTTTTGAGTATCTTCAAAAGGTTTTAGTATGCAAAGAGATTTGCCTGTGTTTTTTCCATAAATACATGCGTCGTCTATGTTTATCAATATCCGTGTTAACAAATAATTATCCTAAAGTGTTGAAGGTCATCAACCCTACCATAACTCATTTAATTTCGCCATAAACTTATCAAACAGCTGACACGGTTTTCTCATAGTACAACACCTATATATCTTTACGGCAGCCATTTCGAAGATAATGTTATTAGCCATAAAGCTATCCCTTGGGGACTGTTGATGTTGACGTCAGCTGCCGCGTGGTGGTTTCATTTATTGCTGCTCTTGTCAAACTTAATGGCTTGACGCCATGAAACATTTTCTATTGAAATGGCCGAGAACTCTTTTAACTGTACGTGTCATAATTTCTTTTTTATACGACTTCCGTGCCGAAGTAATAGGTATGTTGCTTTTCGTAAATAAGGTCCCGAATTCGATCTCAGTCGAGCCAATTTGGAACCGAACGTCTCTGAATTTCTTTAACTGAAAGTTATTTTAAGTTGAGGACCAGATTATTATGTAACTGACTGTTAAAAATCCAGAACAGCAATCAATTCACATGATAGAATATGATCCCGAAACTAGTCGACCTTTCTCGATCTAATTACACGTAAGTTTTTTTTTATACAACTTAGAATGACAAACAAGCTGACGGCCCACCTGATGGAAAGTGATAACCGTCGCCTATAGACATGAGCAGTACCATGGAATAAAAAAAATATAGTATATTATGGAATAAAAAAACATAAATACCATGGAAATAACAGAGTATACTGTTTCGTCCATGATACCCCCCATGCGTTGCCATTCCTGAGGACTCAGGTGTTATTCCTCTGTACCCAGTAAATTCACGCTATATCCTACCCTTCAAACCGAAACACAGCCATGCAAACACAGCTGCTTCACGGTTGAAACACGAATGGGACAGAGGTACCCAAGCAATCGACTTTTGTACAAAGTCTTCTTCTGTTAAACCGGTAGTTATTACATTAAAATATAATGTGTGCTTACGAGACCTTTAACAATAAATTACCCTTTCCACAGCCCTTACTCCTTGCAATCAGTCTGTGTACTCTTTAAATATTTAATGCCTCCCGACTGCAGAACAACGGGGTTTGAACTCTGTAGATTTATAATCAGCGTGATATGACATGTATGAAAAGATTTAACCTATTAATGTGTTGACTTAATTTGATTTTACTTTAATTTACTTTTTATTTAAAGTTTATTTTTTTTTTAATAATAATAAAACTTCATTAACATAGTCTAGATCAGACCTGGGCAAATGGCGGCCCGCGGGCCGGATGCGGCGGTAGAATTTTGTCTGGTCCCTGAAGCATTGTATATATTATTATTAAAAACGCAAGTATTAGTTTTTGACTAACATAAATTGGTGCATACAAATTTTTAGATAAAATATTAAGCAATACTTATACACATTATCAGGGCCGGTGGGAGCCAAAATTTTCTCCCGGACAACCGCTCTTTTCAGCGTTTAATAAATAATTTAATTCAAAAATGTTGGTTTTAAAATTCATTAATTGACATCCTTAGCAAAAATTAAACTTAAAATTAGAAAAAAAAAACTGGCCCGGTGTCAAATTTTCATCTGCAATGTGGCCCGACTATCAAAATATTTGCCCACCCCTGGTCTAGATCGTACAATCAAAAACATTCCAAAAATACTCAGACGACTGTTAACTCAAGTAGGCTGAATTATAACCATTTATATATTTATAAACAAATTAAAATCGCATAGCAATGCCAACAGTATATGACTAGAGCTTCAAGTGTCAAAAACGGGTCACAATATAGTCAGCACAAGTGACGTTTGGCTGAGTGAAATTAAACACTTTTTTTTTATACAAAACAAAAAGCGTCATGGTTTTAGTATTGCAAGTAATTGAATTAAAAATATCTCGCGTTTACTTTTTCATACAAATTTTGCGTGACAAATAGTTATGAGTGATTCCTTTATAACTTCTATATTTAATTTGTCTTATAAATTCTGCATCTTTTTATTTATTAAATAATGCGTCAAGATACATTTTATGCGTAAATATATAGAATTCTGAAACAAAATATGAGATAGCTAATTTGACAATTAGCTGACGAAAATTGACCCGTTTTTGAGACTCTATACTCTATCTATATAATCTAAAACATATAGACATATTACTTACATATTAACATACTTGTATTAGTTAAAATTTCAACTACTTCAGTGACAGTGTTGCTCGCGACACTACCGTGAACCGCGCTCATAAATAAGAGTACAACTTCTATACTCCTATTGAGTACAAAACTAGTCGAGTATACCGAAATAAAAAAAAAAATGGATAAAACCGCCAGAAATAATCACAACACAGTTTGCAATATTTTTAAAAAGTCATTAATGCATATCACTTAAGTCCTTAACACCCCAACTAGAGGCACCCCAACATTGGGTAGCAGACCGATAAAGAATTTCTTATTTTTGCCCACTGAACTGAAACCCCCTATATGTTATGTAAAATTAAGCGAACCTAACTACGTTTACTATACACCTTTGAATACAGTACACGAACTGAACGATTTTAATGAAGCCTTACATATAAGTGTTAGGGTGCATACAATGCAATTTGTTAAGGCAATACACCATATTCTATCCTCTTTACCAGACAGGTTATTTATTTATTTATTTCTTATTGCATTCCATAATGTAATTTGTAGATAACATTTCAACTTCAATTCTGGATCTTGTTGGGCACAGCGAGTACGAGAGAGGAGGACACTTTTTTTCACTTTAGTAATAGTCTAAGAATCTGTTACAATATTATCCAATCATTAAAACAGTATACTCTGTTATGCCCATGGTACTGCTCATGTCTATAGGCGACGGTTACCACTTTCCATCAGGTGGGCCGTCAGCTTGTTTGCCATTCTAAGTTGTATAAAAAAAATATCCAATAACTATTATTTGCATGTTTTTATTTTATGAGGCACGTGCTATTAAATTGGTGAGTGGATGACATGAAAGGCATTCTATATCATAAAATGCCCCTAGAACGAGGGGCGACAATGCAGGGGTTAAAATGCACTTGCTGCCATTAAATCATTAAAAGCGTGATTATTTTACAGTATTTTATTTATTAGAAACAATTAAAGTGTTTATATAGCTTATATAGCTCGAATAACCGATGGGGTAGACAGGTTCTTGAAAGGCAACCTCAAATATATGGGGGGAAAGGGATTGTTAGCAATGAGGTTTGACAGCCCCATTGCTAGCAATATGCCTTAGCAGGTCAACCTCCACGTGGTTCCCCTTGGAAACCATCGTGAACAATTCTCGTTGAATTCGTCACGATGGGCTAACTGGCCCGCTTCATCCTCAACTATCATTCTTCGCTGGTGCCCCGCCGGTGTATACCGATAGCGCGGGTGGGGTTACCATTCCATTATCACCCATTAAAAAAAATAACCTCAAATATATCGTGGGTAGTAAATGTATGCAGGTGGCTCAGAAATGTGCCTTATGGCAGTCTATATTAGAGTCCTATGTTCAACAGTGAATAGATAACTAATGATGTGATGATGATGATTAAAATATGTACATACTATATTCATTTGTATCAATACGTACTGATAAATGACGAGTTTTTTTTTATATATTCGATTTAAAACACTTTGATTTAAAACGTCAAATTGTTTGGTTACATTTTCCTAGTAGTTATTTGCTGTTTATAAAAATAGATAGATAGATGCTCTTTATTGTTTCATTCATAAGATTACAATAGTAAACTTTTTATATTGTAGATATAAACAACTACAAGAATATTACACTAACAGTTACCAGAGGGAGAGGGTACAAAAGTCGTTTACGTGGGCACCTCTATCCCATTCGTGTATCTACCGTGAAACAGTTGTGTTTGCATGGCTGTGTTTCCGTTTTAAAGGGATATGGCAGTGAATTTACAGGGTACAGAGGCATAACACCTGAGTCATCAGGAATGGCAACGCATAGGGAGTATCATGGGCGAAACAGTATACTCTGTTATATCCATGGTACTGCTCATTTTTATAGG